ATCAAGACTAGAGAGGAAAGGAAGAGAGAGAGAGAGATAGGTATAGCGGGAGGTTGCCCCTTTAAGGGGATCCTCTGATCAAATCCTTCCCTTATTGAGAAGTATCGGCTTGTCATGTTGGACGGTCCGTGCAGGCCGTCACATTGCTTTCGTTTAAATTTCTATAAAAATATAAAAGTAATAAGAAATAAAAGGTAATAAGTTATATTTAAAAAGCTAATAATCGTACTTTCATTACGTACTTGCATATTATTATACGCTTAAATAAGTAGAATGTGATCTTTTCACCATATAAAGTCTTTTAGTAGCGCAGTTGTTTTAACTAGTTAATCGCCATATTTAGTTTATAATTATAATAATGCTTTTATTATATAAAATAATTAAGTATGCTAGTAAATAATTGTTTAATTTAACCGTTGCAAAGGCTAACAATACCTTGCTTACCGTTTTGTTATGAAGTTAATTTCATATCTTTTTAGGCCTTTTTTTAAGTTAAAAATCTTTTGCATTTAATTTTAACTTATTCTGCTTTAAAACGTAAACCTAAGCTTATAATTTTCAATCTTTTAAAGCTTAGGTCTTTTTTTTAACGAAATAATCCTTAAGTTAAAAGCCCTCTTATACCTTTTTTAAAAAAGACCTAAAAACAATTTGTTAGTACGTGGTCTATTTTACACGCTAACTATTTAAAATGGTTTTTAGTTTTACTTCTTTTATTTTTCGTTCGGCGGTTTTTTGTTAAGCTCTTTACTTCCGGCTTTTATTTTTCAACGGAGCCCTTGCGGTTAGTAGTAAACTTAAAAATACCTTTAAAGGCTCATTTAACTTTATCAATAATCCGTAAAATAATCTTTGTAAAGTCGTTAATAAGATCTTAATATTTAAAAATCATGTGCTATATTTATTTGGTTTTTTTTATCGTATAAATATTTAACCATATAAAAAAGGTTTTAAATACCGCGTTTAAGACGTTTTTAACTTATAAGATTATATTAAGCGTTTCAAAAACTTTCTTTAATACGCCTTTATAAAGGTAATCTTTTAGAGAGCAATTTGTTTTACTGCGTTTGAAAAAAATTAAACGGTTAACCTATTATCTTATAAAGTTATCTTGCATTTTCTTATCTATTTTCACTAGCTATTTAATATTGAGCTTAAAGATTTGCATATTATTTTTGAATTAGTTGCTTTAAAATGTACTAAGTATTTTATATAATATATTTAAGTATATAATTTTTAGTTCTTCTTTTAAAGATAGTACTTACTTTTCGAATGACTTTTAAATTTAATCATAAAAACTATTATCAACTTTATAAGTTTATTTTCTAGTCATCATTAGATTTAATCGCATTTACACGCTATTATTTTACTTGTATTAAATGATTTCGTCGTTTTTATTTCGTTATTAAAATCGGAGTTAACTTCGACAGTTTAACTTGGTTTGAAAGTCGTTTATTTCGTTTCATACCTCTTCTGTATAAAGTTTAAATCTCTAGTTATTATATAATGCCCTTCTTTTAAATAAAGAAGTAAACAAAACTTAAAGCGTTCTCTTTTAATCAAAACTTATAGTCTTATTTAAGCTATTTTCTTATTTTTAATTGTAATGTTAAAAAGTCTGCCTTTTTAAACTTTTAAAGGGTTAAAAAAACAAGCGTTTTAAATCTGTAATTAAATAAGGTTTGTTAAAACGATCGGTAGTAAGACTTTTAATTATTAGATTTAGCCTAATCGTAAGAGTAAAGCGTATATATATATATTCTTTTTTTAAAGTGTTTTTATACGACTCTAGCAGTTTTATATTAAAAGGGGCTAGATCGAAACGAAACAACTATGATTCGGTATTTACTTATTAAAGTGCTTTTTAAGCTCACCTTTAATCCAATATAAGGGGCTAAGCATAAAGCGCGACGATATTACAAGCGCGTTTTATTTAAATCGGCTTTAAACCGTAACCGACATTGTTAATACTATTAAAATTTATAACAATACGATATTTTAAGCTTGAACCAAAGCTATAAAGACTTTGAGTAAGCGCAAAAAAGCTTAACTAGTTAAAATGATATAAAAGTATCTTAAAGCTACTAATAAAGAGCTTTAAAAAAGCAAAATCCTTTGCTTTTATACTAATATTAAGAGCGTTCTTTACGCTTATAAGCTTTAAAAGTAAAGGCAGTAAAGTAAATTAAGCTTACAGCAAATAACGTACAAAAAAAGCTCGCTTTTTACAATAAATACGACTTTTCAAAGGCTTCAAAAGAGCTAATAAAAACGCTTTTTTTTTACGAAAACTCGGATTAATTTTTACTTATTAATCCGGGCGATTAAATTATCTACCTTTTTAAAACTTTATAAGTAAGATTTTGTAAACTTTTAAAGCTATAAAAACCCCCGTATTTTTATTAAATATTAAGCTTTAATTTAGTTCCGTGATAAAAAAAGTAAGTTATATATAATTATCTTCTATAACGTAGCTGACAAGCGAGTTGACATTATAAGCGAGTTGGCACTCGTCATGAACTTTCCAACCAATACGATTCAAACCATCATATCTCCACCAACAACAATGGCACCGCGTTATAACAAATCAGACTTGCAGCTAGTTGTTCAAGCTAAACAACGTGACCCTCATATTCCTATATTTCAGCTTGCAAAACTCTTCAACGTCCCTCGTTCCACTTTGAGCAATAGAGTCAAAGGAATGCCATCACGACGCGACAGCATGCCCAATACTTTGAAACTTATGGTTTCCGAAAAGAATGCCATTTGTTCCTTCATTCTTGACCTAGATGCGCGAGCATTTCCGCCCCGGTACAGTTATGTTGAAGATATGGTGAATCAATTATTGGCGGCGCGTGGGGCTGGACGCGTTAGAAAGAACTGGACGCGGAACTTCATCAAACGTACACCAGGCCTCCGGACGCATTTTCATCGGAAGATAGACTATCAGAGGGTCTTGAACAAGGATCCAGACGCGTATCGCGCGTGGTTTTGCCAAGTTGCAGCGGCAGTCGCGAAACATGGTATCCAAGACGCGGATATTTACAACTTCGACGAGACTGGGTTTATGATGGGCATTATTGGGTCTGGCATGGTCGTTACAAGCGCCGAAAGACGTGATAGGCCTAGACAAGCTCAGTAAGGCAACAGGGAATGGTCTACAGCAATCTCTGCTGTTAATGCTGATGGTTGGGTGGTCCCGCCGTTCATCATTCTACAGGGCAAAACCCACCTTGCGTCATGGTATCGCGACACGATATTACCACGCGATTGGAAGGTGGCCGTGTCTAACAACGGGTGGACCACGAATGAGATTGGTTTGGAATGGATTCAGCATTTCGATAAGTATACCAGACCGCGTATGACTGCCGGTAAACACCTCCTCATCCTAGATGGTCACGAAAGCCACCATTCCCAGGTCTTTGAGGATTATTGTCAGAACAACGGCATTATCACCCTTTGTATGCCTGCCCACTCGTCACACAGGCTCCAGCCTCTAGATGTCGGCTGTTTTAGCCCGCTCAAACGAGCTTACGGTCGCATGATTGAGGATCTCATCCGGCGTCATATAACCCACGTTTCAAAGGAGGACTTCCTTGCAGCGTTTTGTGAAGCACACAACGCTGCTATGACGCCAGGAAACATTCGAGCAGGTTTCAGTGCCACTGGGCTTGTTCCTTTTGACCCAGAAAGTGTCATTTCAAAGCTGGATGCTGTCGCTGTCATACGAACACCGTCGCCAGACCCCAATCTGCCACCCACTACTTGGACTTCGAAGACGCCTACCACCATTAACGAAGCGGTAAACCAATCAGTTTATATCTGAAATTGAGTCAGAAACCACCAGGGAAGCTCACCTATATCAATAGTTGATACGTTGAGCTCGTTTTTGAAGGCTACATACGGTCTTATGCATAAGGTTGCTTTGGTTGATTTCCGGGTCCGCAAACTAGAAGAGGCCAATCACCTATTAAGTAAACGCCGGAGAACAAAAAACAAACGTCTAGTGAAAGGAGGAATACTTTCTGTTGAAGATACAATAGATCTTCAGGCTGCAAAGGATGGTGCTGAGCTGGCAAAACAGGAAATGGGTGAAGGTAGTCGTCGTCCGAGGCGGGCGGCAGCGCGTGGGCGACGGTATGGCGTTTGCGGCAATACTGGCCATAATGCGCGAACTTGTATAATAGAGATAGAAACCTCTGAGGAAAAGGAATCCGATTGATTGAATTGAACTGAATGCGTTGTGGTGAAGTTATTTGACATGGCAGTTGGAGAGTTCATGACGAGTGCCAACTCGCTTGTAATGTCAACTCGCTTGTAATGTCAACTCGCTTGTCAGCTACGTTAAGCTTAATAATAATGCTTTTTGCAAATAAATATTTTTAGCTTTATACTAAGATATTTTTTGAAAAAAGCTATTTCTATTTTACGAGGCTTAAAATCTTCTTATACAAAATAACCCTCGCAATTATCGATTTAAAGTTATTTTAAAGTAGTTAAAAAGACACGGCATTTAAATAATCAACTAACCGGCTTACAGTTTTAATTTAAACCTGATTCGAGTACGTTTAAGCACTTTTAAAAAAGTATATACAGGGAATCGAGCTGATTTCGCTAATTCAAAAGCTAATATTGCCTATAAAGCATATGCTAAAAAGTTAATTAAAAAGGCGTAGTTAAAGATCTATCTTAAAGATATACGCGTTTTTATTAAATCTCTTAGCAACTAAATTGCCGCAATAAAAAGAGCAGGTAGCTAGTACACATACTATTTATGGCTTATACAACGCAGTTTTTTCTGTATTATTACAGTGAGAAATGGATGCGTGGTGAATGCTAAAAGTTGGAGGGTGTAGGCGTGTAAGGCTGCTCGAAAAGTGGGCTCGGAGACTTCTGGTTGGGGAGTGTATCACAGTTCGGCCGCTGAACTACAGGATGATTTTTTTCTTGTACGTGAAGAAGGAAATCCCGCGGCGGCAGGATCTTCCAGTGTAAAGGTAATGGCCTTTCCTCCAGAGTCTTCCACGACAGGGAGCGAGCGGGTCCACGATCTTCCGGGCTATATGGGTATTGGTCACTTCCTTGAGGTATCCCACTGCAGGCAGCAGCGCCAACGCAGAAGCCTAATTCAACAACAATTTCCAGTTGTCATCGGCATAATACAGATAACAACCACTTTACACCTCAGAATGCTGTCGATCAAGCGTGCCTCGAGCAACTTTCACAGCCAACAAGCAAACGTGTGCGCCTGTCCGATGATGGACTTGAGGAACTCGACAAGGCGGAGCTCATCACAAAGATCCGGCATCTGGAAGCCGAGCTTGAAGACGTGAAGCAGCAACTGTCTGCCGCCTCCGCTGGTAAGCTCAAAGTGCCTACCGAGGATAAGCCCATCTCTGCGAAAGTCGCCTGCCGCACTAGGAACTTTGAGTGTACCAGTGGAGGCGCTGCTGCGCCGATCGCCAAAGCCGCCTCGGGCAACTCCTTGTCCGACGCCCAGGCCGAAGAAAAGGTGGAGATTGCTCGCAAGGTCATGTTTAGGGGCATCAGGAAGCAGATGACGGTACCTACTCGCCTCCCATCGCTCTTTCTGCCGCGTGTCAAGCGTCTTGTGACTGATACGCCTTCTAGTGGGAACCATCCTGCGAAACGGACTCGGCCACATTCAGCTTCTCCTCAGCACTTCACTCCAAGCAAGTCTTTGATGCTCTCACAAATCAGCCTTCCGACCCCAAGAAGACAAAGAAGCAACTCTCTTTTACGGTGGCGGAATTCGAGGAGAAAGTTGCCTTGAACTCTGTGCGAGGAGCCAGCAATTGGCTCTATCTCACTGGCAAGGGTGTGTTGGTGCGCTGGAATGAGGACGATCAGTCATTTACTGTCACTGGCTCCTATGGGAGAGGTGGGGAGTAGGGTATTGTTGCTTATTACAGTGGCTACCCCTGATCGAGCATGAGATGTCTGATGTATGCTAAGTCTTCGAACAGGCAGAAGATGGCGGATTACCTGTCCTCTATAGTGGTGTCGACCTCATACAACACTTCTTGCTTCGATGTAAAGGCTTGAAGCAATATTGATATCCGCTATTTTGCCTTATTTACAACATGAGCACGATGCCGTAGACCCCAATACCTACCCCTCAAGAGCAAACGTGGCCAGACTCCATCCATATACCTTCCCAAGGCGCCTGCCCAGCCTCCGGGCATTCTTCCACGAGATTTTCGGTTTCGGGTGCGGTTCGTGCACATTGATACCCCTCGTAACGACCGAATCTTCCCTTGGCTTGAAATGCCAGATGGACCTGTGGAGCTTCTGTGCTGAAAAGCCAAGCGAAATCATGGCGTGTAAAAGCCCATCCTATGGCACTTCTCCCCCCGCACGACCGCCCTTGGGCGTAGTGAACAGCTGTTGTAGTATTTCAAACGCCCGCTTGTCGACGAAGAACGCCGGCTCCTCCTCTTGTCGTTGTGCCTCACCGGGCGCATCTTTTTGCACATCGGGAGGTTCCTCGGCTCCTCTTGCTTCTCGAGCAGCCTCCTCCTTCTCTCTCTGCTTCTGCTTCTTTTCCTTCTTGGATTCTCCTGCAGAACTGATATCTCTTCCGAGTTGGAATCTCTGGACCGGTATGAACACTTAGTCCGAAAATTTCGTCAGCCATAACTTCCACAGGCGGTGAGCCCGCTCCGACAGAGGGTTCGCTCCAATCTGGAATTTGTAAGAGCTTTGCTTCGTCGAGTGTCAGAATTATCCTGTCACTGGGCCCGGATGCCTTTTTGTAAAGGCGTATGAAGCTGGACCAAAATAGGGCTAGGTTCTTCTCGGCGGCCTGTAATGCATGCACCTTCTTCGTTGTGTACTTCCTTCCCACAGGATAAGTAAAACGGCCGTTGGTTGGGACACCTAAAGAGGCTACTTGAGCCCATATCTTCCCTTCACGAATTGAATCCAGTTGGGTAATTTGCCCTCGGAATAGCTCGATGTACTTGGCGCGGTCGTCTCGAAATATGCGCTGCAAGGCTTGCGTTACCCAGCGTGGAAGTCGGTCCATCTGCCGGTGAACCTTAGACAGGATAGCCAGGTGCTCGATGTACTGGTCAACCAGCGACGAGAAAAGTTTCTTGGTTCCCTTCTCCCTTCTGCGGAAATGGTCGAGCTCATCGATGAAGGCAGGGAGCCCGACCATTGATCGGATATCGTCATCAATCAAGTAATTTACGATATTGACTAACGCATGTGCCGCCGCGTCACCCTCTAGGCTCTTGTCGGAAACCGCTTCGATGATCCCTTGCTTTACACTTCCTGTTCGGACGTAGTGGTGGCGCAACGGCGGTGATGCAAAGATGGCCCCAGCAAACTTGCGAAGCAGGTACTCGCTGTGGTCCGTTAGGAGTCGGTGGAGGACTAGCACGTCCTTCGCGAAGTCGCTAGGTAGCTGAGAAGTCGGGTCATCCGTACCGCAGAAAGATTCCCATGAATCCTTGAGTCGGGTCAGCAGTCGGTGGACCGCATCCCATCGCCACACATCCTCAAGAGAGGATGTCACGGCTTCAGCAACCACTGATTCCCAAAACTCTTCTGCGGGAAGCTTGACGATTGGGTGAGGTATTCCTTTTCCGTCTCCAATCATCTCCCGGCGGTGATCTTTGACTTGGTCTAAGGTGTCGCCGAAAAACTCGGGTTCTTCTCTCATAGCAATAATCTTCTCCGTCGCCTCATCAAGGGTTGCGGCTGTGATGGAAAGGATGCCGCTTAAGTCCATATCCTCTGGTAACCGGTAGGGTGCCTCCAATTTCAGGGTATGAAGTTTAGTGATATTCCGATTATCCTTGCTTGGGACCATTGGCGTCGTTGATGAATCTTTGCCCAACTCGTCCCAGCCGAACAGCGGCATATCATGCAGAACGGACTTGCAGATATCGAGCAAGAACGAGTATACTCGTTCTTGAACCTTGAGGATCATCATGCCCTGGCCTCTGTTCCAGTGCGACGATGGCATTCACTGCGGACCATCAATTTCTGCACCCTTTCTCATCGTGACTCCATAACCATCAGGAGTGTCTTCTCTATGAAAAATCATGACCATATGCACTCCTCTTTCTTGTCCCGTGCGAGGTAAACTGGTGAGACCGAGAACCTTGCTTGCTCTTCCGAGGTTTGTGCTGACATAGTCGCTTTCAGCAAAAGTTCCCGGGGGCGTGCAGAACGCGAGTGCAGCATGAGAAGCATATTATCCCCATTGCTCAGATCTTCCATGTTTATGTTGGGCCATAGATATAGATCTTCATTCTTCGTCTGGTTTCGAGTCAAGAAATCCTTCAGGTCGGGTCGGTGACGTGCTGGCATGGTGGGCCAAACACCTTGAAGGACCTGATGTTTCTTTCGGGTGTGATATCCATTCCATCGTCGATGCAAAGCTTCCGAGTGTTGGGAGACTATCTTCTTCAGTAGTCGATGGTCTGCGAAAATGTCTTCTGTTGGACGGAGAGGACTGCTGTCGGTTCTCGCCATCTTGCTGTCTTGGAGGATACAGGAGCTGCGAAGCAGACTCGAGTTGTTGCAATGCCCTACAGATCTGGAAGGACGTAAAGCGTGTGTTGGGAGAGCTCGATAATGGGTTCTATGCGATTGCAGTCTCACCTGCCGGTCCGTGATGGTGGTCGGGTGTAAGCTTTGGAATGAGCCGCACAAATCTTGGAGAGGGAAGGGAAAACAAAGTCAGCAACGAAAAGCGCCCGACTTGGGTGGAGACCAAGTTCTGCCTTAGCATTCGCAAAGTAATGCCTCAGGCTCCCACCAATTTACCATTAGCCCGACAAACGTATGTTGAGCGTGCCGTGTTATGATTTGTGCCTTTAAAATTACAATACAAGGAACGGTCACTCTTAACTGCGCTGCTCTCCAAGGTGTAAATTCATTTCTCGAAAAGATGTACTTCAGCCCTGCGAATGTGTGCACCCAACTAGATTAATAAAGGATCTGGATTATGGAGCACGCCATGATTAAGGACCAAGATAGAGATATAATAAAGGATATAACAGCATATGATACCCCTACATAGCTAATGTTACGAGCAGCGATCTAAGCAACGATAGAAACAAACGCCGCCATTAGTTGCAAGGAGAATATGACACTGCTTAGTACTTGTCATGGACCTATTTCTGACCTTTTAATTGTAGATAGATTGCTATGACCCAAGAATACTGACGGGGCAACCGGCAAACAGAATTGACGCCAGCAAGCCGTCAGGTCCCCTTGGGCTCGAATAGAAACATCAACACGTCCGAGATAGAGGTAAAGCTTGGGCAAATAGAGTCGGCGTAGTGGCAGACCGGGCCCTGCAGGCTCATCTGGAATTGTTTGTTTGTTTTGTATTTAACGTGGGGGGTAGCTCCTCAGTAGTGCAGACCACGCCTCCCAGAGCCTCTGCATCGCAGGGTTGTGGAGGTCTCAAGAAAATAAGTACAGTCAGTCCCGCTCACGGGCCCATCCCCGTTGTTGCGGCGGTATGACCTTGGGGTCATCCATCTGGTCCTTCAAGAATAGCTATCTATCGGAGACAGATTGTTAAAAAGAACTTGTTCTTCTCCACGAATTTTGTACATTCTATGCTCCTCTCCTTTAAGTATTGTAAACAGGCTGTCCTAGGCGAGTACCTAGGCAACAACCGATTTTTTTCCTAGTCTCTTACAAAAGAAAATATGTTGTGGTGTTTTCTTTTTACCACAGCTGCAGTGGTTGTTCGAGTCTGTATGCCCAAAGCGTTCGTGGTATCTGGCAAAGTCGCCATGTCCAGATCTGGCCGCTAGAAGTCTGTGTAGAGTGCTCCTCTTAAAGGATATAAGGCCTCTTTCAGTTATTGCATGTGAGTATACTTCTTGATACCTAGATTCTGATTGGTCTTTTTACCATTGGTTGAACTCTTTCTTGCCCTTTCTCTTAAGATCTCTCTTGACCCAAGAGATTGTAAGAAGGTTTCTCGTGTCTGTTTCTAGCATAGCACCCTCTTTTGTTAATATATCGGCAGCTTCATTACTATCAATATCTCTGTGTCCAGGAATCCACTTGACGGTCACTCCAGGAGTGTGTGCTGTGGCGAGTTCTTGGAATCGCAGAAAATTTTTCTGTGATGTCTCGGATGGAGTCCCATTGAGCCCATCCACCACTGATGTGTTGTCCAGGCAGACATATAACTGTTTTCTGTGTCCAATTGCCCTGGCTGCTGCAAGACCTTAGAGAGCACCATGGACTTCAGCATCCACTACTTCTGTTTGTAGAAGTCTGCCCCTTCCCCGGTATACTTCTTGTGTAGTGCCGCCTTTCCTGATGGTATAGCCCCATCCAGTGCGGGTTATGCCTTGGTCGTCCAATTGTGATCCATCTGAATAGATGACAAGGTCAGTGTTCGCATTTCTTTCCTGTAGTCATTGCTTGAAGAGCTCTATTTCTTTGTCTTTAGTTTTGCGGATTGGGGGCTTCTTCCATAGTGGCTTGGTGAGTATTGGTCTCTGGAAGTCAGGGACTAGTTGGAAGCTCTTTTGTAACCTTGTTGGTTCTTTGCGAGCTTGTATTTGGAGCCTGCCAACAAGAGGGTGTCTCTGATCTACTCGTCCGAGTCGGAGGCCGTGACGTCTTCTTATTGACTCTGCAAGAATTCCTGCTGAAGGAATCTGTGATTCAAAATATAGGATATGTCCAGGGTGTGTTTTCCAGACTGGCAAGATAGCTCTAATTGCTGTTCGTAGTACAGCATCTATCGTTCTAAGAAGCCCTTTAATGCGACATGCTGATGTCCTGCCTAAGCTCCCAATTTTTTCCATTCCTGGATACCAGGCCTCCAGGCCATGTGTAAGAATAGGAATAACACAAGTTTTCACAGCCCTCTTGGTTGACTTTACTGGAAGTCCTTTGACTGTGTTGCATAGTCCTCAAAGGTGGTTTGCTACCTTATTAGCTTTCTTGGCCCAGTAGGAAACGTGATCTTTGAAGTTCAGTTTTCTATCCAGGAAGACACCCAGCCATCGCATGGAGTTCTTTGCTGTTCTGTTTATTGTCCTGTGGCGGACCGGAGGATTGTCTGAGTTCTTTTTCTGTGAGAAGTGCATGATCTTGGTTTTGTCAGGGTCAAACTCAATAGCATTATTATGTCCTTATTGGTTGAGTAAATGAAGGTTTTTAGAAGCCTCTGTAGCTATTTCCTCAAGGTTCTTTCTAATACAGAGAGTTGCTAGGTCGTCTGCATATCCAAAGTGTCTCCTTTTCATACCGAGTCGGGCACAGATTGGTTCTGTATACAGCATATAAAGGATTGGAGAGGCTGGTGAGCCTTGTGGTAGCCCACAAGTGAGAGCTTTTATGTTGGTCACAATACCTTCAAACCGAACTCTTGCGGACCGTTCAGACATGAATGACTGGACCCATCTTATGAGAAAGTCTGGCCAGCCCTGTTCTCTCATGCGAACCACCAGCCGTCCCATTAGGGCAGCGTCGAAGGCCCCTGTCACATCTGCTGTGACTACCGTTGCAACAAGGCCTTGGTCAAGGGCCTGCTCAATATCGTGTATGAGTGCAGTTACCAAGTCGGCGGCAGAGCGCTTTGGCAGAGCTCCAAAATGTTGTGGAGCTAGAATTCCGAGTCTGATGACAAACCAGGCAATTCTTTTTGCAATGAGTCGTTCTAGGCCTTTGCCAAGACATGATAATAGCGATATTGGTCTGTAGGCCCTGGGGTTAGAATAGTCTTTCTTGCCTGGCTTTGGGATCATCACCACCTCAGCTACTTTGAATGGTTTAGGGTGGTGTCCAATCTGTAGACAGGTCTGGAAAAGGGCTCTGATATGCTCCCTAATGACTGGCCAGCAAGCTTTTAGAATCCGTACTGTGAGGGTGTCTACTCTTGGGGAGTTGCTCTTGGTCCCTATAGTGCACCCTTCAGCCTCTTCTAGTCTGACATGATATTCAAGGGGGATGTGTGGCTTGGCTTGTGTGATCTGAGCAGACCAGGGGTCGATGATATCGTTGTCTGGAGTACTTCGTTCAAGCGTGGCTAAGCGTAGTGCATTTGCCTTGCTCTCTTGTGACTCAAAGATTTGGTCCCCTATGATGATTGGGGGGGAACGCAATCCTGCTGACAGCTTGTGCCAGGAAACAATTCTGTACAGGTCTTTTGGTTCAGTCGCTGAATCAATTAGAGTCTGCCAGTACTCTCTCTTAGCTTTTCGGACCACATAGCGAAATTCCCGTCGGGCTGAATTTCGCCCTTCTTGGCTTGTGGTCTGTTTAGAAAGGGCCCTGTATGTCTGAACAGCTGCTTTGCAGTCATCATTCCACCAAGCAGTGGGCCTAGATTGACGGGGCTTCTTGCCCACTGTCCTGATACAGCCTTGAATCATATTGATCAAGCTTTGTGTAAAGGTATCCACCTGGCCAGGGGATACACCCAGCCGGGGGAGTTCATGAATCCTGGTTTGGACATTGTCTGCCAGCTCTTGTAGTTTATTGTCCGGTACTATCCAATGATTGGCCTTAGGAACTCGGTCCCGATCTCCCTGAATTGGAATGACTATTCGTAATGTCTCATGATCTGAGGTGCACTGAAGTGCATCATTGACTGAGGCTTCAGCCATGGGGACATTTGAGAACACCAGATCCAGTACATTTTTATCGTCATGTGTTGGGACATCTGGTTCAGAAATCAGATCCAGTCCGTGGTCTGCCATAGTCTGTGCCAGTATGACGCTACCGTGATATCTTGGATTGCTCGAGTCCCAGGATATGTCGCCAGCATTAAAATCTCCAGCTATAACACAGCCAAAAGGTGGAGTCCATACTTCCAGAATATCATCCACTTCCTGTGGGTTGTCACATGGCCGGTAGACACTGGCAAATGTGATGCCATGTACCTTGACCCAGGTGATGTCTCGTGTAGCATAGGGCCGAAATTGATCCACTTAAAGGTGTTTTCTCACATAGATGAGAGATCTGGGCTGTGTACTGTCGCTGTCCCAGGAATCCACTGGGGAGTATATATTATAATTGGGGTGTGTCTTTACTCCCATTCTCCTGCCTAGTAGTATGCCAACCCAGGGCTCTTGCATCAGAATGATGTCTGCTTGTTCTCCTTTGTAGTCAGCCAGGTTGATGGCTAACTCTGTAGGGCCTGCACTCTTTTGTCCTCCTGCTGTATTCACAGAATGGATGACGAGATGCCTGTGTCGATGTGTTTCGTTTGATGTACCTAACATTGACTGACAACAATGGTATCGGCATCTCTGGGATGAGTTGTATCTGTTGTGTCGATTTGCATTGTGGTGTCTTTGTTATTATTGCTGGGTGTTGACCCAGTTTGGTTTCTGCCTGCTTTATTGAAGGCCTTGGATCTGGCTCTTTCCCCGGCTAGCCTTATTTCCTGGATTTGCTCCCATGTGTGCTTGTGGATGGTACCTTTCACAACCTTGGGACGGGCAGGGCATTTATTGAAATTGGCAGCATGAGGTCCTTTGCAGTTGACATACTTTGGGATTGGTTTTTTGCACTCTCCCTGGTGTATTGTGTTGGCGCAGTGTGCACATACTTGCTTTTCGCATCAGTAATTTCTACCATGGTATCTGAAGCAGCTTGCACACTGGTGAACCTTGGGGGTGTGTTGAATATGCCTTGAGGTCATTGAGTGGGCAAAAAGCATGAATGGTTTCCTTGCTGCACTGGGCAGAGAGATTATCCACGTGGTTTCTAGATCAGAATCAGTCGTGTTCTTTGAGAGTATGCACCTCAGAGGTCTGTCGCCTGTTTGGGCTTCAACTTCATCGGCAACAACAGTGTCGGTAATATTGATTGTGAACCCTTCTGTACTGATGACCTTTCTTGGGCATCCATTGACCTTATAATGATGCCAGACTGTGTGGGTCTCAATCTTTTGTGTCTTGAGAATGTCGGCAATTTCTTCTTGGAAAGCCAGAAGCTTAGCCTGAGTTGGCTTGTCCCTTGGGTGTAAGGTAAATCCAGAAGGACACCGTGTCACTTCTTTAAGCTCCTGAGGGTGGAGCTTAAGTCTTCTGTTTAGTATAGACTTGATTCCATAAGGCTTGATCAAGGTGGCTATTATCCATGCGGACAAAGACCCAGAGATTATCCTGCTTCCTCTTCAATTGGTTGATAGTGATAAGGGCACTAGGCTGTGTTTTCTTCATGGTAATGTTGACTATCCATGGATGCTATCGTTAGCCAGAGGAGACAGCTTGGGCGAAAGTCATGGTGGGCTTCCCTATTTTTATCCCCCTAGAAGTGGCCTTTCTTGTGGTCAGATCTCGGGTTTCCAGCCACTCATTCAGACATTTGGAGAAGAAAGCGCTGAACTCCTTGGCATGAGAGTATAGTTCGGTTCCAGCTTTCTCAAGTGTCTTATCGACTACTGCAGCACACTCCTGAAACATTGTCATCCTGGTTTCATAGAGATGCTTGTCTTTAGCCAGTATTTTGGCAACTTGGTCCTGGCACTCTGAAGAGGAGACTTTGTTCCCTGTATCACCTCCAATGGCTTGGTCTGTAGGGATTTCGCTTGATTGAGGTAATTCCATATCAATGGTGCTGCTATTAATGATATTTCAGGATTTTCCTTTCAGAGGGGAAATAGTGGTGAAGTCAGCCTCAGAGACCTGTAACGGGCTGCTGTTGATGTCGTCGAGCAGTGCCTGGCGGAGCCTGCTTGGGGTTGCCGGGTCATGTGTTCTTTTAGGGACTGGGGATTTGAACACGCCGCCAGTAGTCGTCTTTGGGACGGCCACTGGCGTGTTTGGGGGCCTGTCGTAAAAGGGTGCCATCCAGCTTGTGAGAAAAAAAATTCTGCGCCTTGGCAAGGATAGTCAGGTACTGAGACAAATGCCTGCTTTAGTGCAGATATAGAGGTTGCGCCCTAACAGCGGGGCGCCAAGAAAAATAGTTGTTTTTGGCAAGAGTGTGTGTGGCTCATCTGGAAGTGCGGCCACTTCTAAGCGGGCGTGCTTCCCCTGTAGCCGGTCGTCGGGGTAGTTGAGTGTCGGATTCTTATTGTTCCGGTCGATGATGTCCGTGAAGGTAGTGACCGACTCCCACAGCGAGAGGCTTATGCTTGTGTTCTCGAAAGCTATTTCCCCCGGTTTGCAAGGTCTGTCTCTTATCACACTGGAAAAAAGTAGTAGATAACCTGGCAACAGAGCTGGCGTGCGGGAAGGCGGTCGCAAAATCTACGGAATTCTGCATTGCACTAATCAAACCCAGCCACATGTGTATACGCTCAGCCCGTACAATAGTATAGCAATACTTCGGCTTGGTGAAAGAACTAGGAACCAGGCCTTGCCATCTGTAATCTTGAAGAATGGCGAGTTGCATCCAGGTATGCAAGGTTCGAGTCAGTCACCTGAACCCGTGTGATTGATGTTACAGGAGCAGGCCAACGCTATATTGGGATACATAGAGCTTTTATCGGGTGGCCGTGGTCTGCCTTGTCTCATTTATCACACACAGATTGACATAGAACCATTGAGTTTGATGATTGGCATGGTTTCGTCCCAATACCCCTATTTGAGTTGTTCCCGGTAGAACTACGGACCCAGCGAAGTAGAAGCTCCACTTTATTTTTCTCCATTTGTGTCTGGCTCGATACAACAATTTGCCCTCAACACAATTTTCAACTCATTCGAGACGACTGCTCGCCACACCGCAGATTATCGTTCAGCAAGATGGGTCGCCCGAAGCGCGATGTCCGCGCAGCCGCGGAAGAGTCCACGACCCCGCCGGACCAACTGACTGAAACCCAGTCACTCGCCAAAGTGATCAAGGCGGAAGGCAACAGTCTCTACAGCTGTCTGTTGCCCAACCAGCGCACTGTCCTGGTCGAGCTTGTTGCGCGGTTTCGCAACACCATTTGGATCAAGCGCGGCGGATACGTTCTAGTTGACCTGATACCTGTCAAGGAGCAAACGGGCAGGGTCGAGGGAGAGATCGTGAACGTCGTCCGTGAGGAGAAGGAATGGCGCAAGCATAATTACTGGTGCGTCGGCTTGACGCCACTGTCAGGCTAAGCTTACCCCATTGCAGGCCGAAGGAGTTCGTTAAGTCCACCTACGAGGACGATGATGACGGGAAATCAACCGTGGGGAAGATGCCACCATCAGATTCGGAGGACGAAGGCTGAGCGCTCTTCAACTTGCCGAACTCAACCAGCTTTACGCTTTTGCGAAGGATGACTAGGTGAAGGGGCGTGGTGGTCTTTCTGCATTGCCAGGAGGGAAACAGTGACGGCCATTACTCCGACAACAACGCCCGAGCTAATGGACGTGCTCGGGAAGACATTCCAGGCCCATTCTTGCAGAGCCCAAAGGCCATACTGGACGACAGGATGCGCTCCACTGCGCCACAGAAGATATGGAGTGGACCAGGCGAGATATGAGTAGAACTGGTAGTGGAGAGATCGCGCGAAAAGGAGTCCGATGACGTTTGCGGAGAGGATGGTAGTCATCACGTACTCGGGCGTGATCCTTGACGCTACTTGAGATTCTTCTTGTGAGTTGAATGGAGAGCTGAATTGCAGAATCGGTGTCACGATGGCAGATAGGGGTTTCCCAGCTGGCTTTAACCACCTGTAGGCGATGAATCCTGCCAGCACCGCGGCATGCAGGGCCAGGAGAGTCAATGCGAAAGGGCGACTTAGGAATGTCTCTTCTCCGACGAAACGCCAATTGACTGTCCATTTGAACAAGAATTGCCGTGACAGCTCGAATGCCCGAGATAGGTAGCCTCGCGCGTTTTCGGTGAGAAACGGGGTGGCTATCATGAACTGGATCTGGGCCATGATCGCAGCCAATTGCAGACTGCCCGAGAATCCCCTGCCGAATAGAAGAATGACCCCAACCGCGGGCAAGACCAGGAGGAGAGACATCTTGATCCCCAAACCCCACGCGTATGCAATGCTGCCCAGCGTCCACGCGCGTCGTTGGAACAGGTAGATGCTGAGCCAGAGGAAGAAGACGGCAAAGCAGTCGTTGAAACAGCGGAGTACGAAGATGCTGTGAAGGCGTTTCGACAGGATCAGGAGGGGGAAGACATAAGGCGGAACCTGCTCAAGACATCTATGTCAATTCGCTGTCTTCAAGGGTACAAGTGGGATTGCGCCGTACCTTCGCCTTCCAGTAGCAGGCCATGACCAGGGCTAGAGTCGCCATGTAGAGTACTGCGAACAGCTGTTGCGCCAGGAATATGTCCTTGCCTTCGTCCGTCATATGGTAGAGCGCGGTGTAGGTGTAGACGTGCGCGGCTGGGTAGACGAGCGGCCCAGTTCCGCCTTTGATGAGCGTGTAGTCACGTTCGCCGGCAACATACTGCGCGACCTGTTCCATGTACGCCTTCCAGTCGATCTCGGTATCTGCGAGGGCCAGAGTCATCAGCGATTGCGCAGGAGATACGGCGTCGAGCCCAGAGCTTACAGAGAATCTTCCAGATGATGGCAGCGCAGAGCACTGCATCGAGGGCGAAGAGGCACAGAGGCACGAGCCTTGAGAGGGTAAGGTTGCGACCATTGGCAGTGTCGAAGACAAGCTGCATGGCTTGCGAAACCAAGCCGGGCTCCTTGTTAGCCATCTTGGTCGTGGGCATCGCTTGACGACTGAAGATGCGACTCTCTGAGCAGCTACACCAACGTATTGCGTGGAGCTTGGCGCTTCAATGGAGCTCATGCCTTATCGATAAGTGAGTTAACTCCAATACGACAATCATCCGGTTAGATACATAACTGGTCTTGAGGCTTTCCAATATGCAATTCATGGTTCATTTGGTCCTTTCAAGGTGCTGACGTTCACACATATGTATTCGACTTCGTCGGCCCAGAGGCGAGATGCTCGAAAGGCTGCTTGTTGTAATTTACACAGGCTTTCTTCAATGATTCTCGGACGGTTATGTTATCGTGTAAACTACAACTTCGGCCGGCTCAGGACCTCATCGACGAGTCCGACGACATCCTCGGCACAGCCATATGATCCCTGGTACCCCCATCCAGCATGACCATAGTTATGAACAACCCAGGTGCCATCAATCTTCTCCTTTTCAATCCTCACACCGCCATTTCTGTATGGACGAAGCCCAACCCCGTGACGGACGATATCCAGGCCCTTCACGCCTTGGCCGTTGGTCATCTCCGGCATCATTTCCACCACCCGTCGCATGATGCGCATTGCGATGTTTGGATCGGGCTGGCTCTCCCATTGGCCCTTCTGGTAGGTGCCACCTAGGATCGTACCACCGCCGGAGGCCCTCGTCATGGTGTAGCAGACCTCATCGTCGGCATCGTCCGTTCCGGACTTGGTCAGCATGTACGGAGCCTCGTTTCTGACGACCACAACCTGGCCGCGAATTGGTATGACGTTTGAATCCATCACGCCGCCAAGTTTGCAGGACATCAAGCCCGTCGTGTTGACCACAACATCGGCTTTACCGCCAGAGTGGCTCATGGAAGAGGCTTCCGAGATGTGCTTGAGATTGCCCCGACGGAAGACGACTCCGTTCTTTCGGCACTGGCCGACCAGCCACGGCATGTAGAGCATGACGTTGATGCATACCGAGCCAAACTCGGAGCCAGATGCCATGCCCTCCGGCAATTCGTCTTTGGAAAGCTCCCGAAAGTCGTCAAAGAGGTCCTTGTACCAGGGATTTTCTAGGAAGAGTCCGTCAAAACTGTAGCCGCCCTTCCTCAACTTATCCAGGTCTTTCTCGCGGCGGTATACTTGCGATTCTGGATGCCCATTAGTCAAGACTGCCTAATTGCTTCCACAAAAGGCTCGCTCACTTTGCAGGTGAATACCAGCCTCGGGTACCTCGACAGCCAAGCGCTTCAGTTCTTGCCATGTGCGACGTTCCCAGCTGCTGTTCTTCTGGTTTGACATTCTGTTTTCCACATTAGCTATCGCCTTCCGAGACGGTGCAAGCAGAAAGCTTACGGCAGAACGTTGGCGCCAGCAATGGGCGAAGCGTATTCTATATCATAGTCACCAGGCATGTGCTTTGCGACCACAGTTATGACATTGCCCTTCTGTTTTGACAGCAGGTAAGCGCATGTCAGGCCCGATACGCCAGCGCTACACCATCAGGTCAGTCTTCCTCTCGCGAATATGATTCAAACAGGGATATGCGTACCCTACAACCACAATATTCGGCATGATGACCGTCTCTTTTGAGCTCAACGCCTAATCGTGACACTGACTGCTCTTGTCTTCGGCCGTCAGGTCCTGTATCGCCTGGACCCCGCTCTCGTGGGTAGAACTTTGCCTCAAGACTCGACAGGCCGAAGTTTCAACTTATGAAGTAAGTCAATCAAAAACACAGGCTGAAGTAGCAGTTCAGAACACAAAAGGGGGTATCTGCTTACCTTATATGCACGACAATATCGATCGGCGTTGGGGTGACTTCGCCTATCTACGGCTGTACATCTAAGACCGCGGCTTAGAAGTCCTGGCTCCACAGCGGACGCCCTCCGGTCGTCGGCGTCGGCGCGAATCGGGGTCCTTTATCACGCGGCGTGACTCGCCTTTGGTCTGACCCCGACGTCTATCATCATCAACCTTGGTCAGTATATCATCGTACGAGGCGGCGCTCCCTTCGTGCGGTACATCGCTTAGCAACGGAAGACTGGGCGAACTGTGCCTCACACATGCTCACTGATGCTCCCGAAGTACAGAGTGGTTCCATTTTCAACGCTTTCAACGGGCACAAACCCATGCTGTCGCCCATGACCAGGCAAGTCCGCTGCTGAAGGCATCCTCAGACCACGCCAGCAAGTGCCGACCAGCCCGGAGCTCACAACCCATCGATTGTGAGCAAGATGGCCTCCTCGCACCTGTAATACGCACGGAACGGTGTCACGGCGCCACCAGTTCGGCCATGGAGTCGGGACCCGGGACCAACACGGTCGTACTTCACGGCTGCGCGACCTTCGAGAACCCCCGAATGGTCCCATCTGCACGCAGCGTACGCGCCAATAAGGCCTGCGACCTAGCGATGACGCTTGAACCGGGCGCTTTCGAGGTAGCACTGGGATAAGGTCTTATGCTCGGCCTGAAGCATGTCTGTGGCACAAGATCGGCCGGCCGTGCTCGCTTGGTAGACTCTGATGCTGTGCCACTTCAGGACTTGAAGACATCGGACGGGCTCAAGCCTGGACTGACAAGCTCTGATGCTGTGCTACTTCAGAACTGGACGAGCTGTCCGATCGGAGCTTGGGGATACTCAGCTGCTCAAGTGTGGTGTGCACCACGCTCTCTCTTCGTCCCCTCTGTGGCTTGCATGTCAACAGATTGGGGAAAGCATCTTCCCTAACACCAGCAGGCCGGGCAGGGATGTTCAGGCCTTGAGTTGAAAACTCGGGTTTCTTAGGGCTTAACCTACCGGCCAGAAGAGTGTTCGTATCCTACCTCTCCACGCATGGGTATGTGGTCATGCATGAACCCCATGTGTGCTTGGTACACCCCGTCAGGAAGATGCGCGTTCGGTCAGCAGAGGAAGATGGGTATAAGTAGAGACCTGAGTACCTCATTCTCTCAGCCTCTCGCTTAATGGCTGCCGCGCTATAGATATATCGTCGAATGAACATGGCGGTGCCATACACCCAATACGTTCTTGAGCATGGTGAGATTCCAGAGTTGTACTACAAGCTCGGTACGATGCGCGGCCGAAAAAAACTGGGTGTATGCGATAATGACTTCACCCCAAACCACCCCCGTGTTACCGCCGCGCCCGTTTCGTGATGAGGAGTTTCCCTTCCAGGACGAGCACCACTAACAGGCGAGCATTTCCCCATGTCAATGGCTGTGGGCAGGTGGTGAGACCACAGTCGCGGCATGTGTCGCGAACATACCTGGTGGCAGTCGTGCTCGACCGCAGAAGGGATGCTTCGCTCGGCCGTGTATGCCATTACACCATACCACCTCTCTCAGACTAAGTACTGGCCCCAGCCGCTTTCTCTGTTGTGCCAGAGCAGACGCGCTGTTAGAAGGCCTGGAGAGTTGATGTGCGAGGAACGTATCCCTTCGGCTGCAGTTGTCCTCTTGAAAGCGAGCCGTCGAGCGTACTCGATATAGCCTCGTATGGCTTTAGACACCAGTGACCTGCTGGAACTCACTGAAGTGAAGCTAATGGCAAAAGGATAGAATTCGTCTTTTCTCTCAGTCAGCTTTCACTCGCCGGACCAGCTTGACGGCGCTGCGCTGTGGCTGATATACAGATGAATCACATTATCTGAGAGAAAACCACAGTTGAGGTACAGAGAGCTATTACTGACTGACTTACCTAGTCACGACCTCTTCTTTCCATCTGTCCAGTTGCTTACAACCCTATCAAACCCATTTAACTTCATTCTGAGCCGTCGGCAACGAGCACCTATACCAAGTCTTTGACAGCGATGAAGATGGGCCTGATCCAGCCTGCAAGCGTCGAAACCACAGCCAGCGGCATAATCAGAAATCTTCCTTTCGAGTTAAGGACGTCAGGTCCCTTGATGACCCACGTCCCTCATCGGCCACAGAGCCATGGTCTCCGTACTAGCAACTGCTGGATAGGCAGAGCTGGTTGATTTAGCTTCACGTCAGACACAAACAAGCCAGCGAGTGTTCATAGAAGAGTAAACACCCCTTTGAAACATACCGCACACAATCAGAGGGTAGATTACCTCACCTGCTTGTAGGGAGTTGGACTTGGTGAAAAAAACTAGTGACTAGAGCTGAGGCAAGTGTTGATGTCAGCCACCCCTTCTTATACCTTATTATATCGTGCAGCAAGACTCAGTCAGCCAAGACTTATTCCCACCATTTCCCTCGGCCTCATAGCGTCGCTGAGCCGGCTAGCTGGAGGTGATGCACAGGGTAATGCGATGCCTCTGATGCATGTCAGGGATGCGGAATATTGCACGTGGATGAGTTGCCACTGCTGCTTCACTCACGGTCTTAGACAGTAGTCGCTCATTTCAATCATCTGAATAGACTGCCCAAAGCCAGCAGTTCGGCGACTCTAGGGGGAAGTCGTGTCCATTAGTCATAGACAAGTCGCAGCCAAGAGAGGTTTACACTCGACGCTTGGGTGGTGATATTGGAACGTCAGAGGCAGCGGGAGATGCGTAGGGACGTCGATGTGGCCCTTTCAGTTCAAAACCACCAACGATAGTATGGTCCAGTGCATGTATAGGCGCAGCAGTGGCTGACGGGCTTACCGCATCGGCGATGAGAGATATAGCGATGTGGTGTGCTACAAGCAATGCAAGGTCTTCTTCGTGCCAGGACAAGCATTCTTGCGTACGCCTGGAGCGCTCCACGTTGGAAGCATATCATACTCTCCAACTCGGAATGGAACAATCGACGCTAACATTCGGGGGACGGAGCAAGCACGACTACCTATGGCGAAGCACGGGCTTCGGTCCAGCTGCTCCCAGGATCACTGCAGAGACCGCTTCGACTCAGGATTAACCCATCATGTAGTCACTCAGGTCGAATAGGAGCACGGGCGTACAGGCGCATTGCCTTGTCGTGAATCCGGCTTGGAGCAACAGGCCTGGTAACGGTCAGACCTCGTCACCAGCCACCGGCCGGTGCCTGTAGATATCCTGCCACGCTCGGAGGGACCCACGAGAGGCCATCGCGGGCACACATCGCTTTCGGCCCAGCAGCCACCTCCATGTGGAGGAGGTCCCAGAATTTTCGCGAACGCCCTGAGTTACCTGCAATGATGTGAGTGATCTGACCTCTCTGCCCGTCCATCAATTCGCCGGGGTAGGGGCAATGACACAGTCTGAAGACTGGAACACGATATCGATCTGTCGTATGTGTGTAGGTATAGATTCTCCCTACGATACACCGGCGCGGTCGATGTTGGAGTCGGCAAAACGCAGGCCTCTAGGACTTGCCTCTGCGAATGACAATACTCGCTTGGAGAGCCGTGATCAAAGGACCTAACAGCCACGGCGACTAATCACACGATTCGATTTATTTCGCGTTTTTGGTGGCGGGTACCTCTGTTTGCCAGCGGCTAAGCGATCAGACTGCGTACCGTATCACGACCGACCGTCGCGCCCGCATCCATCAATTAATTATGCAGGCGCCTCGGGTCGTTATGGATGCAGATCTCATAAAGCCCACTCGCAGGAACTTGCAAGTGCGAAAGAGCAGGCAATCAAGCAACGAAGGGCAAGGAGGGAAAGGATGAAAGGAAGAAAGCATGTTACGCGACGTAAGCGCGCGCGTCGCGCTGCCTCGAATATGCCGTCCCCATAAGCCGGGACGGGAGGGATCGTAGTTTCAAGCCTGTACGGATGCGGTGATAATTTCCGGGCTGCTGGGACGAGCCCGATGCGGGCGCAAGGAACCGCAAGCCGATTGCGGTTCGAGACCCCGTCACCCATCCTGAGGAACAAGATAGAGAGAGTTCTTTACGCATATCTCTAATCGGTCCGGTACCATGTTTCACTTTCAGTCTCCTCGACCCGGCGCAACGGTACGGCATTCGCCGCAAAGTAAAGGGCTGTTTTACTTTTTGACACCTCGCGGGGACCCGTCTGTGAGGTACATACGTACTTACCGGCGACATGGACAGCGCACCAATTTGGGATGTTTCTGAGACGATCGGTGGCTCGCCAGTCAAAAGACGTGGTCATGATCGGGAGAGACAAGGAGGGATGGGATGGCGGGAACAGAAAGCGCGTGCGAGCCATGTCTGGACCAACTCTGGCTGTCTGGGTATGTGATCACTGATCCGGTTAATTATTATTTAAACCTCTTCTGGTAAAAGAGAAAGTAACCCGGTGTGGATGTCTGAGCTCTGGCTTCTCTCAGATCTCCAGACCCCCGGACATGCAGACATGGTTACATGGCAACGGGTGATCCTCGCGACCAGGGCACGTTGCGAACTTGCGAACTTGCGAAGCTGTGACCCCTGTCAGCTCGCGAATCCAACGAATGAAGTTTTCCTGCCATCCAAACCCCGACGGAGCTGCGCGTCGACCGTTCGTCTGATCATCTTGATACTTCATTGTACGGACGGTTGGGGCGGTCAGTCGAGAAACGCAATCGGTCGTCGCACGCCCAGATCCCGACTGGCCGGGAAGTAGAAAGTCTGGACGTAATGGTCCCGGCCTATCGGGTCGTTGCTCGATATTGAACCGGTGCCAGATGGTCACTGTCAGCACCACGTCGCATTGGTATGTCCTCGTGCTCGCGTTGGACAGCTGCGAGGGAGAAGAAAATCTGCATGCTGGTGCGACTGGTACCAGACGTCTGTTGCGAAGGGATCCAATCCCAACTGGCTGGCTCAGGCTGGCGAATCCGAGACTGGCCCAGCCGGCTGGGTTGGGTTCCTCGAAGCGGTGAAGAAAAACCACAAATCGTTCCGTGCTGCTGGGTCCATACCAAGAGGTTCTTTGCTTTTCGTTCCGCTTGGCCTCGAGGCTTAATTACCCCTGATTACTGTGCGTGCAGCGCCGCCTGCGCCGAGAGGCCAAACAAGCATGATCCAAGAACAAAGGAGAAGGGACGGTTGGATCGATCTCAACACCGCAATTTGGTTCCGGTGGCTTGATCCCCAGATAGATGGTGTGGTTTCACGAAATAGAGCACAGGGATCCTGCGTTCCAGCCTGTTGGGTGAAGGGGGTGAGCGGCAACAGCAGTCGACGGCCCGAGCATCTAATTCGCTGGAACACCAGAGGGCTTGCCGCCTCATGGAGATTGTTTGCGTGGGCGCAAATCATTGGCGCCAACGTGATGCTCATCTTTCGCCCGATCTGGATCTGCATACTAAGAAAGCCATCAGATTCGTTTATGGTATTTGTTGCGGACCGTATGGCCCGCTCGGCAAGCTGCAAAGTGCCAAACTGAAAGATATCAAAGGGGCCCTCTTGCTATAGAAGGTTATTTCCCGCTGACTCGACGTTTCTGGGCTACAACATTGTTCGTATCGACAAGTTCCTGTCGGTAGAAAGTCCACGGCTGGTCGGGCTCGGTAAAACCTCCTTGAGACTATGAGAAGCACTGCAACCTGACTGTGCGCAGCCGGCTGTCATAATGCGTTGATCCCGTGCACAGCAGGTTACATGGGCGCGGGGCCTGATGTTGTAGAACATGTGAGCAAGAAGCATCCGACTGACGAGTGGCGAGTGGCGACGACGATGCCATGCAAGACCTGCATGATAACTTGACAAGACGGATGAGAATCGCAAGGGGTGCGTGTTTCTAATGAGCCGTGACCCGTCTGCGGCCGTTGCTGGGCCGGTCTATGCAGTGTTGGAGTCGGCAGGTCCTCTCTCGGTAGATCTCTGGCGAGTTCAACTTCAACTGGGCACATGTAATGCAGACCATGTTTGCGTCGCCGTGGCTGATTGGTACCTCCGGAGGGGCAATGCTATGCACTCGGGGTTTGATCGAATGGCAGCGTGTCATTGCTAGTGATGCAGCAGACGCTCGGGATTGGATGACGGAAGGCAGACTGCTGACTGGGTGCATTTCGTCGAGGCGCGCAGCTCATACGGCGCCCAGTGGATCGTAACTTGCCGTTAGAGAGAGACAGAAGTAAAGATATTTAATAAGATGGTGGTGAGGGTTGCGCCTCGAAATAATATTAATAAATAACAGACGGTTGTCATCCTTCAGCCTCATCCAAGGCAACGAGGCGAGGTGAGGCATCGTTCCACTCATCTGCCGGGGATTTGGAAGAAGCTCGGTCATGTTGCCCATTTGGTCGGTAGTGGGCGGAGGGGTTGATGATCATGGATAGGTAGTCTGGCAAGGGACCCCAGGATGGCGAGGTCGGGGTCGGCCACCTACCTGGGCCACCTGGCCACCTGGGCCAACGAGAGGGGACCAGTAATAAGGCCCGGGGGATCAATGATACTCCACGTCGGCGAGATGACGAGGCGGGACCCGACGGGACGCAATGTCCATCTGCACGGTGCGGCGGGTGAGCTGCAGAAGCACCAAGGTATGGACATTGGAGCTGGGGAGTGCGGGGGCTCTACAAACCTTTGAAGGTTTGCTGTCGGCTGTCCTGACTCGCGCATGCCTGAAGGACTCGAAAGAGGAAAGTACGAAGAGAACAATGTCAGTGGAGTGGCCGTTTATTTCCGTGCCTCCTCCTATAAGAGCACTCATAACTTTACTGCAACAACACCGCCCGTGTTCACTATCGCAACTGCTGCAGGTAGGTAATGGACGTTTGGGTTCAACTTCCAACTTCCAACTCACAACTCCCAAGCTCCTTGTATCTTGTATCATGTATGGCATTCTGCTCACAATGTTTCATTTACACGGGCCTATCAGCGCCCCTCGGCCCCCTATCAATACTATCCAATGCCGCCGCCGTACTGCTAGTAGCTGTGTTGGCACCTGTGGGCATGCACGGTGAGGTAGGAACCGTACGATATTTCCATTCCCAGCAGCTGGGGCCGTCGCCCGTCACTACTAGCACCCCGTGCAGCCAGGCAGCTTACCGAAGCCCATCCGAGCTACATGTACCCGACCACCCGACCCAAGCAGGGTGGCGCCAGACGGGGCGGCGGGGCAGTAGTGGATCCCCATGCTGCTGGGCGGGGACTGGCCATAAAGAAGTACTTGGCTGTACAACGTTAGTTCTGTGGGACGGGGCCAAACGGGGCCAAAAGACGTTGTGTCGTCCAACTCGCTCCATCCACGTTTGTACTTCATGTCGTTTGCAAGCCGGTCCAGACTCCAGTCTCTCGCACCACACCCATGGGTTCCTGTCCGACCAATGAATACACACACTCCTGGGTCCAGGGCTCTGCGAGAGGTCGGGCTTGGATCCAGTCCTTAGCGTCGGTACAAACTACTGCAACCTGCCATTTCCCACCGGAACTAGACTACTAGTAGATCCATCCTGTCCTTCCACCTGGGAACTGGGAAACTCGACGGCCTCTTCCATTGTTCTCTCTTCCCGCCCGCCCTCTCAACCTCTTTCGCTGGTGGCCTTCCGTGCTTCTGCTCGACTCACCCGACAACCACCGCCATGGCCGTCTAGTCTTCTGGGAGTTAATACATCGCACCTGAATGGCAATCAACACCAAGCCGGCGTCTTGCGTATACGACGAGGAAGGGCATCTGTTTCCGCGACCCATAATATCTAGTATATCGTCCTGACCTTGGTTCGAGGTGTCAACGTACTCCCCCCACCGCCACTACGACCGTTATCCGCTCGACTGTGCCGTCAATTGTCGAGTTTCCGAAGAGTTCAGGTGGTAGTATTGAGCGCAGTTGAGCTTGAGCTTGACCTTGAGCTTGAGCTTGACCTTGTCGACTTGCAACTGCAAGGTGGATATATCGACTCTACGTTACCAGATACCGGACCAGCGACTCCAGTCCATTGGCAGAAGGCACCAACTTCTAGCCAAATTGCTTCGCCGATTCTTAGTCAAAAGTTTGCATCAAAACCGGAAAGATGAGTTCGCCTGCCACAGCGCCCAAGGAGGGCAAGGACAAGAAGGGCATGGGCAAGGTCCTGTACCGCATGAAGACCGTCTTCAGGAAGGGAGAAGGTTTAAGGAAGCCACGCGGGGACACCGCTGCTGCACCGGCCTCGGCTTCCGGTCCTGTATTAACGAGGTGAATATCATCGGTACTGCATTGCATTGGGTCCTGCTGACAGTTGCCCAGCCCGCCTCCTGCCGCGCCAGTGAAGAAGGTTCCCGAGTATGAGGGTGCCACAAAGATCCCAAGAATTCAGATTCACGAGGAACGTGCGAGGAAGCTTGGTGCCAAATTTGGATTGGAGATCAAGCCCAGCGAGTGGCATACCACCGAAGGCGATGTGCTCCGAGTTGACAAGCCCGTCCGCATGCGAGTTCACCGTGAGTGTCACCGGTGCAAGACGCAATTTGGTGCTGGGAACCAATGCCCCAACTGCCAGCACACCCGGTGCAAGCAGTGTGTTCGGAACCCTGTCCGGCGTACCGAGGCCGAGAAACAGGCCAATCGCGAAAGAAGAGAGGCCCTCATCCAGAAGCACAAAGCCATGGCTCCGATAATCCCGAGCTACGACTACTCCCAGAAGATCGACTTGAAGCGCACCGGCAAAGCTGGCGGCCAGGACCTGGTCTACAAAGGCCGACCTCGAATGCGTGTCAGAAGACACTGCCACGTTTGTAGCAGCTTGATTTCACCCGCTGCGAAACAGGCGAGGACTTGCGACAAATGTGGCCACCGCCGTTGCGGCGACTGCCCCAGAAATCCGTAAGTCTCATGCCCCGCGCGGAGGACTGTGCGTATATCTAACCCAGTTGTAGGGATGCAAAGCAGAAATACCCCTATGGATATCCTAATGATGAGCCGGGCCCAAACTCGAAAGGCGTTCACGCCTGCCATGAGTGCAAGAAGAAGTTCCTGCCGAACGTGGTGGATGGCCACGAGTGCCCAAATTGCTCGCACAAGAAATGTAGCGAGTGCCCGCGCGTGAAACCGAGAAAGGTCGAACCCAAGCCAGATCCCGAGGTCCTGGAGAGTCTGCGACTCCGCATAGCAGACATGAAAACAAGCGATAGCTGACAGTCCTGACGCCCTCGAACCGGCCCATATCCTATCACCACTGCAGGTGTGTAGCATCGTGGGAACCGGCTTCGGTTACACAACACGCGCCCACCCGCCCCGTTCTCTTCCATCAGCAACCGTGGTGGCTGGTCACGGCTGTTGAGATATCATTCGACCTTCAATACTTGCCATACTCTTCTTATACTCCTTCTCTTCACATATGCGAGCGCTTTGTATTTACCACGACCGGGACGAGGAATTTCATGTCCACACCCGCGATGAATAACGACACGAGCTGCATTACACCACACTCAGCATGCATTACCTAGCATTATGTCTTCTCGCAATCCCTCACGCCACCTTTTCTCGTCCTGGAGAGACTATTTCGGCGGCAATTGATGGGGGTTCAGTTGACAGGTTAGGGGTGTAACGAAAAGAACTGGGATTCGCGCGGAGCTGGGGCGCAAAGCAGCGAAGGGGTTTGGATTTATTTCCCTGGTAGCATAGAGCTGCTGCATCTACCTGCCCATTGACGTGTACCTACCTACCCACCTAGCCATATCCTAGAATAAGTGGAGGAATCATCAGTTCCGCTGCCCGTCTTCGCGTTGCATCCATCCGTATGCTATCGCTTTCTTGACTATCGGGTATTCGGGATGGTCTTTACGACTCCAATGATCTCGAGTGGCACGGCAGCTTCACATGTTCTTCGTATTTGGGCAATTAGAGCTGGCATCTTTCCCCACCACCGGTCTTGTATTCGTCGTTCTTGGTGTCTCTTTTCTTCTGCTGAAGTTCACGTCGCACCGCAGACGCCGCGGATATCACTCGCATGACGAAGCGGAATGCGCCCCCGGTCCACTCCACTCAACGGTTACCGTTGTCAGATGGATGTACGTTGTCAATCAAACAAACTGGTGGCGGTGGTGTGTGGTGGTGGTGGTGATGCTGCGCGTACCCGATCGGCTGGGTTTTGACAGATCCAGCTATGCGCGCTATCCTTTTTATTTTCAGTTCGAGCGGACGAAGGCACACCCGGTTTGCCATTCCTGGATTTGCCTGCATGAACTTTGAAGGCTGTGGACTGTGAGCAGCTGTGTCATCGTGCAAGCATCCGACACCTTCCCCATTCCATTCCCCCTACCTTATGGCAGGACCCGACCCGGCCAGCTGGCGCTGGGCTGGGCTTGGCTGGTTCGGGTTTGTTTATATGGTTCACGCCCTGCCGTCCTGCCGGTTTGGCCCGGGATTAGATGTCTAACGCCAACGTTCAAGCGCCAACGGTCAACTGCCAACGGTCAATGGCCAACCGTGTTGCACTGCAGACTGCAAGCGACAGTTACGAACGGCTATCCGGCTTCGGAGACGGAGATGGATAGGGAACTGGATTGGTGAGGTTGGGTTTCCGATCAGCAACCCGGACTGCCCGCGACGTCGTAGGCGTGCCCGGGTGCCATGCTGTCGGTTTGATGACAGACGTCACAGCAGCAGCAGCAGCAGCAGCAGCATGGATCGTCGTCCAGCCGGGTGGGTTCGGAGGTGCCAACGGCGTAGCCGGTGCGTGTCATACAGGCAGTCTGCAGACCTACATAGGTAGGTACGAACCTACTCTATCCAAACTTCAAACCTCCCTCTATGCTCGAGGCGCATGTAACCACACTACGAGCAGCGACCAGTTGCCACTGTGACCTTGGTTGAACGATATGTATGGGACCCGAACGCATTGTATGTACGGTACCATAGCCAGACCTGTGCTGCACTTCGCCATCCCGACTACGACAGCAGCAGTGGTGGCGACGGTGGCGATGGCAGCAATGGTGGTCAACGAGCCGTGGCAACGGTCTCGCACCCATCCATCCCGTTCGTGTTGCTACTGTGCCGTATTGCAGACTGCAGCACCGAGATACTACCTACCTACCCGCCACTCAAACTATTCCCAACGACGGAGACCCCAATGACACCTGGCCACGGAGAGTAGTATCGTCCATCGCCCCATCATCCATCCCAATGGGGAGGTGCGCGTCGGTGCAGCGAGGGCCTTGATTGGTTACTACTAGGGTGGGTGGATGGGATGCAGGATGCGTATTGCGTGCATGCGACAGCCGTTCGTGGGTGGGAGGCAGGGAGACAGGGAGGAAGAGGAAAAGAGGAAAAGAGGGTGTGGTGGTTTTTGGCCGTTTGCTGCGCTTACTTGCTCGCTTAACGGCCATCTAACACGCCATGTGACGCACTCGCGCAGTCGCTCTCCCTCTAAGTTCCATCTTCCTGTCGCTTGTGAGCCATCACGAGGGGGGCTTGAACGGGCAGACTGAGGGGTGGGTGGTGGAGTGCAGGAGTTGGCAGCGCGGATGGGATATTTACCCCCTAACCTCCATGTAGGCATCTGCTCGACACAGCCTCACAGGGCTTGCATACGGGGGAGTGGGAAGCGCTTCAGAAACACAAATACGTAACCCGGTAACGCCTGCACGTATGTAGATAACGTAATGACAAGGGTTCGGTATGTGGAAGAAGGCAGGGGGTATGGAACGCAATCCTCCCGGAGCAAGCGATCGCCAAGTGCATATTTTCAACCTGGTTTTCGACCTTCTGTTTTCTATCGTTGTTCTGGCTCTGTACAGTACCTATGGGGTCTTGCGTGCGCCTTGTTACATCAGACGCTTCCTGCCACATATCTACCCACGACACGAACCCAGCAACAGCCCATCCTGTCTCATCCCCCGCGTCATGCATCGCATCACGTCGCATCCGGACTGACGAAGGACCCACCATCGCACGGCACGTCAGCATTCCGCTCGAGATCGCGGAACCTGTCCCGCTACGCATTCATCCTTCTGCAAGTCAGGCCTGCCTGCAGATCCCGACCACTCCCTCCGATTGTGGATGGTCCGTCCGGTTGGCTGGGCCGTTGGGTCAGGTTCTGACATGTGAGCTATGCTGACAGTGTTGGCTGGTTGTATGTCTGGGGCGCAGCTGGGTTGTCGGGTCTATCGGCGACCATTGAGTCGGGGCCGGTAGGTATGTAAATTGATCAGGTAGTGTGGTGAGGAGTGAGAAGTAGAAACGGAGTTCAGTCGACCCAATGAGAAAGGTTCGCTGAAATAGGAAATGGACCGCAACCGGTGAGAAGCTGGCCATTGGTTGGGAGACGGGAGGGGTAAGTAGGAAGCCTGATAGACGGTTGGGATTGGGAATCCTTCGCGAACCCGACAGTCTGGGTGGCTTGGATATGATTTGTCCGTTGGGTTTTCGCTGGCTTTTTCTTTTCCACTTCCCTGCTGCTTAACACGAGGGATATTCCCTCGGCTCCTTCTATTTTCGCGGACCTTCCTGCTTCGGCGACCCCTTCTGGAAAGGCTCTATGTAGCGTAGCTGACGGTGTTCGACCTATCCCAGGCGGTCGGTGTTTACATGTTCGACGGTCCCCGCGGGCGAAGGAGTGTGGGAATAGTCAGCTTGCAGATGTGACTTGTCACTTATGTGTATACCCCTTTTGTATTCGGCATTTGGGTTCTTAGGTTACGAGACGCAGCGGACTTTCTCACACACTGGGCCTGTATGCATAGAGACGGTGGAACGGGAAGTGTATTTGGTAGTCAATTCTCGACTGCCCTTCCCCCTATTTTCCAATCGACGCCCCCACTCAGTTTCCAGGCTGTTGCGGGGTCTTCGACCAAAACGGTCAAAGATGCATGCAATGTCTCCAATGTGATAGCGAGTGCAGCGCATCTCGTCACGGCACATTACAGAATGCCACCTGGACTCGTAATCGTGTCCGGGTCCGGGACCCACAAGCCGGGTCCGAAATGGGCCGCCCGCGTTCAACCGGCAGACCGGTCTGTCGGTTTGGTCCTACGTTATGGATGTTACTTTGAAGCCGATCAATGCGAAGTGTTGTACTGTCGAGTACCGATCCAACTTATTATGAACCAGGGCAGGAGGTCGCAGTCTGCTTCCCCGCGGCACAGTTCTTCTGGCAATGTAGCATGTATGTTCATGCGGTCCAGCGGGCTCACGAGCTACGTGGCGCGACTGTTGACCCCAGATCTGTGCCACCTATACACACCGGGGATCAGCGCGCTGGTTTTGAACTCCGTTGTATAGCCCCCACGAACCCAACGGAGTGGTCGAGGTACTAGTGCTAACGCATAGTTCGGTCTGACGAGCCCGAGGAAGAAGTACTGGTACGTCTTACATTCCAGTTCCTTCCCAACGGCTTACGGACCACGGCCCGAGCCTGGGGTTGACGGGCATACTCTCTTAATCGCCTCAGGATAACCCGAGCCGGGTCTTGTGCCTCCGACGGGGATTAGGGCGTGTGCTGCTGTCACTTGGGTGACGGTAACCCATAGGCTTTGATGCGATAAGCTGTCATCACTCTACCACTTCCACTCCGGCTAGTACATATCCAGGCAAAGGAGGGACACTAGATATTTCCTCAAGCCAGTTACCGCCTAGCATTTCTGCGGCCTACGTTAACCTTCTCGGCCTGTACGGCCTACTCTGAGACATATTCGGGGTCACGATTTGTCTTGGTAGTACTGCAACTTTGACAGCTGCCAGATGCCGTGGAGACTGGGCACACAATGTCCCTATTATGTCACCTGGTGCTCGTAGGAGAAGACGAGAAAGGTGATGTAGTATTGAGCAAACTGGTAGAGAAAAGGGGGCGGAATGCCAGTCTTGTTGGTGGGGACAGATGAGACATCAGTACTTCACCAGCAATTCCGAACTGCAGTGATACCAAAGCCTATACACGATCTTCTCAGCACTTACAGGCTTCATCCAAACCTCGTTCCTCTCCACCGTCCTATTCGTCATGCCTCCCGCCCCAAGTAAAGCGAACCCATCTCCCACCACCTTCTCCAGCCCACCAGGCATCAATCTGATAGGCGCAGCCTTCAACCCATCTCCTAGGGCCTTGCCAAGCCATTCGTAGAACTTAACAGCGAATCCACGTGCCGCGGGCGAAGCCTTGACAGTGAGGCCCTGGTACTGCACTTCCTCTCCCAGCCCTTCCCAAACAGCGCCATAGATGGGTTCGACTTTCAGGGGTTGGGCAGTGCTCCACGCGCGACCTTCTCGTGAGCGAACGGAAGCCATTGCGGCGCCTGGTCTCTCTGAGAGGGTGGAGGCGCTGAGGGAGACGGAGGAGCCTTCGGATATGTAGTCGTAGACGTAGTCCATTCCTTCCTCGTTTGAAAGCGCGACGATTTGTGACGGCCAGTCGTTGTCGCGGTAATCCACGAGATGGTCGTACGCATATGGCGAGGATTGAAGCATTTGCCAGTGAGCTCTACTCGCTGCGCCGAAGAGTCTGATCGTCTTCCCGGTAGCTTTGGCGCTGAGGCGGGCCATTTGGGCCGCATAGAGACCGACGGACGTTGAAGCGCCGTAGATGAAGATGTTCAGAGTCTCGAGACGGCCGAGCCGAGCAGCTTGCTATTGATTCACCCACTCGGGGTGCTCATCCAATACTGCATCCCGATCATACTCGAATGGAGCAGGCAGGCCAAGGCGGTACCATATGGCCTGCGCAGCTGTCAACGCCACTAGACTAATGCCCGCTGCTTCCTCAGTCGTAACACCGTCTGGGACTCTCCAGACAAGATCTGAGGGCACAACAAGAAACTCCGCAAAGGCATTCGGCCGATCATTGACGCTACAGGTGCCTTGCAAGAAGCCTGCGACCTTAACGCCTTCCTTGAGCCCTTTGGCCAGCGAGACAGGCTCGCCGAGCACAGCAATCGTGCTGGCGAGGTCACTTCCTATAGTGCGGCCGGAACTTGCAAGTGGGTGAGCGACATAGAGGGGATCGATGGGGTTGAGGGATATGGCTTGGACTTGGACTAGAAATTCCCGTGGACCAGGTCGAGGTTGTGGGATGTGAGAGAGATGGGCCGTTCGAGCCCCTGCGTCTAGGACGAGTGCTTTCATGTTGCCGTGTTCATAGGCTGGATGGTCTTGTATGTATGCGAGGAAGTTCCCACTATGGTTGTTGTACTTTCGCTTTATGCATTGCGATGCATAGCATCATGGGTTTGCGACATGTCGAGCAGAGATCGAACCGCTCGGGTGCTTACTGACCACTGCACCTGTCCATTTGTCAGCTCAGAGAGGAAGAGCACGCCCCCGGGCCGGACCGCTGGAGTGCTCCGCACACGTCGCCGTGCAATCCTGCGTAGCGCGCACAACGTTGGTGCTCACGACGATGTTGTATCGTCCCCGGAAGCATTCAGGCGCCTCTCCCACGAGATCCAGAACGCAAAACTCCATCCATGAATTGCCTCGACGCACCGCTTCCAAAAAGCACCGACAAAGGGCCTATCTTGCATTCGGCAAGTCGGAAACCGATCAGATCCATAAGTCTAGCCTCGCATTCGAATGTAAGGTGGAGGGTGCGAAACTGCTCGCACAAGCGCGAGGATATTCGATATCGATGCGGCCACTCCCGCGTAAATTCTTGCCTCTGCTCTGCCTCACAATGTAACGGCTCATGAGGATGTTCAACAGTCGCTTCATCAGCCGATCATGAGTTGCTAGCAGGGGATCTTGGGTACCTCGACTCCATTTGGATACTCCGATAGGTGAACATCGAGGGTGAGGGTGTCGTCAACCTAGCTGACGAGACATTCATACTACCCGCGGCTGCCACCAGTGGCTCTTCGTGGTGGTCAGAAGTCTCCTATTATGGGTGACACACCTCACCTTACTCGTCTGAGAGCAACTTGGCGCAACATGGAGGATCGAACATGGAGGATCGAACATGGAGGAGCCTATACCCTGCCCTGCGACGTATACTATAATGTAGCGGATATGGCGGCGCCGGTTCGCGGTATTACTCATCATATTGTTGCAACGCCTCGGTGTCTAAGTTGTAAGAGGGAGAAGACGAACAGAGTTCAGCCATGAGCCACCAAAAATCGTTAATTTTCTCAAGGCTGCGGCAGAGCCTGAATTGATTCCAACATCGACAACATCTCCCAACCTGCTGGGTTGGGAACACGAAGGCTAAGTTGTAACGTTTATTGGCAGACCCTGAAAAGGCGGCGCTGATGGCTTTCCCAACATGACTTAAAGCGTCGTCTGACTTATACAGACAGAACAGCAGCGGTATCCTGGGATCCTGCAGTGGTCTCGGTTCAGGCTTCCAGAGTTCCCAGGGTCGACTCGGGCAGACCCCTGACCCCAGATCAGTCCCCACGCGGCCCGGCCGTGGCTGTCCCCGGTCCCCCCTTTCCTCCCATTGGAGACAGCCTGCATGTCCTTGGGTCTTAGAAGATGAGATTCACATTATCATAGACTGTAGGTCAGACCCCCTACCCAAACACTACTCCAGTCAGGTACCTAGGTACTTATGTAGGAAGCTATTGGTAGCCAACGGTCTGCAGATATCAGCGACTTTTCCCAGGTCCATCCAATCACCATGACTGTCTCGCGTCTGTTGGTTCCATGCTGCTGCAAGTTAGCGATTGCTTTTGTCTTCAAGTCCAAGCTGTAATGAATTTCCGGGTCTACAACATAGCCATCTCATCACGTCAACTTGTGCACGCCCGTTCACCTTTCAGCTTCAGCTCGATTGAAGCCAGACTAGTCATCGCGACCCGTTCCAAGATGCCGTCCCTGACCTCCATGGCCGAGTGTATCCTCGCTCGGGCGAAGAAGCTCGACGCTTACCCCGAGGCGCAGAATATCGCCTACCCATCGTTCGATGACGACACGCTCGACCAGCTACCGGACGAGCTCCAGGATGAGCGCTGGGCGCTCGCCAACGAGTTGAAGCAATTGAGCCGAGGCGCCGCGCAGACCACCTTGGACTGTGCACTCAGCGTGAGTAATGATCTATGCTACTTCCATCTGAGAGAATCTGGGAGAACGCGGTGTGACATTCATTGAGGCAGTGGACCGACGCCCTTGCCCTTCGCGTTGCGTATCGTTACAACCTGGCAGACACCGTACCCTGGGCAGCACCGCCTCCTATGGCGAGATCGCCGCAGCGTCCGGCCTCAAGGAGGACCTCTGTCGACGTTTCCCTCGCCTGGGCATGGGCAGCCACTTCTTCGTCGAAGACTCGGATACGAAGCGTGTGCGGCATACTGCGTCTTCTCGACGCCTAGCTACGGATCGGAGCTTCTCCGATGCCGTTGGCCTTGAGATAGATGAACTCGGACCCGCGTCGTCGAAGTTGACCCAGGTGTGGGACAAGCACGGACAGGAAGCGGGTGAGCCCAACCAATCTGCCTTTTGCATGTTCAATGAGACCGAGAGGCTAATCTTTGCTTTCCTTGCAAGCCAACCCGAGAGGACGCAGCGCTTTGGCGGAGCCATGGGTTTCTTCACCAAAGGCGAAACCTGGGATGCGCGACAAATGTTGGCGTCGTTCGACTGGCCGTCCATTGACCAGCCCGGCGCACAGGTCGTCGACATAGGGGGTGGCAACGGCCAGATAAGCCAGTACCTTGCGTTTCACACAGAACACGTGCATTATGTTGTCCAAGACCTTGCCCACGTGGTATCGCAAGCGCCCTCGCAGCTGCCCGGCCACCTCAAGGTCCGCATCGAATTTGTCCAGCACGACTTCTTCACCCCTCAGACCATGGAACCACCGCCGGCCGCGTTCATCATGCGTTACATCCTGCACAACTGGGCTGAGAAGCACGCAATCCATATCCTGCAAAACTTGGTACCGGCTATGTCCAAGGGTACGAAGTTGCTCATATACGAATACGTGCTTCCGGACCAGCCCGTGACCGACCTCACGGGCCGCTTTGGCTTCCAGATGGATGCCATCATGGCGACCATCTTTAACGCACAGGAGCGCACTGCTGTCGAGTACGAGCGGCTTTTGAAAGGGGCAGACCCGCGGTACGAAGTAGAGGCTGTGTGCCGCCCCGAAGGCAGCACTATGAGTATCATAGTGGTGGGCTGGACGGGGTAGGTGTACCTACCTAGGTATCTATTTAGGTAGCCTTGACGACGGCAGCTCCGACAGGCGGCCGACCAAGGATGACAATGCGTCTATCAAGCCCAAGTCAGGTCAGATCAAGGTCCAGACGGAATGGCAGATTACGAGAAACTAGACAATGCTCATATTTACTTATTGGGTCAGGCTTGAGCTGGGCTGCCGTGTCTCGGCCTTGTGTTCTGGTACTCGCCCAGGTCGAACAAGCGGTTACTGTCGTGGAGAGACCTGGACACTTGTATGTAATATAGCTGTGTTTCAGATCGCATTGACGCATGTCAACCCCTTCAATGTGTATCGAAGTGAGACTAATAGACCACAGTCTCAGTGGAAAGTCAATTTGATCATGGTCTTGTGATCGGTTCAATTACAGCCAAGTATGTACCTAGGTAGCATCCGGAACACTTCTCCAACGCTGTGTAATATTGCCTACACAGTCGTGTTGTTATCAGGTGCCAACCTGAATTTCCAAGTATGGGCCCATTAGGAAGTACAATACATCTCTATAGCCGCTTGATAGGCTATACGAAAGCAGCGAGGTTGCGCCCTATTGTTTTTTTTAGCCAGATAAGCAGCGAGTTTGCTACTTGTAGTCACAGTAAATGGCTGGCATTTCCCCACTTCTCTCCATGTTGAAGTATTATAAACCTCATCAACATAGAAGCCATTGCTTTTCGCTATCTGCAATCACGAAGCCATACCCACGTGATGGCCTCCCATTGGTGTTGTCCACTCGTGTTATCGAGTTGGATAAAATACATATTTGTGTGCAAACGCTCTCTTTCCTCTTGTCTTTGACTTGTACCGGGCCTTGCTGATCACACATCTTATTGCACTGACACACATATATCACACAAGCCCTCCATAGCAATGGTCATCAGTTTCTCTGTGCTGAGCGGGCTTTGGCATGGACTGAGAATACTCAACACGAGGTCAAGCAAGTGGAAAATAGTCAAATATGATATGCCTGCAACGGTCTCCTAGAAGCTGGATAGTCTCGAATAGTGTTCTATTCTCCATTAACTCAAGCTCATAGTCCGGAAATACGGGATGGAAATCATCCCACACATCCATGCCTCTCATCTTAACCCCAATTCACCCTCACCCCTTCACCTCTTTCGTTCAACTCGAAACACATCAAATGTTGCTATTGTCCACAATGTGCAATCCCACCAATGATCCCTGGACAGTGGAATTCCCATTGTTCTATCGCTATGCCTGATGGTGGATGGGCTTGAGAATTATGTAAACATTCAGAACGGCTCCGTCTGTGGTTATCTTTTTCCTTCGCTTCTTTCTCCAGATCCACACAGCTACAGCAGGCTATTAATCAGAGTCACGGCAGAACCACTTACAAGCCTTTGCTAACCCACTGAAACAATCTATGTACGCCCCCCAAGGCCCCCGACCCATTACGCTTCTTATCATACTAACGTGCAATGATACAACCCGTAGGCTCCAGCTCAACGCTGCTCTGCCGCGCGATCTACTTGCTTAGCTAAGATCTATCACTCTTCTTGAGTTATCATTTGGTAAGTTCGTCCACCTACTAACCCAACGGCAGTCGATTTGCATCAATAATACGATATACTGATAACTATCCTAGCGATGCCTTCTATCCTTCGATTCCTCGAAGAGGACGAGAGTGACGCCGACCTGACGAAACTACGACAGAAACTAGGTCAGACCTTTGTTTCGAACTCCGCCCTTCGCTACGTATTGGAGTCAACTGCCGTACGCCCATTCTTCGAGGAGTATGTTCGCGACTTCTTAAGCAACCATCCCAATGCCGGAGACCCTGACTACAACGAAGTTACCCGCCACAATGCCCTCGTGAACGCCACTTGGGTGCGGTCTTACCACTTCGTGGTTGCTGAGAAGTCGGAATTCACCGAACTGAAGCACTGCGTACGCTTTGTCGCGCAGATCATTCAGCATGACCAAGCTGTTCAAGGCCGGTTAAATGGAAGGAGGAGATCTTTGGCTTCGCCGTCTATCAAGCCTACGAGATCTTGATAGCTCTGAAGGCTATGTACCGCAAGACGCTCGCGCAGGAAATGTCCCATGCTTGAGTGATATGAGGATGAGCTCAGGGGGCTTAGCAGTACTGAACCGTTATATATGCTCATCACTCTATTTTAAAAAACCCAAGGTTCTGGTGTCTTGCAATTCCTGTTGGTCGATGAAAAATTCGGTGGCAAAGGGACGCCTTGCGCTCTAACACAGCGGTCAAGTTTAGTGGTCTCGAAAAAACAGAAATGATATTTGGCTATGTGCTATTGGTCAAACTAATCCAAGCCAAAGTCCAAAAAGCCGAGAAGAAGAGCTCGTGCTTCGAATTCAAGCCAAAAGGAGCCTGCTAGCGGCTTCTATCATGGACACACTGAGCCTATGTTTCACATCCCCGACACCCCCGGTAGTTCCGTGAGCCCTACTACAAGTTAGCACATCGATGGTGAACCGGCATCGCAATACTTACACCCGTCCGTCGGCTCTGTAATCGTCAGCGGGATAGTGCACTCAGCAGCAGCCGACATCTGCTGCTTCTGGATGGAACCGCAGCCATCATAGAAACACTCCGACTGGTTCATAGCGCGCTGGAGCGCATCGCCCTTCCAGCCAAACATGTAGTCGGCGTGGGTCCCGGGCCCGTTGACACCGGTGGCGCCTTCGAAGCTCCATACGTACGGGTTGGGAGCCCCGGAGGACCACATGCTGTTGAGTCCCGAGGTGTCCCAGACGGTCTCGAACGCGACCTGCGGTGAAAACATTCAGCGTCAGGCTACAGGCTGGGCCTGCCAAGACGGCAAAGCCGAGGAACTTACCTGCGGCACCCGCACGGGATGAGAGGAGGGGCATGCTGCGGCGTTTACGAAACCGTCGGATTGGATGGTGTTGTACATGTGTGATTGATGGTCTGGGCTGTCGAGGTTCACACCATCCCAGCATCTAAGCCTAACTGTTAGCCGAGCGGACAATACTGGGTTAGGTCAACGAGGAGAGTTGAGACTTACGCGGGGAAGTGCTGGGTGACAAAGATACCTCCTGCGCATGGTGTAGTAGGGAAATCAGGCATCTCCTGGCCTCGACCACCGTCGCTTGACAGACACTGGTAACGTAGCCCGATTCGTGGAGCACCGGTTGTAGTTGGGCTGCCCACCGTCATACGGAAGCCCTATAGAACATTAGAACCCTGAACATAGCCGTGCCAACGCTCTGTAGACTTACGGGCTGGAAAGACTTGACGGGCTGCTGCTGGATGTTGTCCTGGGACAGGTCGAACTGGGTATAGTAGACAGTAAGTCCACCCTGAGTGCCGGAGTAGCCATCCAGGTTCCCGGGTTCACCGGGACGACGGGCACGCGGTGGTAGGAGCCGTTGGTGGGATGTTTGAAGTACAGGGCCGCCGTCCAGTAGTTTGAGAAATTCTCGGCCATTTCGCACGTCGTGCAGGTGGCCCGCGAACTCACGTCGCCCAGCATGGTCGTCGCGTTGAAGGCGTTGCCGCCCACGATGTGGTGCACATGCGCGGCGGGGACGGCGCCGGGCTGGACCACTGGGTCGAGGCGTTGGATTGTCAAGGTTGAACATTGAAAACGGAGGCCTGCGTGGACGGGGGCGGCGAGAGCGAAAGCTCCTGCGATGAGCCACTTCATCTTCACGGTAGTTGGAACTTGGTCACGATGGGTCTGGCAGTAGTGAGATGGAGGCGGTTGGAGGTAGGCCAGGCAGGGAGGAGTAATCTGGTGCCATCTAAATATTATAGGGGTGGGCCTCTCATCGCCCCCTTCGTCGACTCGCCTTTCCTGGTGGCAAGCACGGCATTAAGGTCTAATGCTAGACTAAAACACGGAGTAGGAGGGTGGTATATAGTCTTCTCGGCAGATCTGTAGCGAATCAGCTTAGAATACTTTCATCCGGGCTATTATCCATGGAGGTAGGAAGTTATTAACGTAGCCGCCTGCCCTACCACATGCGGTAGTTCCGCCATGTAATACCTGCGCTGCCGGCAGAAGTCGACGCGGTCCGGTGGGCTGGCCCGGGCTTCTCAGTCGGAATTTGGTGCCGGCTAGATGTTGCAGGTAGTATCTCAGCACGCGGAGTACTCATGACTATCGCACTATGAGAGTTTGTTTGAATGAGCATGGTTCGTTGGAGTATTGCCCAATAACGACCACGCTTGTTGACAGCCCGGAAAAATGGATAAGTACCCCTCCGACTGCTTGACCATACCGTATGTTCAAATGCGCTTGGTAGCGGTGTGTGTTTTTTAGCCCCTGAATTGTATACATGATGAAATCTTATTAGCAGATAATGAATAGAAATATCTGCTCTTCCCAATAGGATACAGCATCGAAAAGGAAGATACATAAATACGCCCGCTATCTCCTTGAACCTTTATACGAAGGATAATTTTACATCTCATCATCATCGGAATCTTCAACCCAATCCCCTGGGACATACAGCGGCGGATTCTCGATGAGGGCCTAGAAGTCGCCCGCAAACTCATCCGTAGGCTCACTCCACCATACACCCCAGTCCTCAACTTTGGGTCCGACCTTGAGACCAATGAGCGCTCGGTAGCTATCAAGGACTTTCCTGGCAGCCAGCTGCTGGGATTCCTGACACTGCAATGCCCACTCCTAAAGTTCCGGAGGATGTCCGAGTTTGTCCGGAGCAGCTGCTTCTCCCGGTGGCCGTACAGAGCAAGGTCGACACCAGCATCATTCAAAAGTCGAAGCCAAGTACGCAACATGTCCTCCATGTGACCGTGTGCTTGGGTCTCTTCGTTTTCTGTTGAAGCCCGCACAAGCAACAGCACTAGCGCTGTGAGCTTGCACGGGTTATAGCCATTCTGACGGCCGAGAATATGAAGATCTTGTGTGCTCTGGATGACCTGTATTGCGAAGCTAAACCAACCGTCAGTAGCATCTTCACCCAGTCCTCGACGCCCGTAGCTGGCGTCTGTGCACTCCACGACGACAGCATCGACAACCATGTGTATCAGGGGTGGAACCTGTTCGTCGAAGAAATTGCAAACTGCGTAGGGATCACGTTCCCAGTCGGGACTGAGGGCGAACACCCAGCGCTGAGTGATTGAAAGGGAGACAAAACGTGCCAGATAACACAGCCTTTTGATTCGAGTTCGAAGAGGCGTTTCTGCCTGAGCTGGGCATGCGTAAGGCTACACCAATTGGAATAATTTCCAGTCTTCTATTAGGGGGCAGCAACAGGCAGCCCCTGGTTCTTCATACTCCCTTGACAGGAAGAGCGCGGACGCCGATGATAGTATTGCTGCAATTCTCTTGCCACGGCCTTGATCTGATTTGATTTGTTGATAGGGTAGGAGGTGTAGGTGGTTTATTGCTGCTCTAAGTTATACGTACATACCTATTAGCGTGTTGAGCCGTGTGTGATTAGTTGTGAAAGTACTAACCTACCAAACCGATCCAGGCCATCAACGTCAAGACCTAGCTGGAGGAGATAGTTGAAAGTCTCGACCGCAACCCCTCTAGTGGCATACTAGAAAGCAATTTTGGGTCAGCCAAGGACAATCCAGCAGGAACAGCAACAACATAAACCGCTTGCTGGCGACTCACATGCAACACACACCCCACCCATCTTCGTCCCGGTCGAATGGTGATGCTTTACCTCCGGCAAACATTGCTTGAAGTTCGTCCACCCGTCCATACTTTGCTGCCTGGAAAACAGGTGAACCGCTTGGCCTAACATAATAGCCGCGCAAGTGGAGTTTCCAACCAGCATACGACTTGTCGACGCTGATTGACCAGGCACGCAGAGTACCGGAAAGCTACCACGGAGGATGAGCCTCTGCTTGATACCCGTCTGAGGTGGCCTCAACTCTCCACCGGCCCAGAATAGGAGGCCTCTTCCATCTTTTCATCGGATTTCCGTTCGCACGACGAAGCGTGACGGCTTGGTTCTCGGTATCTGCTCTGTCCCTAGTGCGTTTGTGCTGATTGCCGTTTCTCTCTTCTTCGTCTTGCCCGACTTTGTCAAGAGTCAGTGGGCGATGGCTACTCTCCAGTTGAGAGGCAACTTTGAGAGCTATGATATTGGGCTGCAATTTGACAAGCGTTCTAAGACTTGTCAGATTAGCTCGTAGAGTTGACAACGTACTCACATAATGTAGCCCATTTGAGCTGACTGAAGCATTCTGGCAGCGATCCCCAAACGGCGCTGAAGTGAGTCCAGCTCATCCTCCTTGAGCGCGACCTTTGCACGAGAGAACCCTCTCTTGACTCGTCCTTGGGCCTTGATCTTCAGCGACAAGTTAAGCACGACTTCGGACAGCTTGGCTAGAGCCTTGCGACAGCATTCTGCACTGCGCACCGCCGCGACGTCATTCCACAGCTGAGGAGGCAACTGGGTCTGGCTGAACTGCTGCTCAGCTTCCCAGAGTGCCGGATCAAGGCAGTCGATCTGCTCCATAAGGTCAGTGATGGTTTCGGGGACATTCTTGACCTCGGACCACAGCTTCTTGAGTTTCAGGACTGCGCCGCCAGCTGTGCCGGTGATTTGGGCAATGGCGATGCCGCTGGCGACCGCGCCGAGGATTTCCGCCATCAGGAGACCTGGAGACTTTGTATATCAGTGACCGCTAGTTGCCAGCGTCTGGGAGAGGACGTGATGAATTGAAATAAGTTGCTAAGGTTGCCATGTTTTCGGAAGAAAGGCTCTCATTACTGGGTGAGGCTGAGCGTGAGGAGAACCGCAAGGCAGTAAGCAATCCATCACATGACGTGGCTGCGCGCCCTCGGTGCTAGAGATGCAGTGTAGATCCATCCGATGCTGCGCCTGGTAGGTGTATATGCTGCATGGTCAGCAGCCAATCCGACCTACATACGAATATGCGCGCTGGCGCCACGTCGACCCCAAGGCGGTTGCAACTGGATGCTTTCTTGCTGAATTAGAATCACACACGGTTTACCAAGATAGACGGCTCGCGCAATATATGATGCGCCCAGTGAAGCTTCCACGGGAATCCGTGGCATTGCGATTCCTACCAGAGCAGAACCCTCCCTATCACTCACGCTTAAACACCTACTCCACCCACCAATGCGACATATATCGAACGGCTACTGGAACGATATGTACACCAGAGAACTGAGGTTCACTGGGTCGCTTTGTCACTAGATAGGAGGTTTTTCTGACGGAATCGTGTTTGGGTATTGACTAAAACCATCTGAACACTCCAGATTGGTACCGCTACAGCGAGGATAGGCTCGTGCGCGGATCTGAATGTATCTAATTTGACACCTCTACAACCTTGCGATGCAATGGCTCTGGGAGGCGTGGTTTGCACTACTGAGGAGCTACCCCCCACGTTAAATACAAAACAAACAAAACAAACAAACATATCACTCACGCTCTTCAGCGTTGGAGGAGCTTGGCACGCCAAGCAGATGGCGAATTGGTTCAGGCGCAGAGGTAGGCAAGTTCGATATCTCATACCATAATGAAATGCCGCCGTTTGTACTGGACACTGGCGGCGGCGGGAGAGGCGCCTTGGCTCGGGCCCGCTGGCATTATAGGCAAGATAGGGGGGACTCAATTGGGCGACACTAGGTACCTAAGGTAGGTAAGGTAAGCGAAAAGCTTGGCATTGGTCTAATTTAGGCTTCCTTTTGATTGCCCAATGCCATGGGGCGTGCCAGGGGAACTGTGCCCCCCAAAGCTAGTCGCTCTTATTTCAGCCCTTTCCCACCCTTTTCGCGTCGATCGTTTCCCGTACTTATTCATCCTTGTTGTGTCTTTCTAAGTTCTAATTCATACATCGTCACTCGCTTTCAGCATTCCAGCTGCTTATGTTCGTTCTTTGTTTCTGTTCTTACAGCTTGTCTCACGTGTGCTGGTGTTTTTGTTTTGTTTTGAGAAATCAATAATCTATCTGTGAGGACTCGGAAAAGTTGAAGGGCTGCACGTGAAGGGAAAGAGAGCCAACGCTTTGCTATGGCCCAAGATCAGACTGAACATGAAGCGAGGGACGATGAGCCCACCATCTCACCCGTCGAGTCTAGCAACCATCCAATACACTCAACTCGCGATAATGCCACAGCCCCGACACCGGCAACGAGTTCAAGTCAACCACAACAGGCTGACATGGATGATGGAGAGGCGGCGCCACCGCTTCCAAAGCGCCCAGCCAGAGCCGTGGACCAACAACAACCTCTACCACCGCCGCACCACCAACACCAGCAACAGCATCAAATGCCTTACGCTCCCTACCCATACCCCCCTCAGCAGCAGCAGCAACCATACCCCTATGCGCAACCGATGCGACCTCTTCCACGCATGAGCCAGCCTTACATCGCCACCAAGCTAGGCCTCACCGTCCTATCCTCCGTCGTCGCTATCATCATCATCGCCCTGGCCAGCACTTTCCTCTCCGAGAACGGAGACGCGAATGCCATATCATACTACGCCTTTCCCATCGCCGCCGCCGCCATCATCTGGAACACGGCCGAACTGATCACGTACTGCGTCCGCCTGCGCAAGCATGCGCAACGGGGCATCCACCCGGGAGCCCACGTCGGGCTGCACCTCTGCTTCTGGATCGCCTGCGTATTCGCCGTCCTCCTGACCGTCAGCATCTACTACTCGGAGAACTCCACTATCCAAGACTGCGAGAATCCCTCAGATGACGAGGACGGTGGTGGCTACTACGGTAGTAGCTACCACCGCTCCTCCTACAGCAGCTATTGCGATGAGTACCAGCCCGCGGACTACTACAAGTGGATCTACCTCCCGACGCTGCGCGCCCTGATCGCCATGTTCGCCCTCGCAACCATCATCCACTTCGTGCTCTTCGTGCTTGCCTGCATCGACACCCACAAGCGTAATCTGCTGAAGCACGCCGGCGTCGCCATGCCGTACCCGACTGCCGCTGCTCCCGCCCCGGGCATGTACTACGCTGCAGCGCCGCCACCCGGGATGGTCCCCATGCAGTACTACCAGTACGCGCCCATGCCGCCTCCACAACAAGCGCACATGGCTCCCGGCTCTGCGCCTGCACCTGGAGCGCCGGCCCCCCAGCCGCAAGACCCCAAGGGCAAGGAGACGGCGCAGAGCTACCAGAACCTCGCCGGGTTCTACGCCCCGGCGCCAGTACCCGCTCCGGTATCTCCTGCGACCAGACAGATGGAGCAGCGCTCGGCGCCGGGGCAGGCGAGCTCGAGTGACGAGAAGGTCACGCCGGCCGAGCCCGCGCAAACTGCGGGACCTGCGTGAATAAGGGGAAAGGACCACTCATGAGACCATTCTGTATGTGTGAGCGTTGGCGTTATCGGGCGAATGATAGATGAAACTTGATGCATGAGCATATAGCGTAGCATAGCATATAGCACAGACGCGCGAACATAGGCTGCGTCGGCCGCTAATATTAATCACTCGATACCCCCGCCTTCCTCCTCCCGATTCTCATATTCCCCCATGTTCATACGTTTACCGGCATTATATGAAGCGTTCCATGTCGTCGTTGTGGAAATAGAGATGGGATGTTGGTGCCACTGGGAAGGTGATGCAGTCAGGGCAGGCGCAAAGCGGACGATAATCAGGTCGGAGTTGTGATCTACGTCGACTTGAACAAGTAGACACTATTATGCGGTCCGTCGTGTTGCTTTGCTCCTCATTCCGTGCCGCCGTAGAGCCTGGTGCGCCCGTCCACGCAGTCGGACGCTCTTAGCACATGGGCAAGGTCTTATGTCTCGCGCTCGGGAAGTGGGCTTCCATGGTATGGACACTCCAGCTGAAGTAAGGGTCGAGAGCTTGCCAGCGTTGTCCTTCTCGGCGATCTTGAGTGCCGAGACTACTCCGCCGTCCTCTGGAGCATGTACAGGACCTGGAGGCCAATGCAGATTTGGATATACAGGTATATCCCATACTGCCGGCTCCAGCAGATGACATGGGCACGGAAACCGTCATGGTGGGTGGGAGAGGGCGCGGTGCGTAGTGCAGGCGGATTCCAGCAGCGCACTCCTCGGCCTCACGAGGGAGCTCTCTGGCTTGTTTCGGGGGTTGTACCCTTCGTACATTTCTGGTAGACCAGATTCTATGTTGCTCGAGGGAGCATGTGCACATCTGGGTCACGGTTGATCGTCCCGCCGGGGACATTAAACATACGTTAATACTATTATCATTTTACTAATTTCTAATTAATATAACCTTGTAGAATACGGACTATCGTTTAATCTAATCTATCTTTCCGTTACGGATTTTAATAAGTCGCGCTTTTTAAGCCTTCGCGCTTTTATGTTACAAACCAACAAAGACATACAGGGGAAGAGGCCCGATGGCAGGCCCAACGGAAGAGACAGGGACGGAAGAGACAGGGACGGAAGAGACAGGGACGGAAGAGACAGGGACGGAAGAGACAGGGACGGAAGAGAACCAGGAAGACACACGGACCACGGACCAAGAGCAATGATCACGTGACCTACGTACCACGTGACGGATATGTTGGATCATACATATCCAACATATCCGGATAAGCTGGATCATACATATCCAATATATCCACCTCATCAGTGAGGGAGAGATTGGATATATAAGGATAGACATTTCTTATCTAGACAGATAGACAGTCTCTACCTCAGTGATCAATCTAAGCATCTTAGCCAACCTTAAGGTGGGAGAAATCTCCTGACGACTCGACTATTCAGTGATCCCCCGGATCAGACCAAGCCCCAGCATCTGAGCGTCTTCTAGTTGACAGAAGCCTCTATCGTCCTTTGTGTTGACTTACCTCAGAATATATACCCTACAGATGTGATGGTTCCACCATCCATCAGGTCTAGCAATGGTCCCCATGGTCCCCGGGTCACGTGACTGAGCACGTGACTGATCGGACGATAGCTTGATCCATGCCCTGGTGGGTCTGGTGGGGGACGACTGCCCACATCTAGTTGCCCACCAATTCGGGTGCATCTCCAGATCTTTCTTTTCCTTCAACCAGAGTTCGTTATACGTCAATAGTTAATAAGGGCCCCTGTATCCTTGTAATACATTTACGGACTCGTGACAATAGGACCCTTTAGCCTTATAGGTTAGACGGCTCGTCACATTTTGCTATTAATTAGGTTTTTTCATTCAAGTTATTTTCCGCGACGTAAAAAATAAATATTAACCGTTATATATGCATATGATTTACGCTAACGAAATCTTTTATATTACCATGTGTGAGATTCTAGAAGGGTCACAAGCCTTGGGGGTGTGAGCGGTCGCTGCAAATGTTGTTGTCATTTCAAGTATGCTCGGCAGGGCTAATCTACAGCTAAATACTATACTGCACCATGCCAGGGTGGATCCACTGTTCCTTTGACAGCCCTCTAGTGGGTACTGCACCTAAGGGCACCATATTTGGGATCAAACATCTGACACCATGGCTATTTTTACTTAATTTTTTATAATATATTTAAATAAAGCTTTAATTTCAAGTCAATATATAAACGAGTAAGCTTTGTGACGGCCTGCACGGACCTTCCCACATGACAAGCCGATACCTACCAATAAGGGAAGGATCTGACAGGAGAATCCCTCTTAAAGGGACAACCTCCAGCTGTACCTAGCGTTCTCCCTCTTCCTTTCCTCTCTAATCTTGATATTCTCGTCAATAGAGTAATTGCTGCTTGCTGCCGGCCATGTCCCAGCTCCTCAGTACGCTCGCCGTGACAAGCTTTATAAGTTAAGTTAGAATAATTATATCTTTTCGTTAAAAATAAGCCGTATAACGATAATACCGCTTATGTAATTTTCGATTATTACTAGATTTTATCGAAAATACTTCTTAAAGTTATCGTAATGTTAAAACGTTATAATTAATATTGCCGTTAAGATTTTTATTTACTTCTAGTAAACCGGTAATTATTAAATAACGTCGCTACGTATAATAAGAGCTATTTAATTAATATGGTATATTTAAATAAAGTTAAAACGAAATGATTATATATAGTGTGTAAAAAAGATGTTCGCGAGATTTTTATACGAAGATTTGTTTTTATATAAGGCTTTTATAACTTATCAAACGAAGTAAACGAAAGTTTTACTAATAACGTTAAGGTTAAAAGAGAACAAAGAATAAAGTTTAGCTATAAGCTATTAAAAAAACATTACTTATTTATTTAAGGTTGTAACAAAGCCGGAATTGATTTTACAATATCAATATCATTTTAATATGCTGGGTTAGGAACACGAAGTCTGGGTCACGGTTTGAGGGGTACTGCCTCTCGCTGAATCGTTGACCACATTAGGCATTATGGAGCAGCAACTGCCTCTTTGTGTCGAGATCACGAGGTGCACACGGCATGGCGGCCTTGTGCCGGAAGATTCGGGAGCTTCGCGAGGTCATGTATGTATCTTACGCGCTTAACAAGATGGCATGAGACAGTTACAGCATATCTGCGATGGTTATGTCTCTTGATCGCTGGACGTATCAAGCCTCAGAGGTTGAGGGCGAGGGTTATTATGACTTCAGCGGTACGAAAGAGGTAGTGGTCTTTCGGAATACTCTGCATTCTACGAGTACACGGGACCTCCGGTACGTTCATGGTAGACTTGAGGACGCGCAGCGGACTGTTTTAGGTACGTATGCAAAGTGGAGAAGCCTAAGCCGAAGCTCGGGTGGCCAACAAGCCAACACCGCGGGTTCGACGAGAGTTTGGCTCATAGCCCCGTCGGCTCACTTGCGGCTGACGGCGAAAGGTGCCAACGCCAATTATCACGACTAGTATGCTTCATACTATTCGAAAAGGTGGCACTTCATCTAACATGCCACGCGCATTATGTATGTATATGCGAAGGCACTGGCAGTGCTGGGGACGGATTGCTTCCTCAGCATGTTCATTCGAGGTGTCTTAGTCTGGTGTCTAGTCTTTTACGGTAACGATCGAGTGAAGGAGTGTGCGTTGCAACAAAGTGCGGAATGCCCTCCAGGGCCTTAGCAGATACAAGCCCACTTGACAAAACGACGCCCCTCCAGCTTGTCGCAGCCACTCGCAACAGGACACTCCTCGTTGCATCTCCCTTCCAGTATATAATTTTTCCCACAATTTTTACTAGTTTTCGTGTTAGCACGGGTGTCTTCTGACGGAGGTATAGTGCCGTGTCACAGTTAGACTGCTGGTGATTGCAGAATGACTTTGTTGATGTACGTGAAGAAGGTAAGAAACCATCAAGCTAACTAAGCGACATGATCTGGTATATATAGGGGTTGACCCCTCACATGTGGGGCTGTCATCTAGTGCCGTGACATGCCGCCCGCCTGACATTTAGGATACATACCGGTATTCGTCATTTATGTCTATATCACTAGCCACGGCCATGCCGATGGTCATGGCCAGCAACGTGATTTCGGCGGCATTGGAGAAGCGCATGTCGGGCCTGGGAGAATGGAGCGTTGCGGATTCTGAGATAGGGGTGAATGGTTGATAAAATCAACGGAGGTGCGATGGTTGCGAAGAGGTGTCTCGGGCGGATCTTGATGGATACTGCATCTGAAAACCTGATCGTACATGCTTGTTCTTTTAAGTTCCTTCGTTTATGCTGCTGCCAGAGAAGTGAACCTTGCCACTGTATTTTAAGGACACACTGCGCTGAATCATCTCACCAAAAATAGATTTAGTATGAAAGTGGAGCCTCATGGAGGATTGGTTCCTTTGGTGGAGCTTCATGTTCACCTTTAACATTTTTAGCACAAGGGTGGAAGGGGCGCACGAGAACACACGACGGTGGGCGGATTGAGGGACCGTGCGAAGGATGAAATCCTAGAGTTTACTTGCTCCTTATTGCCGGAAGAGGAAGCCACCTAAAGCTCCTAGGTAGTGCTGAAACAGTGACACCAAAAAATACAACAAATAGACAGTAGGGTAAAAATGGCAATCGACTCCAAAGCCTAGGCTGTGACAATCAGGCCTGCAGCTGCGCTGGTCAGGGCTGATGGTATGAAATATCTAGATTCAACAATATCTAAGGAAGAAGAGGCAAGGTCGGAAGAGAACGGGGAAGCTAGGGGTATATATGTACATGAATATGTGGAGGTATTACGTAATACCGTAACATAGCCAAAGCCAAACGGCAATGCCCGCCAGCACGTCATGAAAGAAAGAACCGTAACCAGAAAAACAAGATCCGTACGCCATCCTTATACCACCGAGGAATAGCCTAATCGACCAAAAGTTGACTGGATCATGCGTGCCCACTTAGCAGGAAGCAAGCCATCTAGGAGTGTGGTCAGCGGACTTTCCTCAACGTATAGCGTGGTAGTAAGCGCGGTAGTTGGTTCCTTACTGCTCTTGGCCGCTTACTAGACTGCCCTGCCTTTGCCCTTGTCAGGCTCTGGCGATGATGTTTGGCATTGTGCCATTCCCAGGGTAAAGCCCAGTCCGTTCGACAACGGCAGGGTGTCTCGAAGCTTCTGCTCATAGCCAGCGTTAGGTTTCTGGAGTAGCCCTCCTGGTGCGTCATGCGAGACATGTCCCGAGGAAGTGGCGCGGTCTTTATGAATGCTTTTCAGGTCAGTTAGATTGTGACTGAGGCGAGTATAGCTTACCAACTATCACCTTGGCCACAGCTCTATAGTGTATCGGCTGGTGGCTCGTCTTCTCCATGTTCACACTGATATAACCACGATGGACGCTCTTGAACAACGTGTCAAGGTGGACGAAGTACGAGTCGCTTTGGCCTTTCAGCGGCACGCAGTAGGAAACGAACCATTGCTCTAGCTTCTCTGCGGAGTAGAGATCGGTCGGGATGTATCGCTGAGTCAACAAGTGTCCTTGAGTGCACCGAGCGTTTTGAGAAGAGTTGTTCACATGATCAAACATGACAAATAGTACGGTCAAACCCACCCATATCTCTCCACTTCCTGGTTTTTCATATACATCCTGCCTAGGAAGTGGACCTGTTGAGTGGCGCGCAAGCCACCGTGGCGTTCAGGGAGGTGGCAGTGCACCAACAAGGCCCATCCTCGCTATAGCGGTACCAACCTGAAGACTCGCACAAGCCGGGTCAGAAGGGGGCCGTAGCAGGATTCGAACCCACTTGTTCTCGTCGCCCACCGCACAAACAAGAACACAACCAAGCGCATTTGACCATTGCGCCATACGGCCTGCCAGATACTGTGTACTTGCCGACTTACGCTACTAACGCGCCGATAGCCCTTGACACCACCGCTGTGATTATCTCTCTTGGCTATCGGAAGCAAAGGCGAGGTGGCGCCCCAACCGGCTAGAGAGATGACGAGGAGCTTTCTGATGTGTGCGTACATAGCGGAGGGCGACTTGATGGTGCTCCAAGATTTGCGAATGAAACGCACTGCCTGACGTTACGGACTGTTTGCTAATAAGTTAAAAAAGGCATGTAGTAGATATTATGTTTAGAATGAAGCATGGTCCACGCCGAGAAACGGACGACTTTATAGAACGTCACGAGCAGCCTGTGTTCTATATTGTATTAGCAGATACAATGCATTTCTCAACAGTATTAATAATCCAGCCACAATCCTTGGTCTTTTCATCTCTACGAGGAGTTGCTAAACTTAAAAGATTAGCCTAAGGAAGGGGTTATTTGCGTAAAAGGCTGTTGATAAGGCCAGCATGGGTCTTTGGGATAACGACTACTTATACTACTATGAGGATTTCAGTATGCGGATGGCTGGCCCGCTTCACGCCAGGGGTACTGCTTCCATATTACAAGTTACTGGGGTCACTTAGAACACTGATCGCTGAAAACAGGGCCCGTTATGGGATGGTCGTAAGGACAATTATAATCAATCAGGATCAAGTTCCGTACACTCCAATGCTAGGAAATCCAGGTCGCTACTCTCGATGGCTATCTATAGACGCCATACACCAAATGACGTAGTGTAAAGCCATGTATAGCAAACCAAGGTCTTCATGCTACACGTCCTGCCAGCACGAGATCCTATGACCCGCTGGCCTGAACCCTGGCGGCTCGCCACAGCTGACGCAATTTACGACATCCGGTACACAGCCTCCTTCTTGAAATACCGACTGATGTCATTGTCCTTGCCGCAGTGCTCGCACTGGTGCACCACCTTAGCACCGGCGTGGCCGGGCCCGTGGTGGTCGTCGCCCATGTCATTGCCTGCTCCCGATCCTGGACCAGCCGGAATAGAAGCGGAATCAGGACCAGATCCGCCGTGACGGAGTCTCGACTCAGACGGATCGCTCGAATGGCCACCCACCGACCCTGGAATCGCCTGCGTGTTCCCAGCGCTTGGCTGGTTGTCGTAAGTAGGATCGTGCATCCCGTGCCTGGGCTGCGTCTGTGAAAGCGGCGCGTGGGCGTGGGACTGCGGTTGCTGGTAGGGGTCCAGCATTCCCGGCTTCGTGGCGTGGTCGTTGCCCGTCAGGCCATCTCCGCGGTTCTGGGAGGCGTACGCATCGTGGCCTCCCTCACGGCCCTCACGGTGATGTCGACCCGCCATCTCAGAGGCACCGTATCCGGCTGCGGCACCCGCGCCAGCAGCACATAGACCGGCACCACCGGTGTGGCCCCGGCCCTCACTGTTTGAGGGCGCGTCGTACTCGTGGATCTTGTGGTCGCGGTCGTGCGATGTGTTGCCGGTTCCGGCATCATGGGGACGGTGCGGGAGGGCTGAGCCTGAACTCCCGGCGCCAGAGATGCCGTGGTCGCGACCGTAGCTGCCTGAGTCATTGTGGGCGGCGTTGGAACTACCGGGAGCGGGATACTTCTGGCTGCTGGTGCCGGTCACGCCGTTGTAAGTCCCGTGGGCGTGTGTGGGGTTGCGCTCATCATGCGTGAGTCCATGGCTGCCAGTGCCTGTCATCCCACCATGGTCTTTGCGGCCGCCTGATACTCTGGCTGCGTCTTCGCCCCAGTAGGGCGGCGTGTTATGACTGCCAGTGGCGTCTCTACTTCTGGCCTTCTTGTGGCGGTGCTTGTCATACGGAGCGGCGTCAGCAGCGCTCACGTTGGGCTGGCGCAGGCCGGTGGCGCGTGACTGCTCGTGGGTGAAGTCTTGGTCGCCGTAGCGGTCAAGACCGCCGGGACCGGCTGCGTCGCTGGTGCTAGTGGTGGACGGGTGAATGCCGTGTGTGGATTCGGGGTTCTTGGAGGAGGTCAGTCCGTCGGCGCCGTGGCCGGAGTGGTCCCCCCTGTCGTGGTGGGTGGTTGAGGGAGTGGTATGAGCCGTGCCGTGCGTGTGTGATGTATCGCCCGCCGGGGAGGACCCGAGTGTCTGGTATGTGTTGGTGGCGTGTCCACTGGTGGTGGTGTCGGTATGCTTGGTGTCTTTGTCGCCGCTGATGGCGTCCTTCAGTTTGGCTCCAATACCCATTTTGAAGAATTGTGTGGATGTCTAGTTGACTTGGAGATGTAAGAGGGGGAATAAAAAGCGCCAGAGGTCAAGTTCTTTTGCAAACAGCACTCTTGGCTATCGTTCAAGTACTGAGCATAGTCGAAAGGGATTGATGGATGTTTATACCGTCCCCAGCAAGGGGCAGTGCACACATGGATCATGTCCAGCTACTCGTCATCGCACAGAGCGTCCACATAAACCAGACATCTTGTAAGAATGGCTTGCCACCCATGGATACCTCGATCTACCCCAGTCGAAGCTCTTGCTGGTGCTCTTGGCCCGGGGTGTGACGCGCTTGTCGTCATGAGGGGCACCAGAATGGCTGGAAATGGAAAGCTCTCTGTATCTTGTTTAATTCCCGACCCCAGACTCAGGGCTGCCAAGCAGATTCGAGTTGTGCCTGAAATGCGAAACGCCGGTCCGTACCTTGACCCTTGGTTGCGTCAGCGGCATCCCGATTACCGTGCGTAAACTGGGTAGACGACTGCAGGGGTAGGAATTGACGTCTGGACGTTTCGCCTGCGAAAGTTGATTAAATGACGACATGGCATTTCCCGTGTCGCAGCAGAGCTGGAGATATAGAGGAGCTTCCAAGTTGTTTCCATCTTGTCGTGATGGACCCAGGACTGCTACCAATGTCCTCGGAAGCCCGGCAATGAAAGTAGGCCCACAGGGGTCTAGGCAGGTTTTGCAACTTCGACATGATGATAACCAGGTAACACAGCAGTGACAGCACAGCTTCCAACTCTCGCGTCCGATTCCGATTTGTTCAGATCGAGGCCACACGTGGAGTCCCCTCATCGCCTCATTTTCTATCGAACATCGTCACCGGGAGTGGTTGCCACTGTAACAACGGGAGACCGACGGGAACAAGGACAAAAGGGAAATGTACCAGCGCTCCAGTGCCTGTACCCACGTGACAGGCGTTGCAATGATTGCCTACTCCTTGCCGCTCCCAATTGGTGTCCAGATACCCTTCTCAACATCCTCTCTGATCTTCTTGGTCACCTCGTCCGATGGCGCGCGGAACATGCCCGCGTTGTCCATCCATTCATCCTCCTCCGGCGTATTGACCCGGCCGAGTCGCCAGTTCTGATATGGGTAGCGGCCGTACTTATCAAGTGGCGGTTTGTGCACATCCATCAAGCACATGAGCCAGAAACAGCCATCAGCGACGCTACACGGGCCTTTGGGCCCGCCCGCCTCCAGCATGTTCGGGAATCCGTACAAGTCCCAGCGCTTCTCGGGCTGGTCGCGGTACGGATCATGCACACCGTAGTGCCGCTCGATGAGGCTGCGCGTCTCCTCTGTGAATGCCGCGGCCTCTTCGCCCATCTTCTCGTGATGGATGATGGGCGCGCCGAAGTGGAGGCGTACCCAGACGAAGTAGCCCATCGAGGCGAAATCCTTCCAGCGCGCCCAGGCAGACGGTCGCAGGTCAGCGGGAAGAGCTTCTAGCTGCAGCGCGAACTTGAGCGCGATCTCGCCGAAGTAGGCGTATGTCCATCTTGTATCGACGCCCTGCAGCAAGAGGCGCGGAGCCTGGTCAAGAAACAACATCAAGCCGAAGGCCTGTTCTGGAAAGTCGGGGCTCTCGACTAGAGGTAAGAAGCTCATCGTGTCTGGGACGTTGTCGAGACCCAACTCGCTAAGAGCTATGAGGGCTGGCCATGCCTTGTCGCGCACTTTGAGGTTGTCAGTAGCCGACTCGAAGAACATGTACTGGATGCATTTGTCGAAGTCTTCGATTGGATCAGTCTTCTTGTAGGGTATCCATGTCTCGACCATCTTGGTGAAGAGCGCGGGTGTGAGCAGGGCCTTGAGGTCTGGCGCCATTGTGGGAGTCTGGCCTACGGGTTGCGAAAGCCTTGTAGTGGATGCAAGTCAGGGTAGATGGAAGTGAGGAGTCTGAGGCTGGTATAGGAAGTAAGGTAAGGTCACATTGCTGAGACTTCAGACTGGTACAGTCACCACCTGGTAGGACAGTAGATGCATAGGACCGCTGACTACATGTTGTCAGCAGACGTCTGAGTATAACACTCACTCGGGTTCCTGGTCCGTTCAACCAGAATCACAATACCGTATAATACGTGAGACCGTAGACGAACAACGGCTTCATTTGTATCACGTGAGTTGACACCGCTTTCATAGAGTTGATTCCGTACAGTACGGGGGCCCACCCTCGGCCGCCAATAGCTGTTCCAACTTCCCTACCGGCCATCATGGTGGTCCGTGGTACCGCTAGGTACCATCTAATACGTCACCACCAGGTATCATACGTGTGCTATCGAAAAATACAAAATAATACGATACAACACGTACATGTATTGTGTTATTTCTTAAACTCCACCCCTACCTTCATCACCCTTCTCATATCAGTCTTCCCACGTACGGTGCCTGAAATAGGATATTTACACGGTGCTTGAACGCAATAACAAGCAGCAATGACTGCCAATACCCCCATCTTGTACATACTTGATTTCAACGTCGGCAACGAGACAGACGATCCAGAGGACCCATTCGCTGCCGGCCGTGTAGCAGTCGGATCATCCAAGGGCGGCCAACTTAAGACTCTCATCGACCATGAGCGCAAACCAGATGGCATAGACGTCCTACTAGAAGATGGCGGCCATATCATCTGGACCCAGATGGGCCACCCTGACAAGAACGATGGCATGGTTCAGTCTTCTGATCTCAGCGGAAAAAATGTCAAGGACTTGTTCAAGGATGGCGAGATACACACGCCGAAGCAAGTCATCGTTGACCGCACCAATCATAAGCTATATGTGTGCGATCGGGAAGGTCTTCGCGTACATCGCTCTAACCTTGATGGGAGCGGGAAGGAGGTTCTGGTCAAATGCGGTGACTGGCGGAATATGCAAGATGTAGGCGATAAGACGCTGCATTGTGTCGGGATTGCTGTCGATACGAAGCATGGCAAGTTCTACTGGACGCAGAAAGGGCCTAGCAAAGGTTCGCCTCCCATGGCTGATCGGACGCGAGATGTTTAACTGACCGATATATCAGGCTTCCAAGGCCGTATCTTCCGCGCTAACATAGAGATGCCGGCGGGTAAGACTGCAGAGACCCGCGACGACATCGAGTTGCTCTTCGACAATCTACCCGAGCCCATTGATCTTGAGATCGACAGCGATACACAGACGCTTTACTGGACAGACCGAGGCGACCCTCCGAAAGGCAACACCATCAACAAGGCCGACATCTCCAAGTCTATTAAAGCGAACGAGAAGCGTGACGACTACTCAATACTCGCACGGCATCTGCAGGAAGCCATCGGCATTAAGGTGGACGATAGGAACAAGCACATATATGCCACCGATTTGGGAGGCTTGGCATATCGGTATGATATGGATGGCAGCAATTGTGTTGAGCTCTTCAAACAGCAAGGCTCGTATACCGGCATCGCGCTTGCGCATCTTGAACCCGAGAGGGCGAAGGAGCTCTACGGTATCGCTTGAGCAGTGCCATTGCTTTGCTACAAGCCGAGAGACCTCTGCGCGTATCTCCCGTCCTCATTAAGACCATATCTCTTTTCCCACCCAATATATTCTCTCTCTTACTCTTGTTCAACCCTTCTCGTCTAACTTCGTCGGTATCGAAGTGCCCGTCGTCAGGGCGGCTTTTGTTGAGGTGAACCATCACTGTCTTCTTGAACCCGTGATAGCTCGAGTAGTTGTTCAAGGTGAACAGCATCATAGCAGACGCAGCAGAAGTCTTCATGTCGACAATCTTGTTGGCCGTTACGCCGACAACGCGTTCAGGCTGGCGCTTGGAGTAACGCGCTCACACAAGCTCTGCCGTGCGCCACATGATGCAAAGCTGAAGTCTAACCTGCAGCCACAATCTCGTGGGCATTGCGATCGCATTTCCCGCATCGATTGTGATCACATTTCCCGCATCGAGTCTGACGACGCCTCTTGACTTGCGCCGTTGCGGTGGCTGCGAGTTTACGGTGGCGTGGGTGGATGAAGAAGACGTTATACTAACGGATGTGCAAAACGGTCGACCAGGCCAAGAATCATGAACGAAACGGTTGGACATTGGGACGGGAACGGGCAAACGCTCCGCAATTGAAGTGATAGGTGAGGCTGCAGAGCTACACATGAGCTACTAAACGGCGCGGGTGGTGAGAGTTCAGGCGTTATCACAGGTCGCCCATATCCACACCGCTCATAGGCACGGCGAGCCACATGATCTTCTTGTCATACGCCTTCGCCTTCTGCGTGTACTGCGCACTCGCCTCATCCCACCTAGTTGACGACGCTCCAGAATGCCTTGATGTAGTTCGGCCTCTGGTTGATCTCTTTCGGGGTAGGACTACCGTAAACGCACAGCTCGGCCAGTCCTAGATGGGGAGGAAGCATAGTCGGGGTTGCACTGGACATTGGAAGCTTGAGCTTGCTTCCTGGTAGGACACGATAGGACATGATAGGACGCATCTGCCGTCACTGTGATGATGTCCTAGTGGACTCGTGCGCCAATCCTCGGTATTTCAGCACCCAACAAAGGGGGTAATTCCGCAGTGAGGGAGGGGTTGGGCTGACACGCACAAATTGAGCAAAGCCGCAACTATAGCTTGCATTGGGAGGTTCTCGAAAGTTCCGATCTTTGCTCCTTTCTGCCTTTGCTGCATTTGTCTGTTGATACGCGTGGTCATGGTCAATAAGGTTGGCATACTCTGGAAGTTAAGGGTATTACAACATGACAGACATCATTAGATGAAGCATACATCCAACGTATTGAGGGTTTACTACATGTACTATCGCGGTTTCGAAACAAAAACAACGGATCCCACGAAGTACATCCAATGGTATGTGCTCACCCTCACTCATTTCCCTACACGTCCAGCTATTGAGGCCCAGAGCAACAACATGTGTATCTCCCTTCCAGCCCAAAGTCAACATACGACTCTTATATCTGCACTCCCCATTTAGTAATGTTCCGTCTCAATCGTGAATTAGCACCGTAATATGTAGGCACATGCAGGTAGACATCTGATATTTGAATTTCGAGGACCTGGAGGCTGGGGCTGGCAGGCGGGGTCCTACCTTACCTTAGTCAACAACACAGAAGCGTGCACGTGCCACCTCGCTCACTTTCGGTACATCTCCCATCTCCCATCTCCCTGCTTCCAGTCTTTCCAGGTTGGCTGCACTCGGGAAGGCGCCCCGCTGTTTGCTGCCCGCATGCGAAACACAAAACCCCGCCATTGAACCAGACACACCTCAGACAGACAGAGAGAGCACTTGCACACCACAGCGACCAGCGACCACCCGGTGGCCACCGCGACCACATCCACCACAACTGTCAACACCACATCCATTTGGACACGCTGACGACATCGCTCCCGCCCAAGTACATCCATTCGATCCATTCCTCCCGAGTCGCCATTCCGTCTATCCGGATATTCACCCACTCACCCACGCATTCTTTCGCTGGCAGACTATGGTCCTGGTCTTTGTCCCTGTACCTGTCCGCCCGAGCCCGACTCGAACGGCTGCCACATTCGCATTGTACATTGACGCCAGGGCTGCATATTTTATACGCTCCCGCTCCAGACCACTCTCCACCCTCTGACTCCGCAGCTACTGAGACGTATGCGTGCTCGCGCTGTGTGCTTTGTTCTGCGGCTCGAGAGGTTCACGTCGGCGGCACGGGAGTGATTGGCTGCTTGGAGCCCGCCGAAGTTCAAGCTACATGCTTTGATTTCGGCCGCCCACATTTCGCTATCTGCTTCTTTGAACAACACCCCACGACAACAAAACCCCTCAGACTCGACCCCGCGCGTAACGACGCGCAACCACCGCCCGTCATGAGTCAAGACGAGGCCATGGCCAATATCATCAAGGAGAAGTTGGAGCGGTCCAAGAAGCTTCGGGTTGGTGCCGTGGCCATGCGAGACGCGAGCGACAACGACAATGTCCGAAACACCCTTGACGAACAGATCCGTGAAGAAAGCAGCTATGTGAAATACGCCCAGGAATTACAGGACAAGCTACTCGCCGCCCGACTCAGCAACGTGAGCTTGTCTGGCTCGACTGCGGCTGGCTCTACGCGAGGCGAGAGAGGAGGCGCACCACCGCCTCCCCCGAAAGACGCCGGCGGAAGAGGCTCCTATGGATCTATGCAGTCCGGCCAAGGCGATATGATGGGCCCTCGGAATCCATATGCGTCTTCCGGTGCTAACACATCTACACCCGCCCCGAGGCCCAACTTCACCAAATTAGGTTCGTTCTCTTGGGCATCATGCTGTCGCTGTTATCTCTCCAGTACGCCTTGACTAATACCGCCTTTAGATCTAATAAAATACGATACGCCACACTGGGGCCCTCGAATCCAACTCATGCTTTCACAGATAGGGTTCAAGCTGAATGTTGAGGAACAATATCTGAAGGGCGTGGAAAAGATGGTTCAGCTTTACAGCATGGAAGGTGACCGCAAAAGTAAGGCAGATGCTTCTGCTAAGCGTGTTGAGAGTAAACAGAAGATCCACCTCTTGAAGCAGGCGTTTAAGCGGTACGAGGATCGTTACATAGGCGATTTCGACTCGAACGACTCTCCTGATGGTTTGCTGCCCTCTGTATTACAGCTGACCTCAGATGCTGACCATAGCCCCGCAGATGACAGCATCAACATGCCCAATTTACGCAAGCCTTTGACTGGACAGCTTTCCATACGAGTACAGCAAATCAGGAATGTTGATCATGCTTCCACCGGCCGCTTTTCGCGAGGACCAGAGACTTTCGTTGCTGTCAAGGTCGAGGACATCGTGGTAGCACGGACGAAGGTATCTCGCAACGACCGGTGGGAGGCCGAATACCACAATATCGACGTGGACAAGGCCAACGAGATCGAGCTCACTGTTTACGATAAGCCGGGCGAGCATGCTCTGCCTATCGCTATGCTCTGGGTTCGGATATCGGATATTGTGGAGGAGGTGAGGCGAAAAAAGATCGAGGCAGAAGTTAACAACTCTGGCTGGGTATCTGCTGATAGAATGGGCGGAGCTAGTGCACCACCGGCTCAATTTCCAATGGGTTCCCAGCAGCAACAATTTGGTCCTCCGTCCACTCCAGGCCATGCCGGCCAGTCACATCCTGGATTTGGACCCCAAGCGGCGCCCCAGGTCGGCTCTCAACCCATCGACGCGTGGTTCAACCTCGAACCTACCGGCTCGATCCACATCTCTCTCAACTTCATCAAACAGAACAAGGACCGTAGGCCAGTGGATCTCGGTCTTGGTCGAAAGGGAGCTATCCGTCAGCAGAAAGAAAAGGTGCACGAGATGTACGGACACAAATTCGTTCAGCAGCAGTTCTACACCATCATGCGTTGTGCCCTGTGTGGCGATTTCTTGAAGTACTCGGCTGGCATGCAGTGCGAGGACTGCAAATACACCTGCCATACGAAGTGCTACCCCAGTGTAGTTACGAAATGCATTAGTAAGAGCAACGCCGAAACCGATCCTGACGAAGAGAAGATCAACCACCGCATTCCACACAGGTTTTCGCCGTTTTCAAACCTTACTACTAATTGGTGTTGCCATTGCGGCTACATCCTGCCCTTCGGCAAGAAAAATTGCAGAAAATGTTCCGGTACGTCGATTGCTAACGAGTGCAACTTACTGTGCTGACAAGTCTACAGAATGTGGTCTTACCGCGCACTCCCATTGTGTCCACCTCGTTCCGGACTTTTGTGGTATGAGTATGGCTGTAGCCAACCAGATCCTGGAGGGCATCCGGTCACAAAAGCAGCGGCAACAGAAGGCCACTTCCCTTAGCGATAAAACCCTTCGGTCGGGCAAAATGAGCCCATCGGCCATGTCTGGGCCTACGTCGCCTTTCGGCTCCCAAGGTGGCCCGTCTTACCAACCTAGTATTGCTTCCCAGGAGGCGACGGACGCCGCAAAGGCCATGTACGCGAGCCAAACTTCTCCCTCACGGCCTGTTCACCCCGACCGGACCTCGTCGAGTTCGAGCGCTGCTGCGGCCGCAGCTACTGCTGCTATGGGTGGCATCATGGCTTCGCAGTCTGGGCGACTTCCCCCGGTGATGGACTACTCTGGTCGAGACAGTGGTGGCTACGGTGGGCTAATGGATGCACAAGATGATCGGTATGCTGCTGGTCAGGGATACGGCGCTCCTTCGCAGCCAAAGTACAACCCGGCGGCATATGCGAATGTTAACAGCTATCCCGGCCATCCACAGGCGCAACAGGCGCAGCAGCAGCAGCCCCGTCCGGTGCAGCAACAATCGATGTCTCCTCCACCACAGCCGCAGCCGTCAATGTATCCACAGAGCGTCCCGGTCCCCAAACCACTGCCAATTCAGGAGACGCCTTCGCTGGCTTCCGGCTCCACCTTGCCACCCCCTTCGCGACGACCTCTGCCGCTTGCAACAGACCCGGGAACTGGCCAGCGAATTGGGTTGGATCATTTCAACTTCCTCGCGGTGCTTGGCAAGGGCAACTTTGGTAAAGTCATGCTGGCTGAAACGAAGAAATCGAGACGGCTTTATGCCATCAAAGTGCTCAAAAAGGAGTTCATTATAGAGAATGACGAAGTCGAGAGCATACGGTCGGAGAAGAGGGTATTCTTGGTTGCCAACCGAGAACGACATCCTTTCCTGACCAATCTCCATGCCTGTTTCCAGACCGAGACCAGAGTCTACTTCGTCATGGAATACATAAGTGGTGGTGATCTGATGCTTCACATTCAGCGAGGCATGTTTGGCACTAAGCGTGCGCAGTAAGGCTGTCCGACTGGTCGTATCGTAATAAGGGGCTTGCTGACATACTGTTAGGTTTTATGCTGCCGAGGTTTGCCTCGCCCTGAAGTACTTCCACGAGAACGGCGTCATTTACCGTGATCTCAAGCTTGACAACATCCTGTTGACCCTGGATGGTCACATCAAGATTGCAGATTTTGGTTTGTGCAAAGAAGACATGTGGTACGGCTCGACAACTAGTACTTTCTGTGGTACACCTGAGTTTATGGCCCCGGAGGTAAGCTTTCAGCCGAGTTCACATCTGCGTCGCTCTTCTAACGTAAATTCAGATTCTGCTAGACAAGAAGTATGGAAGGGCAGTTGATTGGTGGGCATTCGGCGTTCTGATCTACCAGATGCTGCTTCAGCAATCACCTTTCAGAGGAGAAGATGAAGATGAGATCTACGACGCCATCTTGGCCGATGAGCCGCTCTACCCTATTCACATGCCTAGGGATTCCGTTTCGATCCTCCAAAAGCTGCTCACCAGGGAACCGGACCAGCGGCTTGGTAGCGGCCCTACTGATGCTCAAGAGGTCATGAGCCAGCCCTTCTTCAGGAACATTGTTTGGGACGACATTTACCACAAGAAAGTCGCACCACCTTTCATGCCTACGATCAAGAACGCGACTGATACCAGCAACTTCGACTCTGAGTTTACTAGTGTCACGCCCGTGCTTACACCGGTGCAATCAGGTGAGCTTACTGCCTTTCCAAGAAATCAGACATTTACTAACATTCCCACAGTACTTTCACAAGCGCATCAAGAGGAGTTTAGAGGATTTTCGTACACTGCCGACTTCGATTAGGACGCTGTCGACTTTGATCGGGATCCCCCACACGAACGGCGAACGGAGATGGAACGCAGCAGAACCATCTAATACACAGCGAGAATCATTTTTCTGTTATCTCAACGAACCATAGATTTTGATCAGGCAAGGCGATATGCTCGCATGGAGCCAGTTTGCCGATCAGAAAGCGTTTGCAGTTCTGCTGGTTGACAATGATGTCCCATCAGAGGGTCGAGTATACGAGACGGCGGACCAAGGCGTTTTCGCGAGTCATTCGATGAGCGGGTTTTTGGTTTGCAAGGGGAAAATGCACGATAGACGAATCTTGTCTCTTGCCACGGCTCTAGATCTGCGATTTCTTCTGACTGGGGGCATGGTAGCACGAACGTGTCTTCAACATTTTGTGTTCTCGGCATAGTCACATATTTTGCCCTGTTATACATAGGCCAACCAGCAGACAATGCACAGCGAATCCCAGCTTGATTCCCTGAAAGACCCGTTCGTTCTTTTCGAGTTCCTGTGACGGGCGTGTGTGAGTAAGTGATGAAGTGTCCTGTTGCGGAAGATTGGGTATTCTTATTATTTATACAAGGTCGAGGTGGATATACAGGTAATGTTGATCGGTCTGGTGTTGTTTAGTCTTCTACAGCACTCTATCCGCGAATGGTGTATGATAAGACTATACTCATGACCTCCTCACAAATAAGGCGGCTATGGCACCCGCAACGACAGCCCCGGCCACCGCAGCTTCCAGGGCGATGAGCGAGGCGTCGCACATGCGGATGGCGATCGTCCTGTCGCTGTACAGGTCAACCAAGGCCAACTTCCACCGACTCGGCTCGGTGAGCGTCTCTCGCCATGATATTGGAGGTTCGGCTGGCATCGCTTCGGCCGGGGACAGGACGGGTTCTGTGGCGGATTCGGGGGTGGTTGGTTCGACTATAGTAGCGTCCGCGCCCGCTTGTTCGCTGCCTGGGGCGTCGACCGTTATAGGTTCAGCAGCAACAGTAGCAGCAGCATCATCCGCAGACAACTCGCCTATAACCTCGCCGCCCTCAACCGGAGCCATAGCCGCAGTCGTAGTCGCAGTCGTAGTCGCAGTCGTAGCCGCAGCCGAACCCTTCCCCTGAGCACCAACCTCCCCCTGCTTCGCCCTCTCCTCAGCAATGGCCTCGCGCACCTTCTCCTCGAAACCGCGCACCAGCCTGCGGCGACGCCAGGGCTCGGCGCCGAACTGCAAGACCAGGAACAGCAGCACGTTGACGCCCATCAGGCCCCACGTGCCCCACGTGCTCATTCGGCGGATCTTGTCGCTCCAGATCTGCTCCTCGTGGTAGCGGCCCAGGATCCCGGCGCTGAGCTCGCGGCCGAGGCGCTCGGCCTCGCGCTCCGCGTCCTCGAGCTCGCCTGCCGTCCTCGTCACGTCGGCCTCCAGCTCGTAGTCCTGTCTGTATAGGGATGTGAAGCGCTCGAAGTCGGCGGGGGTCCACGTTTTTTGTCGTGCTAGTAGCGTCGTCACCTCGCGCTGCGTCGCGGACCGCTCGGCTACGGCCGTCTTGTAGGCGCTGCGCGCGGAGATTAGGGTTTGCTGCGCGGCGCTGAGGGAGGCTTCGAGGGCGCTGATTTGCGACTTTAGCGTCTCGATGCTGGAGTAGCCCGTCAGGTCGTTGAGGCTGCGCGAGGCGGCGAAGAGGGACGACTGTGCGCGGTCCATGAAGGCGCTTAGGGAGTGCGTGAGCTGGGAGCGCTGCGAGTTGAGGGTCGAGGGGAGGGACGGGTCGGAGGGGCGTAGTGGTCGCGGTTGGTCGGAGGGCTGCTGCTGCTCTGGTGGCGGTGGTTGTGGTTGTGGTGGTTGCTGTTGTTCTGGAGAGGGCGGGTTGCCGTCTTGTTCTTGAAAGGAAGCGAATGTCGAAGGAAACGGAAAGGGTGGAGGGCCGTCGTCCTGGCGATTGGGCTTCGGTTTTGTGACGCCATCGTCATGGCTAGGAGGTTTCGGGCTGGAGGAGTAGGACCGAAGCTGCTGCTGTCGGGTGACGGCGAAGCTGTATCGACAGCTCAGACATATTGACGGAGGTGCCGTGGTGGCAGAGGGACGAGCTACGAGCTTCCTCGAGACCCTGCTGGCCGACCTGGGAGCCAATTGGTCGATTATAAGCCTCGAGCTTGCCCCTATTAAGGGCTTCAATGCCCGCGGTGTTGACATTGGCGGAAGACCCTGTGTGCGAGGCTGTGAAGCTCTGGGGGAAGCTGTCAAAGTTTCACGATGCCGGGATGCAACCAGGACAAGAAGAGCTCTAAAGTTGAAAAGCTCAGACCACTTCCAATTTACTCTCATTGCGGCCCGGGACCGGGACTCAACTTGTCCAGCGCTCCGGGGAATACCCGATTACCGCCTACCGGGACCGTTTTATTGGGACGGTTAGCCCCTGACAGCTCCAGGGCTGGGCAGAAAACCGCCGATCGGATGGAGGGGCAGCGAGTCAGCGAGTCAACCCCACGAAGGAGAATGGGAGCCTGTGGGAGGATTGGAGGATGGCGCACGTGGGGTGCATGATTTTGTTGAAGATCTTCAAGTGTTCGTGGTCCCTCCACTCCTTATACAACCCCATCCCTCAAATTCTTTCCGTTTTTTGATAATTGAGAATCTGAGTCGAAAGCATAGACTGAATACTTCCAGGACCATAGACGATAGACACTGGCTTGCGTGACGTCACTCTCTATATATTCAGGTCCTCAGACACGAATTCAAAGCCTGGGTAAAGAGAAAGACCCCTTTTCATTCCTCACACCCACATACCACCCTATCACCCTACCACCGCCACCATGAGCTCCTCCAGCACCCTCCCCGCGCTGCGCACGCAGCCCAAGGCCATCTTCTTCACCGACTTCGACGGCACCATCACGCTGCACGACAGCAACGACTGGATGACGGACAACCTGGGGTTCGGCGCCGAGCTGCGCAGGAAGGGCAACAGCGACGTGCTGCACGGCGCGCGCACCTTCCGCGACAGCTTCCAGGAGATGATGGACAGCGTCAACACGCCCTTCGACCGCTGCATCGAGCTGCTGCTCCAAAACGTCAAGCTCGATCCTGCATTCAAGGAGTTCTGCACCTGGTGCGCCGCCAACAATGTGCCCATCGTCGTGCTGAGCGGCGGCATGCAACCTGTTATTCGAGCGCTGTTGGCGCACCTTGTCGGCGAGAAGGAGGTCCAGGATATGCAGATCGTGAGCAATGATGTCAAGGCCCGCGAGGGCAAGAACATCAATGAGGAGGGCGGGTGGGATATTGAGTTTCATGATGACAGGTGAGTTGACCCTGCAAGAGGTTGAATTACTAGACATGTTGAGGAGTTAGAAGCTGATGGTAAATCATAGCGATTTTGGCCACGACAAGTCTCTCGAGATCAGGCCTTATGCCGCGCTGAAGGACCGCCCTGTCATGTTCTATGCTGGAGACGGCGTGTCCGACCTGTCTGCTGCGAAGGAGACGGATCTGCTGTTTGCTAAGGCTGGCCGAGGTATGTTCGCTTACCTGACTTCGGAACCAGGAGAAATGGTTGAGAAACTAACTGGATGATATAGATCTCGTCACGTACTGTGAGAGGGAGAAGGTACCATTTACCACGTTCAACGACTTCTCGGACATCCACAAGATCGTCACCGACGTTGTTGATGGCAAGATGAGCGTTAAAGACGCTGCTACTGGGAAGAACTAGACATAGAGCTTGAAGCGGAAACATATAAGAGGTTGCCGCAAAGGCCTTGGCGATAGATTGCGCTGACAGTTGGCGTATCGCATAGACCTGGATAGGCATATAGACAGCGCATCTCGGGTGCTTGCATATGAACCTCGAGGAATTCTCATGATGACTACACCTTCAGATAGAAACATAGAATCCCAGATAAATCGTTGCTCGTAAAGGTTGGCTAATCCCCAGTGTAACCCCATGTACCCCTTTCTATTAGTCCAAGTCTCTTCGCTACGCACCGTCTCAACCATATTGGATCCTCTTTTATTCTAGTTTCAACAACGCCGAGTGATCGACCAAAACTTCAATCGCATGGTTCCCAACAGTGAATGGCGTCCCCAACAGTGAGTGGCGCCACGGCAATCCAAACCAGAGACGCTCACTCAGTCCTCTTTCTCTGCTTCGGCTGTCCATACCAGCAAACAACCATCAGGCCAAACAGCCCAATCGCAATTGGATGCAGCACAAACGTGCCCGCCGCCTGCGCCAACAAACCCGTCGTGAACGGCGCGACCGCACCACCGGAACTCCCAAAGGCACTGATAACACCCAACCCGCTGACCTGCTCGCGGCGGCTCAAATTGCGCGTGAAAACAGCTGCGGCGCAGGGATACACGGGCCCGAGCAGCAAGCCCACGATGGAGAGCGAGACGGCCTCCCCGATGATGTTGGGCACCAGCCACACAAGCAGCTGGAACACGCCGGCGCCGGCCGTGATGCCGTAGACGAAGCGCCGCTCGCCAACGCGCGCGCCGAGCGGGCTGAGCGCGAAACGCCCCAGCGTGATGCCCGCCCAGAACCCGGACGTCACGTACCCGACCGCCGTCGGGTCGCCGTTGCGCGTCGCGATCAGGAATGAGATCACCCAGCCTGAGATGGACACCTCGGCGCCTTGATATGCGAAGATGAAGATGGCGCCCAGCAGCACGACGCGTGACTTGAAGGCCGTGAACATGGACGAGACCTCGTGCTGCGCGCTGTTGCCGTCGCGCGATGTCGTCTGCGCCAGGAGGGTGGAGGACGCGGCCGCGGCCCCGATCTCCTTCTCGTAGCTCCAGAAGGCCCAGCCCGCGAGGCCGGCATTGAACACCGCAAAGCCGAGCGTGAGGATGTAGTAGCGGCTCCAGCTGGCGCCAGCCGAGACGATGCCCGTGGCGATCAGGGGGCCGACGGTGCCGCCCAGGCCGTAGCTGCCGTGCATGGCGCCCAGCATCGTAGTACCGTTACGCAAGTTAGCACAAAAAACGTTGCCGATGGCCAGGCTCAGCGCGAAGCCGAAGCCGATGAAGAAGTAGCCGACGACGACGACGGGGAAGGGCGCCGCGCAGAGGAGCGGTATGTAACCCACGGCCTTGCAGCTCTCTGAGAGGATCATCGTCTTGCCGCGGCCCAGACGCTGCCGGATCGTGTCGACGAAGGGCGCGGCGATAATGAAGCCTAGCGCGTTGCCGATGAAGATGAGAGACACTATGGCGTAGCCGATATTGTAATGTCTGTGACTGGTGTTAGTATGCATGGTCTTGGTGAAGGGCGTCTGTATTCTTAGAGCTACTCACGTCTCCATGTACGGAATCAAAGCACCAGGCGCCGAGTCCGTGACGCCACCCAGGAAGTTCTGGGTGCAGCAAGTCATCAGCCTGAACTTGTTCATGGGCGGATCGCTCAGGCTCGGAAGAGCTTCGACTGCTCCGTCGTCAGCCGGCTCGGCAGGAGTTCCGGGTACGCTCATCCCGAGGTCCCTTTCCTCGCGTGGCGTGGCGGGAAACGATTTGCTGCTGTCATTCTGACGAGGGCTCATGGGCTCTAGCTCAATTGTGTCGTCTTGCTGAGGGACGGCAGGGTACGTCCTCGAGACGACGCGGCCGGGGGCTTGAGGGAGGGTTGGCTGCGAGTTGGACTCGAAGTCGACGCGGATGTGGGACAGTGCAGACTCCATCTTGGACTGTTTGGACGGGTATCTCAGCCCTGTCTGAGGCGACTGCCTGTGGCAGAAGTGCTGCAAAGGCGAGAGAGAAAATCGCTAGTTGTGATTTCGAAGAAGGTGCAAACCTGCGAGGTGGGAGATGGGAGGTGGGAGACAGGAGACAGGAGGTAGGGGATGGGGGTCCGGGGATTTCATAGGCGAGTCACCCAGTAGCCACGCCACGGATTGAGTATATGGCTCATAGCTCTAGTAGATAACGCTGAAAAATGTCCAATTCGTAATGGATATTTGAGCGATAAGCAGGGCTCCCCGCATCTCACCAACGCCGCTGCTGTGCTGCCCACGATATGGGTTTTTTTGCCTCCAGTATAGGAAAGGTGTTTGTCATCAAGGACTGGGGGTGCCAGGGAGGTGGAGGTCCGGAGGACTAGAGCCGGGGGTAAAGCGGAGTAACTCAGTGGAGAAACTCCGCCATGCCGCTACCTAGGTAAACTCCGATGCAATCCTGGTAGCCCCGACCCCTTTAACCCCTTAACCCCTTTTGGGAGAATCTCCTACAACACCTTGAAGAGTTTAGCTCGTCCATGCCCTAGTCCTCATCATGGGTCAGATAGAAACCAGAAAATATTTATTAGCCAAGACTAGTTGACATTAGCTACATGGTTCCAATTCCGAAATTCTCACTGCTTGTCCAAGAGCCTTCAATGTTTGGCACAGAACGAACAACCGAGGTTTGTGACCCAAGAGAGATGGCGTCTCTCTAGGGGTAACTCTTAAGTGAAAGGACTCAGGAACGCGCTCTGCACAGAACAACTGCCACAGTATACGTAGGTAGGCTTGATAGCGCTCTCCAATCATCCCATGTCTCATTCCAAGCCCTCAACTTCCTTCCAGCCATTCAGCTAAGAGCACGGAAGTCAGGAACACGTGCAACCTCTCAAAGATTGCCACGCGACAAAAGGCGTCTTTCAAACAGGCACGCACCCGGTAGTTGGCCCTGAAAAGAGGGAAGCAGCTTCGTTGGATCAGGTTTCATACTGCACCTTTGCTATTGACGCTCCGCATTATAAACTAGTGCAGTATAAAGCATCACCAACACGATGTTGAAGACCTCCCTCTTCAGAGAAAATCTTTCAACAAGAGCCAGAAGCCCATGCTGAATAAAGTGCTCAGAAGAGAAATCTTGGGGGGTTCAAGTGGACATGGAGAAAAGGCAAAGGATTCAACTAGACTACGGCACGGTATCACTGTCCCATAAAATCTCAATTGCTTCATATATGAGTCAACCATCTCCTCCACCCCATGATTCTCTACCTACCTTCCATCGTGTGTACCTCCACCCATCCCGCTTGCAATGGAGAGCAGAAAGTACCTGATGGCTCAGCGACCCACCAAACGCAAGCGACTGTCTCGCCACCAGTCCGAGCAGTTCGCCAAGCACCAGGAACGGAAGCCCGCCTCGATAGTCGATGCCTTGAACAGCGATCCAGTTCGGAAGCGCATCCTCCGACTACTCGATGTCACGGATCTGCTGAAGCTCTGCCAGACGTCATTTTCGATCCGCTACAAGATCCAGTCGACGCACTGGAACATCAACACCAAGCTGAGCCGCTTCTTTGATGACCCACGAGCCTTGAGGAGCCAACTCGGACGCCACGATGCTCTGATCGCTGGCAGCTTCGCCCTACAGTTCCTTGCTGGCGTGGAGTGGCTCGGTTCTGACTGTGACATCCTGGTAAAGGAGGGCAAGCGCCTTGAATCGTTGTCTCGTTATCTCATCTCGAAGGAGAGATACAAGCCCGACCCGCCGCCCGTCTATCAAACTCCAAAGGACGCCGAGCGCGCTATGTAAACGACCAAGTCAAGAAAGTACGTACATATCGACAGCTCTCATCAATGTGTAGAATGTCACTAATAAAGGTGGGGAAAGTGTCACAAATTCCACAGAAGAGATGGCACAGAGGTTCAGCTGATTGAATGCCTAGCCAACCCGGTATGGGCCATCGTTGAAGGATACTACACTTCAGCTGTCTACAACCTCATCTCGTGGAACAAGGTCATCTCGATTTTCACTAGAACGACGTTTGTCCTTCGCGAGACTGTCCCGATGTACAGAGTTGACGACTACTTTACGCGGCTGCACGTCAAATACAGCCAAAAAGGGTGGCCGATGAGAACGCGATCACCGTACGTGACTCCTGAGTCTTTTGCGCCACCGGGCTATTGGACCGAATTTGGCCCCGACGTGTGTCCGAGACGGGTGGGAGACCGCGTGTCTTGGAAGATGTCTCTTGATACGACGGGCGTTGTGAAACCCAGCACACCCGATTTCGTCCTTGAGAGCTCATGTTTCGACGTGCATCCACCAACGGGTAGAACGTCGAGCGTCCTGGAGAGTGATCTACATTACTATGTGGAAGAAACCAACCGCTATAGATCGCCAGCCCTTCGATACAAGTTTGTCAATGATACACCCCTGGAAGTGAGCCATGAACTGATACACAATTAGTTACGTTCGCGGAAGCCTGTTCCCATTCGAGATTGGAGGGCTCTTGACTCGCTCGATCCTTGCCCAGTATGACAAATTGGAACCTTCTGACGACAGGGATTGTTGGTACAAAGGCTGTCGTGACCAAAAAATGGAGGAACGAACACTGGCCAAGCTTATTGAAACCAGAGCGATCTTTCATATTGATTCCAGTCGCATTGCAGGATGGGACTTTCAAGATGATCTGATTCGTCAATACTTCATCGACCAGGACGAGAAGGACAGATCCAACCGAAGACTCAAGAGAGATCTTGCTATCGACTGGGGTCAATCTGAGAACGAGGTCATGAAAGACACTTGAGAAATGATTAAAGTTGGGGCCATCTCAATGTGATGTTGGGGCCGTTGATGGGGTCATGAGTGAATGCGGCGTCCTCTGGCGGATATGGAGAGTCATTTGATGGGAGACCTGGGCTATCGCGGTAGTGCTTCACATGTAATGCGGTCTGCTCAACGACTGAGCCGCAACTTGGTTCATCCATCGGAGTATTGAGATGCAATAGATGTGTCAAGGATCGGCTCCTTTGAGGTACTGTCCTGCGTAGCTGCTAGACTAATTCAATGGCATGATTGGAATACACAGATCGTATTAATAAACCAAGCCGAAATCATCAGTTGGAAAGAACTGCAGACATGAGATTGGCTCCCAGAATGGCTCGAGGGACGGGTTGGAAGCGTGCGCATGGAACGCTTGATTGTCAATCCCAACCCACATAACGACTTCATTCATCCTGGACAATAGTAACGAGCAGGAAGACTGGTCGCCTCGAAGATCCCAAGCCACCATTTAGCCCGTCATGTATCTCACCGCCTCCTCAACAGACGACACCCAAACCAGCGTGGGATTGACCGTGTCGAACAGGTTGCGGTGCACCTGCTCGTTCGGGTCCCAGCACGCGTCTCGACGACGGAGACCACGAAGTTGTTATCAGTGCCATGCGACATGGTTCCCAGGATTGCACCGCTGGTAGCGATGTCACCGAGACTAAGGTGGGTTACGCGGAGCTTGTCGCGCATGTCACGATCCCCTCACTTTCCAGGCCGGACCGGATACCTGGTGATCTCTTGAAAACGTTCTCGAATTTTTTTCTAAGCTCTTCGACCGGAAGGGAGGAGCCGAACCCAAATACCCCAAAAGATAACAAAAAGCAGGGCCCTCGTACTATACGCTAAGTCTATCAAAATAGAACGCCACAAATCATCTCAATCCACCAAAACCTTAACCATGGATGGCGTCCACAGGCTCAGCCGATGCGTCACACGAAGAACGGCATGGCCGCCGCAAGGGTAGGTCCTTCATACTATGGTTGGCATCGGCTGGCACGACAGGAAAGGCTACGATGGCGCCCCATTTCTCAGGACCATCCGATACCTTCATACCGCACATCTCCCTCATATCTTGCCTCACGTCAGAGCCTCTATCTCGAAATTGTTTGACCAGCGATACGAGTCGTATCCAGTCATCAAGGGCGAGTGGAACTTTATGAACAAGCCTTGAGCACTCTTTCTGGCCCACATGAAGGTAATAAGCTTTTCGCGGTGTATCCCAAGATCATTGGGGCGGTTGCTTAGTCTAGAGCGTATGCCCCTTTCGGCAATAGGGTTAAAGGCGGAAAGCGTCAGACTTTACCTGTATGCGGCTGACAGGACACCTTCGGACAAGGCCTAAGTGCTTTTTTCTACATATCCACTTCCCTAAATCGCTGTGAGGCGCTCTTAAAATTTAAGGTTAAGGTACTTCCTCTTGTCAATTTCAGTTCCCAATTTTCACTCTTACCTAACTCGAGTCATTGTCGGAAATCATAACAGTGGCGTATTTAGCCTTGCTGTGAATGCTGTGAGCAGCATATGTGTCATCCTGTGGGATCACATGTGATCAAGCTTGCATGTGATAGCTGTCAGAGGTCACTTTCCCACCTATCTAAGTAGGAAGGTACCCCCTTCAGCTATCCGTATTCCCCTTCCAATACAGACCATTCTTAAATCTCACAGTTATTTTGTTTTGTGTAAACAGTCCGAAGGCCAGCACTTCAAGCCTGAAATAGTGACTAGAAGTTTTCCTATACAGCCTTCAGCTTCAGCCTGGCTCTTTACCAAGCTAGGCTGCCAAAGCGCCGTGGCTGCTGGTTGGCAGTTAATCACGTGCTTGACAATGCTTTTTTGTTTGAGAGAGTTTCTCCCAACTGCGCGGCCACTGGGTGAGTAGCACAAGCATGAACTCTAATAATCTTACCAGGCCGTATGGCGCAATGGTCAAATGCGCCTGGTTGTGTTCTCGTTTGTGCGGTGGGCGACAAGAACAAGTGGGTTCGAATCCTGCTATGGCCCCCTTCTGACCCGGCTTATGCGAGTCGACAACCAGCACACGACAGTAGAGAGGCCCCTTATCACAGAGCCCGATAGCCAAGCAGCTTGTCTCCATAATACCCACTCCTGCGAGGTTTTTTCCCTTATGGTTTCCCTCGCCAACAGATAACAAACACCTATTTCACCCACTAATGTGACATATATTGAACGGCTACTGGAACGATGTACACACCAGAGGACTGAGGTTCACTGGGTCGTTTTGTCACTGGACAGGAGGGTTTTCTGACGGAATCGTGCTTGGGTATTGACTAAAACCATCTGGTCACTCCAGGTTGGTACCGCTACAGCGAGAATAGGCTCGTGCGCGGATCTGAATGTATCTAGACTGACACCTCTACAACCTTGCGATGCAATGGCTCTGGGAGGCGTGGTTTGCCCTATGGAGGGACTGCACCCACGATAAATACAATCATCATCACAATCAATCATAATAATCTTACCTATATATTCCCCCTACATTCCTTTCTCTCCGTTCTCTTTTCTTACCAAAAATGTGACACCCCCACCTCACGCTGCCGGCCATCTCAACCCTCCCTCTCACAGATGCTTGCACGCGCTCGCTCCTCGACAAACAATGGATACCGAGATGACCAACGGAACAGAGAACACGATGGTTCCCAGAATTTGCTTGAACGACATCCTCGGCCCCAGGTTCGAGCCTCACCGAGCCCGCCTGGTGAGGCTACTAGGTACGAGAGATGTCTTGCGCCTTAGCCAAACGTGTCGAGAAGTCCAGCAAGCCTTCAGGTCGCGGGAGTGGAATATTAATAGCAGACTGGCACGGTTCTTCGACGACCCAAGAGCATTCCGTGCCGAAATCGGTCATTGCAATGCCTTGATTACTGGAAGCTTCGTGTTGGAGTTCTTCGCGCGAACCGTTTCGCCAGGAGACCACCTCAAGATACTGGTACAGAAGGGGCAGGACGCAGATAGGCTGGAAGCCTGTTTCCTTAGTGTTGGATATCAACTCACCAACGTCAACTCTTCGTTTGAAACGCAGGTATGTATGCAGCTTCACACCGTCGCTCCGTCCAGCTTTTTGTTACAGTCACCCCCCATAAGCCTCCGTTTGGCACGCCTTTGTTGACCTTTTGACATTAAATGCCATATTCGTATAAATGGGATAAGCACCCCGGAATAAGCAGATTTGATCTGGTTAGCTACGTTTGATGCTTATTCCAGAACGCTTATCCCATTTATAATCAATAGACTTTTGGTTGCGGACGAGAGGTATACGGAGACTTTTGGAGGTTCAGTGTATAGGAACTTGAGCTGACGAGCATCAGGAACGCACTCTCATCAAGCACGGCACCAATGGTGCCGTCACCATACTCTACCTTTACATGTCCGGCACAAAGATACCCCTCGATCCTGTCTTGAATAGCCCCACGTCAGACAATGTCAACTTTATCTCGTGGAACAAAGCCATATCAGTATACGCTAAATTGACCTTTGTCAAACACGACTCTGTCCTTTTGGCTCCGCGGGACATGGTGTCTGAAGGTCACCTTGATTGGCTGGGTCGCCATGGCTGGAGGATGCAAACAAGAATATCAGCAGTTCGAAAGGACCTGGCAGATTTCACGCAGCAGCGTTCAGACACGGTGGCTGTAGGTCACCGAAGGGTCGGGGATATTCTCTGCTGGACGATGCCTCTGGACACGACATCGGTCGTACGACCATCGGTGCCTGCTTTCGTCCTCGAATCGTCCAGACTGGCAATAACGCCTCCGCCTGCCATTCGACCCAATGAGCTCTATGGTTCTTGGAGTGCTTTCAACGAAGGCGAACATTTCACCATCCATACGAAAACACTTAGTTCTCATGTACTCCGCTACAAGTAAGTCAACACACGGACAATGTGCGGCGATGCATTTACCGTACGACGATACTTCTCATGAGACCGCTGGCTGACTCTCTCCTTCCCTTCCAAGATACACGTTCGGCTACACGGACCGCGACGACGGCAAGTATTTTACACCTTGGGAAGAGGTCCAAGGCCACTGCAATATATCTCTGCTTGGACAGTTGTGGAAACTCGGTGCCAACGAACGTAAGAGACTCACAGACGGCAAAACGCCAGCCGAAGTGCTCTCACATCTGAACGTTCATGAACTCGACAAGCCAGAAGGGTGGGATTATTTCGACGACGAGCTCACCGACCTCATTGAAAGGCTGTGGCGTCAAATGATCGGACGCAATCGATATCCGACAGTACCGATGTGAGAAGGATTATGAGCCTGAGCTTGATTTCGCTACACTGAACAGCCAAAAGTCGCCGTACACACCTATTTCAGCAAGCGACGAGTATATCTACCATAAATGGTATAAGCAGTCTGGAATAAGCACTCAAGATGACTTTTTAAATCAAAGCTGCTTATTCCAGTGTGTTTATTTCATCAATGTAAATAGCGTTAACAGTCAAGACTTGATAGAGGCCTCACGGACGGAGACTTATGGAGGGTGATTGTACCGCGTTGGGCAACGGAAACTTCAGGTTAGCCGGCGGGACGCTTCGCCCCAAACGCAAAGATGGCATAGTTACCTAAGGAACTCGAGGGCGATGAGGCCGATAGACTATCTCATAAGACCGCAACCAATAGATTGATCAGCCCAGCCACAAACGGCGGTACAATGCGGACGCAATGCCTCACGCATTACATATCGAGCATCATCTCTAGGTCCCTTTCATGCTCAGGTGACCACTTCTCTAGATGTTCTATTACAATTATATCCTCATTGACTGAATTTACGCATCTCTGCTCGAACCAGGGACACCGTGATGGTGAAACCTGAGCCTCCCCCTCGCCCCCGAGATGCGCCAATGAACGCGATCGTGCGGTGAAGAAGCAATCTCGATGAACTAATATCTGGAATCATACCGTCAAACTCACCATGTACGAAGACAGCCTGTCCGACGCCGAATCCCTGGCAAAATCCATTTCCGGCACCCGCGCTGTCTTCATCGCTGTAAGATGCCCGGGCAACATGCCCGGCAGCACCATCGCACAAAACACCGCCGCAGCCCTCATCGCAGCCCTGCGCATCCTACAGACCACCTTCCCCAACAGAAAGCTCCCGCAAGTAGTCCTGCTCAGCACCGCCAGCACAAGCGACTACCATTGCCGCGATTTATCACCCACGCCTAGAACACATACGCTAGTCAGGATCATGAGAGAGCGAAAATGCGAACCTGCTGCATCAATATAGTTCAACATGTACGAAAATAAAACTAGTGTTGGATCCATGCGATTCCAGACTGCAAACCATCTATACCAGGACCCACATGTATGATTAGATAAGATAAGATAGTGGATTGAGAGGGCACTTGGCCAGACCTTCGAGTCCAGCTAGATTCCTCTCAATCCAACCATCAGCAACATCATGACCTTGACCCCATACTCGAGTATTATGATTGATCGTTCAAGCCTGTTCCAACAACTAGACCATTTCTCCTTTCTTGTGTACACATAAGTCCCAGTACTCGAAGCCGACTCAAACGCGGTCATATCTTCCGAGTATCAGGCGCTGTGGTCTGGCCCATAGCACTGATCTCCTTCAGCCCTTCCAAGTCCTTGAGCGTACCCTCGCACTTGCTCTTGATCAAACCCCATGCGATCAAGCTCAGCGGCACTCTCAGTGGGATCTGCTGACCGCGACTGGCGAGGTCGTAGATGGTCTTGGCAACGGCTTCGGGCTCCAAACCCGCGCCGGCTTCTTGGCCCTTTTTCACGAATGCCTCGATGCGGCGGGATGGCATGTCCGGGGCCTTGTAGGCGGGGTGCGGCGCGATGAACTTCTTGCTCGACTTCTCGAAGTTGGTCTTGACGCCGCCGGGCTCGATGATGCAGAAGTTGACTGGGACCATATTAGCACACGAGTTGAGGTGGATCCACACAAGGTGTGGGAAAGAGGCTCCAAGATAGGGGTAACTTACTGTTCCAGTCCGGATGCATCTCTCGAGCAACCGACTCCGTAAACCCCTCGACAGCGAACTTGGCCGCATGGTAGTACGACTGCCCAGCAAACGTGCACTGCCCAGCCAGGGATGAGAGATTCATGACCAGACCGCCCAGCCCAGCTGTGGACTCGCGCATCACCTTCACGGCCTTCATGGTGACCCTCGCAGACCCGAAGAACACCGTCTCCATCTGGTCGTGGGCCTGCTCCTCAGTGGCGCTCTCAGTGTCACCCTGCAGCTCGTAGCCGGCGTTGTTCACGACGACGTCCAGGCGGAAGGCGGCGCCGAAGTGCACGGCGGCTGCGCTGAAGGCGTCATCGACAGACTTGGGAGAGGTTACGTCCAGAGGCAGCTTGAGAATTTTGGGGTTGTCGCTAGGGAGATAGGTTAAACTTGCATTGTTGCGGGCGGTCGCGATGAGGCGGTGAGAGGGCTTGCTGGCCACGATGGTTGCGAGCGCGCGGCCGATACCCGAGGAGCAGCCCGTGACTGGTGGTAAGGTTAGTTGTCTTGTCTTCGATTCTCGGTCGGACTCAAAGAAGCTCCTATGCGCTTTGGGTGGACTCACTCAGCCAGACGGCATCATCGGGCAGGTTGTACGGCTTCGTGTTGACGGGATTCATTTCGTCAAAACAGTGAGTGCGTTTCCTTGAGTCGTTATGTGAAGATATTGAAGATGCTTGTGAGTGTGGTTGAGGGATTGTGTAGAGTCGTGATGAGCAGGCAGCTCGACTGCTTTATATCATTACCTTCCACCATGTCGTCGTCGTTGTCGCCGTCGTTCTCGTTCTCGTCTACAACTGAGCCGCGAGGGTGCATGCCAAGCCAGTAATTCAGGGGCTCCTTCAGGCACCGGGCAACCCGTTTAGTATCGGCGAAGGCATTGCACAATGCAATGCTGATGGGATCATCGGGCACTGGCCGGCGAGACTCGTTGGGACTAGTGGCCGGATGCCGATCACCAAAACACGGGGTTCATGCGATCATTCGGCCGAGTAGATATGGGTATCTCCGTGCTGATGTATTCTGCGGCTGCTGCAGTTCTCCGCATGAGTCACGCCGGAAGGTTGCCGGACTCCGAACTTGGACCGACGCCGGGTCAATTTGCCAGAGTTAGTGGACGGTGAACTCTTGGTAGAAACGAGGGCTTCAAATGTTGATAGCTTGAACTTCCATCGCGGTGTCTTATCCTGGGGTTTCACCCGGGTTTCTGCGTGAGTAGTATAGGGACGCCCGCAACGACAAGCCGAAAACTCTTACTACATCATAATATAGCGATCTCATCATCTCAGGAAAACCTGTTCATTATCATTGCACCAGTTCGTTATCTATCGCACCGCTCGTCTGTTTCGTCGCAGAGTGGCTGCAAATGTTGTTGGTGTTCTGGTTCTTCCAATATATGCCTGAGTGCAGAATAGACTACAATAAGATATAGGCAGGAGTATCAAGCGAGAGAATCGAATTTCGTTGGCGAGATGGTTTCTATCCAGTACCAAGGACCAGAGCGATGGCCCGACCTTGAAGATGACAAGGAGGACAGCTGGTGCCGGCGTTTGCGACGGGTTGTTGATGCCACTGCGAAGATCATTGACGTAAGTGTTTAACCTTGTAGGTGGTCACTCAATCTCATTGGTAAGATCAAATATGATGGAGGGGGTTTCATGCAACTGCAATGAGCAAAGAAGCACAACAGCAGCCTACATCTCAGGTTCTCAGACTCCGTCGAGCTTAGCTTCACAAGCAGACTATGGCATCTTGCCCTTTGCAGTCTGCGGTGTTACAGCGGTCTCGCGAGTTGCACCGCCTATCGAAATATGCCTAGATTCCATTATGTCTCTTCTTAGTTTTCTTCCTTCCTGATCTGAAACCATTACCCGTCAAGTGTACATACCATGACAGGAAGAGAGAAAGATAGGATGTAGTACACACCAAACTGGGAAAACACAACACACGCACGCCAGGCAAGCGTCACTACACTACTTGCAGATGCTCATCCTTCTCATGGATTTACTCTCTGAGGTGAACCTTCATCCCTAAAAATCCGCCCAGTGCCAACTCTGGTGGAAGACCATGGACAGTGTGCGCAGCCAGATGTGTCTGGTGCCTTTTTTTTTAGCAACTTCCAGCCTGAAAGTATCCTGGCTGGATTCCCTCTAGTGGTCAGAAATGAGCTCGCCGTCTTCTCTGGAAATCCTTAGCGCCTTCCGCTCTCAAAATTCGCAGTGCCTACGGGCTGTTTGGAAGCACTTCATCGTCGAGGCGGCGAAACAAAGAGGGAGGCCGTCAAGTTTGATTCCCTTCTCGCTCTGCTCGACAGAGTCGCTTGTCCATCATGAATATGCGTGTCATCCTGACGACCATACCCGACTTCAGGTCCATCACCGCCATTCTCCTTATCCCTGCGCCCTCACCCGCACATCGCGCGATCCATAGTCATTGAAGGACCTCGAACTAATACTGCAATCGAAATAATGAGCACCCTTCCGTGTCCTCTAGGGTGCGTTGGGCTTCCCGTTCACGATACCACGTACAATCCGTGGGCAGCCGGACACCGCTGCGCACCCGGTCTCATGAGGAATAATCGCGACATGATCGCAATGAGCGGGATCCTGTTTCTGGTAGACGCCTGATGGAAGAGTCGACGCGGCAGTCATCGTCACTATTTTGGACGGCTGCCTGGTCACGGATGAATCCCACCGCCCAGGCAATCTGCTAGTGTATGCTCGCGGGTCGGCGACATCACATCACCGACGACGAAGATTAAATGGAAACGGGAAGGATGGGTAGTGGCTTTGAGAGCATTATAGACCAGAAGTCTAGAACATTGTAGACGGTGTGGACACTGACTGGGGGGCGGCTCCTCATGATGAGCACCCAGATCCTGCCCCCCGTCTCATCAAACTAAAAAAAGATGACGAGCTGAACCAGATCTTGGTGCTGACGTACATGCAGGATGGGACACGATCTTGATTGCCACAAAACTACTTCCTTTCTGATCCCCTCCCTTCTCTCCACTACCATCATTCATCAACCATTTTGATCCCGTTCGAACGATACGGTCCAGTTGTCCATTCCTTTCATTTTCATACATTCACTCTTTTGGCCTCAAAGGCATGTTCAGTCATTACGCAAACAAGTGGAACTTCCAAACGCTCATTATCTCTCACGCAACACACCGAATCACACATCACGAACCAAGATCCAAAGATGTACGCTCAAATCAAACCGCTTTTCCTGTGCGTCCTGGTGGGCCCCTCCGCTCTAGCAGCGCCCCAGCATCACAGGCACCAGCACGGCCGCAAGCCCTGCAACCCCACCACGTACGAGGAGGTCGTCACATACTCTGTAGTCACTACTTTTGTTGAGAGCACGACTGAGGCCTACCTAACAACAAAGGTAACGCCGACTCCGGAGGAAACCGAGGAGATGACCTCAGCCGCGCCCTACCCAACAACGACAACGACCACAATCATGGCTCCGGAAGAGACCGAGGAGATGACCGCAGCCGCGGTCTATCCAACGACCACAACGATAACGGCTCCAGATGAGACTCAGGAGATGACCGCAGCCGCGCCCTACCCAACAACAACAACGACGACCACGATCATGGCTCCGGAGGAGACCCAGGAGATGACCGCAGCCGCGCCCTACTCAACAACGACAACGACCACAATCATGGCTCCGGAAGAGACCGAGGAGATGACCGCAGCCGCGGTCTATCCAACGACCACAACGATAACGGCTCCAGATGAGACTCAGGAGATGACCGCAGCCGCGGTCTACCCAACAACAACGGCGAAGACGACACCGGAGGAGACCCAGGAGATAACCACAGCCGCAGCCCCCACCGTCACCGCGGCCTCTTCCTCCTCCTCCTCAGGCGTCGACTACATGACTACAGTCAACAAATGGCGCGGCATCATGAACCTCCCCACCCTGACCTACAACGCCGCGATCGAAGCGTCGTGCATGCAAACACTGATCAACAACGGCAAGAATGCGCTGACCGAGGCTTCGCACATGCTGTCCAACGGCGCCATGGCCCAGGTGCTAGCCACGGGCACCTGGACAACCGACGGTTTTGCCAAAGCGTATGTTCAGGAGTGGCTGTGCGAGATCCCGAGCCTTCACGGCCTGAGCGGCGTGTGCAATAACCCGGCCGGGTCGAGCGAGCAGGGGCATGCGAAGATTCTGACTTCGAAGAGTTACACTACTATTGGGTGTGCGGGCTTCGATGGGAATGTGGGATGCTCGCTTGGGTTTTGATGCATGGGCGGGATGATGGAGGCTGCGTTGTATGGGTAGGCGCCGAACTCATTCCTGGCGATGCTCGCTGCCTGTGGGTGGGTTGGGAATCACAGAGGTCGTTGGGTAGATAGGTGCTAGACACCTGATTTTACTTCTATGCATGGGATGCACGGCCGGGGGAGGCGCCTGCATTCATTCTTTTGGGATCGGCTTTATGTATATAGTGACTGGAACTCACTTTTTCTTCAAGGTCAGTGCTCGTGAGTACATCCCTAGTCAGGGTGCCGTTTATACTTATGTGTACTGTTTCTCACTGTCTGCTGTGCGTGTAGGGCCTCGTTACTGCTTGGCTCTGTCACCCCCGAGGCCATGTTACCCCATGGTTATGTTACCCATCTCCCCGTTACTCCATGGTCACGCTACCCTTTAATCACGTTACTCCGTGGCTGAGTTACTCCATGGCCCCGTTCTCGAGTGCGTAGGTAGTTTCAGAGGCTTGAGTAAAAACCAGTAGGTCGACAAGAGCTACGCAAAGCAGCATGGCGCTCGAGTGTCTCTCGCCCCGGAAGAAGTTTAGTGTTTTTATGACGAGCACTTCTTTCGGGAGGCTCCGGCTGCATCGTACAACCCCTTTCTGTCAAATACTATCTCGCCCTCATACTCTATCCCGGATACCGACTTGAAGTTGGGACCAAGCTCTGCCCACGCTGGCCATCGTTGCTTGGACGAAGTCAGCTTGTCACTCGGTGTCGCTGTAATTGTAAGTAGATCGTCACTCATCCAATGTATGGAAAGATCCTTTTTGACTTATGTTCACCCTTCTCTGCGGCTGGGCAACCCCCACAGCCCATGGCAGAACAAGTCCTGAGGAAGGTAGGCGCTCATACCGACCATCCCATGCCACTGCCCCGAACGAACTCTTCTCCTTTCCGCAGGGAAGAAGGTGCCCGCCCCCCTTTGCGCCACCTGCCTCGAGGCCTGTACATGGTCAAGTACCGCAATCCGCCGAGCTCCTTGCCTTTATCAAGCCTGGTGTCGCGGTTTCTCATCAACGACCGTCACAGGGGTCCCGTGGTCGATTTGAGTTTGCACTTCACTCACCTGCAAGTCTGATGAACTTACGCTAACTCGACCGTAGGAACCAAGACTGACGCCCTTGGCTAAAGTAGCCGCAACAATTTTGGAGCATACCTAGAGTATCTTCCCGAGCCTGATTGCATTCCCCCAAAAGTCAGGGGGTCACGTGGTCCGGCTCCTTGAATCTCAAATTCCAGCCATCACATCTTCCCGGCGATACAAACTCAAAATAACAAAAAACCTCCCAAAAACAGCGATTCATTTTCGGCGTAAGTTCAATCCCATTCCTCTTCGTGTCGGCGACCATGGGCTCCTGTGATTCGGCGCTTCAGTTTTTTGCTCCCTTTATTTCTACTAGGATCACCTAGGTATCGGAGGTGCAAGATTCCGGCGGTAGAGGGAGCACGCAGATGAATGTGTGCCTACCACTGTGTTCTGCCTATCCTGTGAGCAACCGTCTTTGTGTTTGGCGCGATTTGGTCAGATCAATATGAAAGGGTGAGTCATGACCGGTATACTCGTATAAGGCTAAAGGTGTGGATCCAGTGCATGGACCCATATGGAGTATTCTGGTAACCCCACCAGATATGTTGGAGGTTACCTGATGAAGGCTGCCTGGCAACCCTTTGTTGCCCCAGGTACCTCACCACTGTAATTTAGGTATTTAGATACGTCTCGGATGGAATCCTTTCCATCCGACCTTTTAATCAAACACCACCCAGACCACTGATAGATTACAACAAGACTTGTGATTTGTCAGCATCTGGGAAAGCTACCAAAAGGCACAAAGGCACCTAGGTAGCCAATAATAGGTTTTCCGGTGACTTCACATGGTGCTCATCTTACAGGGAGCCTTTCCCCATCAATCACGCGGATCATCCAGCGGACGAAAGAAGCTTCTCACTGTCTAGGTATATATCGACATTATTTGGACCGCCTAAATCGAGTATCCGTGAACAATACATTTGGAGCTCTGCCAAAGCGCTCTGCCGCCGACTTGGTAGCTGCACTCATACACGATATTGAGCAGGCCCTTGACCAAGGCCTTGTTGCAACGGTAGTCACAGCAGATGTGACAGGGGCCTTTGACGCTGCCCTAATGGGACGGCTGGTGGTTCGCATGAGAGAACAGGGCTGGCCGGGCTTTCTCATAAGATGGGTCCAGTCATTCATGTCTGAACGGTCCGCAAGAGTTCGGTTTGAAGGTATTGTGACTGACATAAAAGCTCTCACTTGTGGGTTACCACAAGGCTCACCAGCTTCTCCAATCCTTTATATGCTGTATACAGAGCCAATCTGTGCCCGACTCGGTATAAAAAGGAGACGCTTTGGATATGCAGACGACCTAGCGACTCTCTGTATTAGAAAGAACCTTAAAGAAATAGCTACAAAGGCTTCTAAAAATCTTCATTTACTCAACCAATGGGGACACAATAATGTTATTGAGTTTGACCCCGACAAAACCGAGATCATGCACTTCTCACAGAAAAAGAACTCAAACAATCCTCCGGTCCGCCATAGAATAATAAACAGAACAGCAAAGAAATCCATGCGATGGCTGGGTGTCTTCCTGGATAGAAAACTGAACTTCAAAGATCACGTTTCCTACTGGGCCAAGAAAGCTAGTAAGGTAATAAACCACCTTTGAGGACTATGCAACACAGTCAAAGGACTTCCAGTAAAATCAACCAAGAGGGCTGTAAAAACTTGTGTTATTCCTATTCTTACATATGGCCTGGAGGCCTGGTACCCAGGAATGAAAAAAATTAGGAGCTTAGGTGGGACATCAGCATGTCGCATTAAAGGGCTTCTTAGAACGATAGATGCTGTACTACGAACAGCAATCAGAGCTATCTTGCCAGTCTGGAAAACACACCCTGGACATATCCTACACTTTGAATCACAGATTCCTCCAGCAGGAATTCTTGTAGAGTCAATAAGAAGACGTCACGGCCTCCGACTCGGACGAGTAGATCAGAGACACCCTCTTGTTGGCAGGCTCTAAATACAAGCTTGCAAAAAACCAACAAGGCTACAAAGGAGCTTCCAACTAGTCCCTGACTTCCAAAGACCAATACTCACCAAGCCATTATGGAAGAAGCCCCCAGTCCGTAAAAATAAAGACAAAGAAATAGAGCTCTTCAAGCAATGACTACAGGAAAGAAATGCGAACACTGACCTTGTCATCTATTCAGATGGATCACAATTGGACGACCAAGGCATAACCCGCACTGGATGGGGCTATACCATCAGGAAAGGCGGCACTACACAAGAAGTATACCGGGGAAGGGGCAGACTTCTACAAACAGAAGTAGTGGATGCTGAAGTCCATGGTGCTCTCTAAGGTCTTGCAGCAGCCAGGGCAATTGGACACAGAAAATAGTTATATGTCTGCCTGGACAACATATCAGTGGTGGATGGGCTCAATGGGACTCCATCCGAGACATCACAGAAAAATTTTCTGCGATTCCAAGAACTCGCCACAGCACACACTCCTGGAGTGACCGTCAAGTGGATTCCTGGACACAGAGATATTGATAATAATGAAGCTGCCGATATATTAACAAAAAAGGGTGCTATGCTAGAAACAGACACGAGAAACCTTCTTACAATCTCTTGGGTCAAGAGAGATCTTAAGAGAAAGGGCAAGAAAGAGTTCAACCAATGGTAAAAAGACCAATCAGAATCTAGGTATCAAGAAGTATACTCACATGCAGTAATTGAAAGAGGCCTTATATCCTTTAAGAGGAGCACTCTACACAGACTTCTAGCGGCCAGATCTGGACATGGCGACTTTGCCAGATACCACGAACGCTTTGGGCATACAGACTCAAACAACCACTGCAGCTATGGTGAAAAGAAAATACCACAACATATTTTCTTTTATAAGAGGTTAGGAAAAAATCGGTTATTGCCTAGGTACTCGCTTAGGACAGCCTGTTTACAATACTTAGGGGAGAGGAGCACAGAATGGGCAAAATTCGTGGAGAAGAGCAAGTTCTTTTCAACAATCTGTCTCCGATAGATAGCTGTTCTTGAAGGACCAGATGGATGACCCCAAGGTCATACCGCCGCAACAATGGGGATGGGCCCGTGAGCGGGACTGACTGTACTTATTTTTTTGAGACCTCCACAACCCTGCGATGCAGAGGCTCTGGGAGGCGTGGTCTGCACTACTGAGGAGCTATCCCCCACGTTAAATACAAAACAAACAAACAAACGTGAACAATACATATTCAAGTCCCTAATATCCTCACAGCACTGGAGAGCGAATATTCGCACTCTTTCAGAAGCGCATAAGCCCACTCTCGACCTCACCACCCAAGCCATAGAAGAAGGAAGGTTGAAAAAGTTGAAGAAAAGTTGGATCCATCCGGACCACTACCGACAGTATGTCTTGGGTAGAATCTTGTCTGACGACATTCTGCCACTTCACACAGCGAGGACGCCGTCATTTTTACAGAAGGAAACAAGAAGTTGTTATGCGCAAGCGTACATGAAACGACTGGTTTCGCGCTTCTTCGGAGGCAGTATACTTGGTCTCTTCGACCGGTATATCAACCTGTGGGCCCATCCAGTCCCTTTGCCCAAACCGGAGACGAAGTGTCATGTTGGTGATAAGTAATTGAGACAGATTCACCCTTACCTTGACATTGAAGCTGCCATAGTAACGGGTATGCAGGACGCTCCCATGTGCATAGTCCACTATGGTACATGGTCGACTCCCGCGGACCATGAAGGGAGAAAGGTTATACTTCACGCTATTCACGAAGACCAAAGGCCAGGGAGTCGCAAAGAGTCAGTTCAAAAACCTTTGCCGTGGTGTTTTCGGAAAAGTCAACGAAACGATGCCCTTTTTGGTTGAAGAACTGGATCCGGAATGCTACACCGAATGTATAAACATCTACAAGGGCCTCCCTGACGATGAGAACTGTATGCTGCCAATAACGTGATCCCCCTTTCCCCGCAGGACTGCCGGCCTCCCCGCCTCCCCGCCTCCCCGCCGCGGCACTGCACATCGAACGTCACTCTTCCCTCTCCACCTGCATACTTCACCGCAACTGGACGATGAAGAAGCCGACTCTTCTATCGCGACTCCGCTTCTCGGTGTGGCCTTTACCGTCGGTCTATCCAGTAGACTGCGTAGTCGATATGACTCTTCCGCCTTCCCTCCCAGGGCGGTCAGGAAGCATCAATGGCGTGTCCACACAGGTTGTAACCTCACGTGGTAAGCTGGGCAGTCATTGCATCATGACTCTTATAGTAGAGCACTTTGGCGATGAGTAGAAAAGGGGAGAGGTAGGAAGGCAGCTCAACTGCGAATCGTAGCTTGGGGTCCTTCCTTCACCTCGGTCCTCTTCCAGCAAACATGACGTTCTCTCACAGCATGAAGGCAGCGGCTTTGGCTGCAGGCCTTCTCCCTCTCGTATGCTCTCAGAACGTCGTCAGTCTAGTTGGACCTGACTGGACTCTCTCCAACGACGCACTGAATGTCAGCGTGTCAGCTCACCTCCCATCCCATGCTCATCTCGACCTCTACGCCAACCAAGTCATTGGCGACCCATACTACGGGCTCAACGACTTCAACCTCCGCTGGGTAGCATGGAGCAACTGGACCTACACCTCGGCCCCCATCTCAGGCCTCGACAGCAATGCAAGCAGCACCTGGCTGCTCTTCAACGGTCTAGACACTTTCGCCACCATTTCTTTCTGCGGCCAGGAGATCGCAAGCACCGACAACCAGTTCCGCCAATGGTGGTTCGACGTCTCATCTGCTCTCGCTTCTTGTACCGAAGCAGCTCCAGTATTGTCTATCGACTTCGGCAGTGCACCCAAGATTGCCGACGCCATTGCGGCCGAACCTGGACAGGAGACATGGCCGACTGGTGTACAACAGGTCTTTGAGTTCCCGAACAGATGGTTCATCAGGAAGGAGCAAAGCGACTTTGGTTGGGACTGGGGGCCAGCTTTCGCGCCTGCTGGACCTTGGAAGCCGGCCTACGTCGTGCAGCTTGCTCAGAGTGAGGTCTATGTGCGGAACAGCATCGTGGATATCTATCGGGAGGGCCAGCTGAACAACATACCGCCTGATCAGACTGCTCCGTGGGTTGTCAATGCCAGCCTGGATTACTTCGGAGCTGCGCCGAATGACTTCACCTTGAGCTATACGCTAAAGGATCTCGAGAACAACACAGTCACCAGCGGGTCGATGAGCAATGTCAACTGCACCAACGCTACTGTCACTGGCTCAACCATCGTGGATCCCAGCATGGTGGACTTGTGGTGGCCCAACCAGCTAGGCCCGCAGACGCTCTATTACATGACTATTGATCTCGTCTCGGCATCAAACACCACCATGGCATCGGTAACTAAGCGGCTCGGCTTCCGGACCATCGTCCTCAACGAGTTCCCAATCTCGCAAGCCCAGCTCGCACAAGGCATCGCTCCCGGTAATAACTGGCATTTCGAAGTCAACGGCCATGAGTTCTACGCCAAGGGCAGCAACTTTATCCCTCCGGATGCTTTCTGGCCGCGTGTCACTGAGGCCAAGATGGATCAGCTCTTCAACTCTGTCGTGGATGGCAATCAGAACATGCTGCGTGTATGGGCTAGTGGTGCTTACTCGCCCGACTTCCTTTACGACCTTGCCGATGAGAAGGGGATATTGCTGTGGTCTGAGTTCGAATTCGGCGATGCGCTATACCCGGTCAACCCTTCCTTCTTGGAGAACGTGAGAGAGGAGGCGGAGTACAATGTTCGCCGAGTGAACCATCATCCTTCGCTTGCGCTATGGGCTGGTGGCAACGAGTTGGAAAACCTGGAGCTGATCCTCGTCAACCGTTCTGCGCCAGAAGGGCTGCCCAGGTACACGGCTGAGTACGAGACATTGTTCCTCCACACGCTGCTACCTGTCGTATTTGGAAACAGCAGGTCCATCAGCTACACGCCCAGCTCCACGAGTAACGGCTGGCAGAGCCTTAACTTCAGCAACCCGATACCGATAGTTGAACGTTACTACAACCTGACTCCAGGCTCTGTATACGGTGAGACGGACTTTTACAACTATGACCCTTCGGTGTTGTACAATGACTCGGCCTTCCCGACCGGACGCTTCAGCAACGAGTTCGGCTACCACTCCATGCCTTCCATCCAGAGCTGGCGCGCCCAGATCTCCGAGACAGACTTGCACTTCAACAGCACCACCGTCGTGCTCCGAGACCATCACAACCCGCAGGGCGGCCTCAGCGACAGCAACACCACGAACCCCGACATAGGCCAGGCGCAGATGACAGAGGCTGTTGAGCTGTGGTACCCGATCCCGAACAAGACGGACAGTCAGGCGAACTTCTCTGCCTGGTGTCATGCCACGCAGATCTTCCAGGCCGACCTCTACGTCTCCGAGATTGAGTTTTACAGACGTGGTAGCGGGCTGCCGAACCGACAACTGGGCTCGCTGTACTGGCAGCTGGAAGACATCTGGGTAGCGCCGACATGGGCCGGTATCGAGTATGACGGCCGCTGGAAGGTGCTGCACTATGCGGCCAAGGACATCTACGAGCGTGAGTCAACAACCCAGGGGGCCCGTCCGCAGGTGGCAGTCCAATATCTGACAGCATGCTGACTCTACTGCCTCAGATGTAATAATCGCCCCTTACTGGAATATCACAACGGGTGAGTACATCCCGCGAAGATGCTGAAGCTCATGGCTGACATGGATCTATAGGTAACCTGAGCGTGTGGGTCACATCCGACCTCTGGGAACCAGCTAGCGGCACGGCGACTTTTACCTGGTACGATTGGTCCGGCAACGAGCTAGACGTTGGTCTGAACACAAGCTCTTCAGTCGACTTCACCGTCGGCGCCATCAACTCGACCAAGGTCCTACAGACCTTCGCAACAGGCATGGCAGCCGGCACGAACGCGATCCTAAAAATGGACGTCACCGCAACCGGCTCTCTCCCCAACGACAACACCAACACAACCCACACCTTCCGGCACGAGAACTGGTTCCATCCCACCGCGCTCCGCGACGCCCAGCTGGTGGACCCCGGTCTGCAGCTCAGCTACTCGAACAGCACCAAGAATTTCACCGTCTCCGCCACGACTGGCGTGGCGGCGTGGGTATATCTGGACTACGACCAGCCGGGCACGGTGCTCAACTTCGACAGCAACGCCTTTTGGCTGGCGCCGAACCAGACGAGGGAGGTGGGCTATACGGTCAAGACGGATGCTTCGGACGGGGCTTGGGTGGACACTGTTACTGTGCAGAGCTTGTGGAACCAGACGCTGTCTACGTGATTACCTAGGTAGGTAGGCTCTTCCGGATGATGGAAGGCTGAGCAACATGCTTATGCCGAGCTATTCTAATTTCCTAATTATAATGACATTTTATATTGTACTTCTTTGGTCGCAGTGGAGCGATTCCGTGAGCACATATGCTAGTCCCACCTACAGTATATACAACGACATCTCCATCACAATAACCCTAAGCTCGTAACATACGCTGCTCAAGAGTCAACGCCTCTCATATCACACCCGCGCTGTTTGCCACCGGTTGTGCCGTGTATTCTGGGCTTGCTGAAGAGGTGAGAGAAACTCCATAGCGGCCGAAAAGACTTTCGTGTCTCGCTTTGATGTGCCAGGATAGACTGGGTGGTCTGTCTGCTTGTCGGCAAGATGAGTACGACCATGTCCAGGCTATTTACGCCTCCTGCAGGTCCTGGTGGCTCCTCGAGCTGGGAAGTGGGTAGGTAGGGTATCGGAGGGGGTCTACGTCTCTCCATACTACCGCCATGTACTCTTGCTCATACTGGTGCTGCCCCTACGCTCGGTTCTCTGTACCCATGCCGGCCCCCTGAACACCCGACCTTGTGCTCTAACCCATCTGCGTCCTCTTTCCGCGATAGCGTGCCATCCGGCACCAAGTAAAGTTATGTTATAGTCGCATCATCTTCCGCCAAGATATCGTGGTTTGGCTTTGAGCGTACCAAGCTTGAAGTGCAAGTCATTCTATAGGTTGGAGGTACCTGACTTCGAAGTCAGATAGCGCCGTTAACCGGTAATTATTATGCGTCTCTATAGTCGCATTTTTTTTACTCCTCGACAGCGCTCCTATTTGGGTTGCGTACCTACCTATGCTTGAGCTCGCTTGCCACTCGTGATAATACTGCGATAGCGAGCGACGGGAGTCGGAACGGCAACTAATCCGTGCATCATCATATCGACCAGACAGGTAGATGAGGTACTTGATAGGTATGGCCGTCGAGCATTCCGTTTCCTTCAATTTTGCGTAGTGTTTCTTCGTCCTCGGGTCTGGGTGGCGCTGGCAATGTCCGGTTACTGTGTAAACACATGCCATTGTGTATCCAAACCTATTCAACATATTTGCCTACCTAGGTATACGGTAGATTTTATAAGGATTTGGATGGCAAATCGGAGGCAGCCCCGAAATAGCCCGGCTTGCGTCGAGGTTTTAAGCACTGCGCATGTACCAAACATATAAAACACAGATAAATCTTTCGAGAGCAGCAAAGCCGCTCGCTCATACCGCAGGGTTAAGTAAGCAGGAGGTAGACAGCCAGCCAAGTAGATGGTTCGTTCATATTCGAAGCCAAAGTATGCATCTAACCACAAAGACAAAACATCAAAGGGGGTATAATCACGACACTCTATCTGCTCATGCTCACCCACTCCCCGATTTCCCGCTCCAGTCGCTTTGCAAGCACAACTGCGAGTCCCTTCTTAGCATGCCCCAAACGCCAGCCAAAATGGGTAATCCAACAGCAGCTCACACGGAACAATTCAGATGCTAAAGCCGCTCACGCTCACAACGCTCGTACCAGAAATAAGATTCCGCCATCCTACTCCAGCTCCACCGGCGCACCGCGCCCATCCCCCCAGCCATCCCGTCCAAACGAGCTCTGCCCGCCCTGTGTCGGCTGCCCCTGCCCCTGTCCCAGCTCAGTCATAGGCGGTATCTGCGGCGCGCCATTCGAAGTTGAATTACCATTCGAGCCCAGTCTACTACTACCACCACTACCACTACCACCGCTCACGTGCCTACCCCGAACACGCAATGGCTCCGGAACGGGGTAGCCCGCCGAACTGGGGGGCGTCGAGTCGTGGTGGTTGTACATGTATGAGCCACCCGGCGGTGGTGTTGCCGTCGGACGCATGGAGTCCGGCGCCGCGTGATTACTCGCCGAACTCGGGGCTCGGGCGTGTTGGCTGTACGAGGGCGAGGAGCCCCTTTGCCCGTGCTGGGACAGGGACGCGCCGGAGTATTGACCTTGGTGCTGGTGCTGGTGCGGCATGGGAGACGTAGGCGCATTCGCGCTCGCATGTGCGTCGCCAGGGCGCGAAGGGGGAGGAATCCCATTCTGCGAGGGCGCAGCAGCAGCGTAGCTCCTCTCGTCGTTTCCGCTCCCGTTCGCGCTTGCACTCCCGCTATGAGTACTCGACCCATCACCACCAAAGGGCCGCGACGACGAAGACGCTGGCGGGCGCTGGTTGTTGCTCGCGTTGTCGGCGCCGACGTCGGCCTGGCTCGTTGCGAGCCGCGCTTTCTGCAGCAGCTGGTCGACGAGGGTGCCGTGGGCTTTCTTGAGCGTCCTCTTGACGAAGCTGGACATCATGAAGTTGCAGCGGAGCTCGACGTCCTAATGGATGGATCCCAGCGTGCGTCAGCTTACTATTACCCCTTATACACGACGAAAAAGGCTCGCATCAGTGTAGCCGACGACCTACCTCGCGCAAGTAAAGCCCCTCCCGCGGCGCCCCCAGCCCCAACTCGACAGGCTCCGGCTGCTCCCCAGGCAGCGTACCGCCCAGGGTCCAGCGCTCGCGGATGTCGGTGCCCATGGGCGCGTAGACGTGGGTCTGGATGCCGCGCGGCAGGTCGTTGAAGGCGGCGGTGTAGGTGATGTCGCCGCTGGCGAAGCCCCCCGGCAGGTACGAGATCTTGTCTGTCATGCTCCACCAGACGCAGCGGCGCTCCTCGTCGGGGGCGTGCGCGGGGGGCGTGATGGGGTGCCGCTCGATGACCAGCGGGTTCAGGTCGATCATCTCCTCGTGGTTGTGCAGGAAGTCGACGACGACGGCGCGGGAGATGCCCGCCGGGAGCGGCGAGATGGTGGTAAATGTCGTGCGCTTGGACATGGACATGGCGGCGGTGGTCGAGCAGTCCGGGGGGGTGTGTCGTCGGTTCAGTCGGTTTGCTCGTCGCTTGCTCGATCGGCCGTGGTGTTGGAGGAGGGGCAAGAGTGCTTGGGAGCTCTGCGAGGCGCAAAGCAGAAGGGGAAGCTCCAGTACACAGCAACAATGTTTCGGTGAGCAGAGCACAAAGCGCTCGTAAACTTCGATCGTGTAATAGGTAACAAGGTAGTCAGACAAAAACTAGAGCGGCCTGCTGGGGCGAGCTATGGTAAGCCAGCGGTTGGCGCAAATTAATAATAAGTATATCATGCAAATGCGCAGCAGAGACAGCCAACGAAGCGGCACAGAGCAAGCAAAGTGAACAAAGTCGCAACATTCGGAATGGTCGGCGCAGACGTTTACGTACATCATCATATAGCTGAGGGGAAAAAGTCGCAGACTGGTGAACAGGGACAAGGCGGGGCAAGTTGTAAACAACCTCCTTCGTTCGAAAGTTCCCACGATGGGCAGTCTGGCAGGAGGCAGGAGGATTGAATGGCGGCAGACGGAGGAGATGACATCAAGCAGGGATTAGCCCGGTTGATTGGCCAAGCGGCAGACAGACCCGAAGGTCAGGGGGGGCAACTGCATCGGTTGGCGGGTCTGCCGTTGCAGCCAACGCGCCCTGCATGTGGCTGAGCCCGTGAGGCTGTCACGCTTGCGGCATGGCCCGCCATAAATAGAACGGCTAGAAACATCTCCGTCTGGACTGGGCAGCCTCTTACAAACACACATAGCAAAGAATGAGGGAGCGTAAGTACTTGGACACAGACCATAGCAGTATTTTTGGCGGGTTGGTTGGTATCTGCCGTGCAGTGGACTACTCCGCCCAGATCTGATCTATATCTGGCTGCACCACTTGGCGAGGAATCCCGGCAGTGCGACAGCCGTGGGGATCTCTTCCAGCGCAACATCGAGCTTCCACATCTTCCCCTCCAGACCACCATGGGCCGCATTCGACCTGCCTCCAATACCAGCCGGGATGAGGAGACCAAGAGACACCAACCGCTCCCAGGCTACTGCTGCGACGCTTCGGCTCCATACCCTCGCGCCAGCACCCATAGCTAGCATGCCAGAAGTAGCCGACTGCAGCCTTTGCTTGCCCATCTGAGAGCTATACTCATCATAGGCCATCGCAAAGTTGACCGTGTCGGTGTGGGCTATGATGTCGAGACGGGCTGCCGAGATGAGCAACGACAGCTCCAAATCCGATAGTGCTGTGAGAAGCTGCCATTTCGGATCAGATGGCTCGAGCGAAACGGGTCCACTTGGAGCCGAGGCTATCGTCAAATCGAGCGACGAAACCGAAAGGGCCGAGAGGGGCAGTATGCAAGAGGTGAGGAATGCCGATACCAACTTTGTCGTATAGTAGTGATATTCCAAGTGGTCCTCAAACTCTGACGTCTTCCGAAGGGCCTGCAACATGTCAGTGATACTCATATCAGCAGCCGGAGGAGATGCACGGACTTCAATCTTCTGTTCCCAATAGTCCCGGAACTCTTCGAGCCCTTTGAGACTTGTGTCGAGGCCTTCTGCCTTGAGGTCTTCCTCGTCGACAGACAGCCCTTGCTTGCAAACATCCCAGTATGCTGGCAATGTCTTGGGGAGAGACATGTACACATATCGATGACTGAAACGACTCTTGACCCTCTTCTCCAGGCTCTCCACCACTTCGATCCGGGTAGTAAGGCCAAGGACAGCGATGGGTGCTTTTTTCGCCTGGGCAATGTCAAACAGGTTATACAGAAGTGTCTGGCGAGCGTGCGTCGCAAACAAGTCGATTTCGTCGATTACAAATATGACAGCCTTGGAGGTAACGCCTTCCTCTGTGCCTGTGATCTCGGCGGGATGGGATAGAAGAGCCAGTAGAGAAGCCATCGTGTCGGCATAATTGTTGGTCTGTTCGCATTAGTCACCATTTCCATGATCGGATGATAGACTCTTACCTTGTTGACGAGGTCATCCTCGATATCCATCTCCTTCCCTAGTTGCCTCCAGATCTCTTTGAGGGCCAACTTGTCATCAGTGTGTATGAAACCGTTGAGGCGCACGATGTGGAACTCCCCGAGATGTTCACTCTTGAGATTTGATACCATGTCGTCGACCAACTATGGATGAGTTAGCCATAGTGCTTTTTGAGACGAAAATCAGGCGAGACCTACAGTAGTCTTTCCACAGCCTCTCGCACCAATGACCATCATGGAATTGCCCTCTCCACCGGTGACCGTCTGTTCAACGAGTTGGTAGGCCTTGTCGTAGGCCTCATCCTGACCACGAAGCCTGATGCGACGATTACCAGAACAGCGGTCAAGCAAAACACGTTGCATGCTTTGCAGATGCTTCTCAAAGTTCGGAATGTTGGGAGTGGGGGTGTCGGTCAGCTTCTTCACAACGGTTTGCTTCTTGGGAGTTGCCTGTGTTTCAGGTAGTACATCCTCCTGCGAGCAATTCCGGCAGATCCAATCGCCCTCAGGGATCACAGGCACATTGTAGCACTTTTGATGCACTGCCATGTCGCAGTTCTCACAGAATATGATTTGGTTAGGTGGTTGCGAGTCCGGTTTGGTACATATGGCACAGACTTCGTCATCTTCGCTGTCTTCGCCATCCTCTTCGCTCTCTTCACTGTCAGAGGCAGCTACCTCTTCAACCACGTCTAAGGAGGCCGTCTTCTTGGCTGCGGGCGCTGAAGACTTTGACGGTAGATCCTCGAAGAAAACCTCGTCGGTGTCTTTCTCGTTCTCTTGGTCGAAGGCGACACTTTTGCGCGGGCGACCAAGTTTCTTCTTTTGCGGCGTCAATATTCCCTTCAACGCGGGGACCTCTGTGCGAGGCGAAGGTTGGATCTGGACCGGTTTACCACGGTATCGAGCTTTGATTGCTGGCCCCGAGCTGGCAGGTGGTACAGCTGCTTTCGTCTGATTCTTTGGAGGCCTTCCTCTCCTGCGTGGTGTTACTTCCTCCTTCGTAGCCACAACCCCCTGGGTCGCTTCAGGCGAGCCCTGCTGTCGCGAAGGCGTCTTTGAGCCTCGGTTTGCCACAGTGCGTTTCGAGGGCGTCGTCTGATCGTCTCCTTTGGCCCCATTGGCTCCATTGATCTTCTGGGGCAGCTCAAGTTCGTCACCGGAATCAGGCACATCGTATACGCTCGTATTCGGGGTGGACTTCTTGGTGTTCTTCGGGGGCGGCGTGATGCCCAGCTTCTTGTGTTTTATCGGGAGGCTCTGCAGCTTCTGTGTCGCCTCTTCCCCGCTACTAACATCGTACACAGACTCTTCTCCAGGCTTCGGCTTGTCGGCAGCTGTGGCGGTTTTGGCACTTGCGCGTCGACCAATTCGCTCAAAGACACCGCCAATTGCCGAAGTGATTGCAGAGAAACCCTTCGGGGTCGACGGCGACGAGTTCGCGACACTGTTTAGGCGGCGGCGCTTGACTGCGGCAGCTATGTCGGGGGTAGGCGCGGGTGACGAGTCCAGCTCACCTTGGGATCGAGTGCGCTTGCGCTGGCCCGAGCTGGTGATTTGGCTGGGAGCCATATTGTACAAAGTCCCTGCTGAAAGAAGGAGATGAACTGAGGCACAGCTCAAGTCAACATGGTCGAAAGAGTGAGTCGTTGCGCATCAATGTGGGCTGCAACGGGGGATGGATGTCCGTTGGGCGATATGCGACGGGGAGGAATATCGTGCTGTAACGAGTCCATTGTTTTCTCAAGGAAGTCGCTGCATAATTCCCCGAAGACCCCTGAGTGACGCGACCCGGCGCGCCGCTCAGCCGCTGTGGCTGTCACTTTACGCGCTATGCCCGTGGTTGTGGGTTGTGGTAGCAGCGTCAACGGCGCGCACGTGTAGGTTAGGGGCTCCGATTAATACGCATAGTGCTTTACTATACCGGTATTATTACCATAACCCGTATAATACCGCTATACTTGTGGATCCAGTGCATGGACCCATATGGAGTATTCTGGTAACCCCACCAGATATGTTGGAGGTTACCTGATAAAGGCTGCCTGGCAACCCTTTGTTGCCCCAGGTACCTCACCACTGTAATTTAGGTATTTAGATACATCTCGGATGGAATCCTTTCCATCCGACCTTTTAATCAAGCACCACCCAGACCACTGATAGATTACAACAAGACTTGTAATTTGTCAGCATCTGGAAAAGCTACCAAAAGACATATACTTATAGTTAAGGTCGTATTAATCCCGTATAGTGCTGTATAGTATTAATCGCCACCATATTTATGTGGCTCCTCAACCCATTTTCCAGCCACAATGACGGATGGGGCACGGACCAGGATACAAGGTACCTTGGAGCCCAACAGGTACCCACTTCTGGGATGGGGACACCACTCATCCCTTCTTTCAATCAAGCAACTTCCAGAATACAGACCAATAGCCACCTATCGTGACCCTGGTCCTTATTCTGGATACCGCTACCACAAGGCACAAGGGGTCTTGCAGCTAGAAGGAGCACCTTAATACCCAAATAACTCCTGTATATGCCCGAAAAATCCGGTTATTCCGTCCTGCCACATGTATATTTGCAAAGATGCAGGTATTGTATTCGTATAAGACGTATAACGCACTATACGTATTTTAGAAATTGGAGCCCTAGTGTAGGTGGGGTCCACAGGTGCAGACCATTAGGGCCCCAAGGGTCACTACATTACCATTGCCGGTGCGGCTCTGGCGGCTGATGCTCATGCAGACAAGCCTCAACAGAGGCCCTCTTCCGCGTGAGCCCATCCATCCATCCATTCGGCTTAAGCACAGTCTAAGACTCGTCCCGAGAATAGCCAACTAACTAATTTTCTCGGGATTGGAATTTCAAAGTCGGCGGAAACATATTCAGGGTCATAGTCTACATCAACAACAACATCATAATATCACAACCATGGAGTCTTGGTTGCCCATGGCGATGGCAATGGGACGCTTTGTTTTTGGTCTTGTAGCCGGAAACTTCTCCGTCGGCATTTCCATGTTCTAATTCGAGTGCTCTCCGCGAGAGATCCGAGGTGCTACCGTAGCATCCTTCCTGCTCCTGATCATTATTGGTATTCTAGTCACGAACATCATCAATTACGCTGTTAGGAAATTCTAGGACACGGACGCCTCGTGGAGAATGTTCATCAGTCTTGGCATTCTATTTTCCCTGCCCTTTGGTAGGCGAGCCATGGCCAACCGCACACCTTCCTAGTCGGAGCGAGCGGCGAGCCATCGAGGCGACTCGGGCACAGAGAAGACCCCAAGACATGAAACACGATGCTCACAACCCGCTTGTCGAAGATGACTTGCAGGAAATTTAAAATTTTCACTATCATCGAGAAGGAATTGTCCACCGATTTGGGCACTTGGCTCGAATGCTTCACTGGCAAGCCCTCTCGTATCCCAAAGATCTATTATCGTAATCTTCTGCGCATCGCTATTCTCTTTCAGCGATGGAGCGGTGTCAACTTTTTGTTTCATTATGCCTTTGAACTTTTTTTTGGGTCCACTGGCATTCAGAACCCTCTCCGGATACATTTGGTTCTTGGCGCCGTGAATCTTGCGATGACCTTCTACGAACTCTTTGTGGTCAAAGTACAACACACTTGCCAAAAACAACTATTTTTCTTGGCGCCCCGCTGTTAGTGCAACCTCAATTCCTGCGCTTAAGCAGGCACTTCTTTCAGTAACTGACTATCTTTGCCAAGACATAAGAGAATCTTTCTTACAAGCCGGATAGCACCCTTTGACCACAGGCCCCTAAACACGCCTGTAGCCGTCCCAAAGACGACCACTGGCGGCATGCTCAAATCCCTGGCCCCTAGAAAGACATACCGCCCGGCAACTCCGAGCAGGCTCCGCTAAGCGCTGCTTGACGACATCAGCAGCAGCCCGTCACATGTCTCCGAGGCTGACTTCACCGTTGTTTTCCCTCTGAAAGGAAAATCCCGAAATGTCATTGACGGCAGCACCACTGGAATGAAACAACCTCAATTGAACGAAATCTCTGCAAACCAAGCCATTGGATGTGATATAGGGAGCAAAGCCTCTTCTTCAGAGTGCCAGGACCAAGTTGCTAAGATATTGGCTAAAGACAAGCACCTTTATAAAGCCAAGATGACAATGTTTCAGAAGTGTGCTGCAGCAGTTAACAAAACACTTGAGAAAGCTGGAACCGAATTATACCCTCATGCCAAGGAGTTCAGCGCTTTTTTCTCTAAATGTCTGAGCGAGTGGCTGGAAACCCGAGATTCATCCATAAGGAAGACTATTCCTGGGAGGATAGGGATAGTGAAGTCCACTATGGCCTTTGCTCAAGCTGTCTCCTCTAGCCAACGACAGTATCCACGGATGGTCAATATTACTATGAAGAAAACACAACCTGCGGCCCTCATCGCTGCCAACCAACTGAAAAAGAAGCAGGAAAATCTCTGGGTCTTTATCCGCATAGATAATAGCCTCTTAGAGCCTTGTGAGATAAAGTTCACACTGAATAGAAGAGTTAAGCTCCACCCTCAAGATTTTAAAGAAGTGACGCGATGTCCTTTTGGATTTACCTTACACCTAAGGGACAAGCCAACTCAGGCTAAGCTTATGGCTTTTCAAGAAGAAATCACCAACATTCTCAAGGCACAAAAGATTGAGACCCACACAGTCTGTCATAACTACAAGGTCAATAGATGCCCAAGAAAGGTCATCAATGCAGAAGGGTTCACAATCGATATTACTGACATTGCTGTTACTGATGAAGTTGAAGCCCAAACAGGTGACAGACCTTTAAGGTACATACTCTCAAGGAACACAGTTGATTCTGATCCAGAGACCACATGGGTGATCTCTCTGCCCCGTGCAGCAAAGAAACCATTCACGCTTTTTGCTCACTCAATGACCTCAAGGCACATTCAATACTCCCCCAAGGTTCACCAGTGTGCAAGCTGCTTCAGATACCATGGTAGGAACTACCGATGTGAAAAGCAAGTATGTGCACGTTGTGCCAGTACAGTACACCAGGGGGAGTGCGAAAAACTAATCCCAAAGTGTGTCAACTGCAAAGGACCTCATGCTGCCAACTTTGACAAATGCCCTGCACGCCCCAAGGTTGTGAAAGGCATCATCCACAAGCACACATGGGAGCAAATCCAGGAAATAAGGCTGGCTGGAGAAAGAGCCAGATCCAAGGCCTTCAATGAAGCAGGCAGAAACCAAGCTGGGTCAACACCCAGCAATAATAACGAAGACATCACAATGCAAATCGACACAACAGATACAACTTATCTCAGAGATGCCGATACCATTGTTGTCAGTCAATGTTAGGTACATCAAACGAAACACATCGACACGGGCAACTAGTCATCCATTCTGTGAATACAGCAGGAGGACAAAAGAGTGCAGGCCCTACAGAGTTAGCCATCAACCTGGCTGACTACAAAGGAGAACAAGCAGACATCATTCTGATGCAAGAGCCCTGGGTTGGCATACCACCAGGCAGGAGAATGGGAGTAAAGACACACCTCAATTACAATATATACTCCCCAATGGATTCCTGGGACAGCGACAGTACACGGCCCAGATCTCTCATCTATGTGAGAAAACACCTTTAAGCGGATCAACTTCGGCCCTATGCTACACGAGACATCACCTGGGTCAAGGTACATGGCATCACATTTGCCAGTGTCTACCGGCCATGTGACAACCCACAGGAAGTGGATGATATTCTGGAAGTATGGACTCCACCTTTTGGCTGTGTTATAACTGGAGATTTTAATGCTGGCGACATATCCTGGGACTCGAGCAATCCAGGATATCACGGTGGCGTCATACTGGCACAGACTATGGCAGACCACGGACTGGATCTGATTTCTGAACCAGATGTCCCAACACATGACGATGGAAATGTACTGGATCTGGTGTTCTTAAATGTCCCCATGGCTGAAGCCTCAGTCAATGATGCACTTCAGTGCACCTCAGATCATGAGACATTACGAATAGTCATTCCAATTCAGGGAGATTGGGACCGAGTTCCTAAGGCCAATCATTGGATAGTACCGGACGATAAACTACAAGAGCTGGCAGACAATGTCCAAATCAGGATTCATGAACTCCCCCGGCTGGGTGTATCCCCTGGCCAGGTAGATGCCTTTACACAAAGCTTGATCAACATGATCCAAGGCTGTATCAGGACAGTGAGCAAGAAGCCCCGTCAATTTAGGCCCACTGCTTGGTGGAATGATGACTATAAAGCAGCTGTTCAGACATACAGGGCCCTTTTTAAACAGACTATAAGCCAAGAAGGGCGGAATTCAGCCCGACAGGAATTTTGCCGCGTGGTTCAGAAAGCTAAGAGAGAGTACTGGTAGACTCTAATTGATTTAGCAACTGAGCCAAAGGACCTATACAGAATCGTCTCTTGGCACAAGTTATCAGCAGGATTGCATTCCCCTCCAATCAGCATAGGAGACCAAATATTCGAGTCACAAGAGAGCAAGGCAAATACATTACGCTCAGCCACGCTTGAACGAAGTACCTCAGACAACAATATCATCGACCCCTGGTCCGCTCAGATCACACAACCCAAGCCATACATCCCCCTTGAATACTATGTCGGACTAGAAGAGGCTGAAAGGTGCACTTTAGGGACCAAGAGCAACTCCCCGGGAATAGATACCCTCCAGTACGGATTCTGAAAGCTTGCTGGCCATTCATTGGGGAACATATCAGAGCCCTTTTCCAGACCTGTCTACAGATTGGACACCACCCTAAACCATTCAAAGTAGCTGAGGTGGTGATGATCTCAAAACCAGGAAAGAAAGATTACTCTAATCCCCGGGCCTACAGACCAATATCGCTATTGTCGTGTCTTGGCAAAGGCCTAGAACGACTCATCACGAAAAGAATTACCTGGTTTATTGTCAAACTTGGAATTCTAGCTCCACAACATTTTGGAGCTCTACCAAAGCGCTCTGCCACCGACCTGGTAGCTGCACTCATACACAATATTGAGCAGGCCCTCAACCAAGGCCTCGTTACAACAGTAGTCACGTCAGATGTGAAAGGGGCCTTTGATGCTGCCCTAATGGGACGGCTGGTGGTTCGCATGAGAGAACAGGGCTGGCCGGGCTTTCTCATAAGATGGGTCCAGTCATTCATGTCCGAGCGGTCCGCAAGGGTTCGGTTTGAAGGTATTGTGACTGATATTAAAGCTCTCACTTGTGGGCTATCACAAGGCTCACCAGCCTTTCCAATCCTTTACATGCTGTATACAGAGCCAATCTGTGCCCAACTTGGTATGAAAAAGAGATATTTTGGATATGCAGACAACCTAGCGACTCTCTGCATTGGAAAGAACCTTGAGGAAACAGCTACAGAGGCTTCTGAAAATCTTTACTTGCTCAGTCAATGGGGACATAACAACGCTATTGAATTTGACACCGACAAAATCAAGATTATGCACTTCTTAAAAAAAAAGAACTCAGACAACCCTCCAGTCCGCCACGGGACAATGAACAGAACAGCTAAGTATTCCATGCAATGGCTAGGTGTTCTTCTGAATGAAAACTAAACTTCAAAGATCATGATTGATTGATTGTATTTATCGTGGGTGCAGTCCCTCAACAGGGCAAACCACGCCTCCCAGAGCCATTGCATCGCAAGGTTGTAGAGATGTCAGTCTAGATACATTCAGATCCGCGCACGAGCCTATCCTCGCTGTAGCGGTACCAACTTGGAGTGGCCAGATGGTTTTAGTCAATACCCAAGCACGATTCCGTCAGAAAAACCTCCTGTCTAGTGACAAAGCGACTCAGTGGACCTCAGTCCTCTGGTGTATATATGTTAGATTTCAAAGTGTTCTATTAAGGAGAGGAATTCCAGCTACTCTGGAGCGGCCAGAATGGCCCTATATATATCCAAGATACTAAAGGAAAGGATACGTGGCCTTATATTGGCCACGTATGTGACAGAGTCACAAATGGGGATGGTGATCCTGAAGGATGACTATGGATGGGCTAACGTAGCCCAGAATCTAACAATATATCGTTCCAGTAACCGTTTGATATATGTCGCATTGGTGGGTGAAGTAAGTGTTTCTTATCTGCTGGTGAGGGAAACTATAAGTGGAAAACCCTCACAAGAGTGGGTGTTGTAGAGACAAGCTGCTTGGCTATCGGGCTCTGCAATAATGGGACCTCTTTACTGTTGTGTGCTGGTCATTGACTCGCACAAGCCGGGTCAGAAGGAGGCCATAGCAGGATTCAAACCCACTTGTTCTCATCGCCCAACGCACAAACGAGAACACAACCGGGCGCATTTGACCATTGCGCTATACGGCCAACTTCAAAGATCATGTTTCTCACTGGGCCAAGAAAGCTAGTAGAGTAGCAAATCACCTTCGAGGACTATGCAACACAGTCAAAAGACTCCCAGTAAAGTCAACTAGGAGGGATGTGAAAGCTTATGTTATTCCTATTGTTACACATGGCTTAGAGGCCTGATACCCAAGAATCAAAAAAATCAGGAGCTTAGATAAGACATCAGCATATTGTATTAAGGGGCTTCTTAGAACGACAGATACTGTACTACGAACAGTGATCAGGGCTATCCTGCCGGTCTAGAAAACACATCCTGGACATATCCTACACTTTGAATCACAGATTCCTCCAGCAGGAGTTCTTACAGAGGCAATAAGACAGCGTCACGGCCTACGACTTGGACGTTTAGACCAAAGATACCCTCTTATTGGCAGGCTCTAAATACAAGCTCGCAAGGAACCAATAAGGCTATAAAGAAACTTCCAGCTAGTCCCTGACTTCGAGAGACTAATACTCACCAAGCCATCATGGAAAAAGTCCCCAATCCGAAAGAGCAAAGACAAAGAGACGGAGCTCTTTAAGAAATGGTTACAAGAAAGAAATGTAAACACTGACCTTGTCATCTACTCAGATGGATCACAATTAGACGACAAAGGCACAACCTGTTGAATAGGAGCCGGAGATAGACACCGGAAGATCTCCAGTGGGGCAGAGACGCACGTGGCATCTGACCCACCAAGAAGACAGATAATCAATCTCTGCACACAGAGCACAACAATCAATAGAATCAATCATCATCCGTGTAACCAACACAACCTGCACTGGATGGGGCTACACCATCAGGAAAGGCAACACTACACAAGAAGTATACCGGGAAAGGGCAGACTTCTCCAAGCAGAAGTAGTAGATGCTGAAGTCCATGGTGCTCTCCAAGGTCTTGTAGCAGCCAGGGCAATTGGACACGGAAAACAGCTATATGTCTGCCTGGACAACACATCAGTGGTGGATGGGCTCAATGGGACTCCACCCGAGACATCACAGAAAATTTTTCTGCGATTCTAAGAACTCGCCACAGCACACACTCCTGGAGTGACCGTCAAGTGGATTCCTGGACACAGAGATATTAATGGCAACGAAGCTGCTGACACACTAGCAAAAGAGGGTGCCATGCTAGAAACAGACACAATAAATCTTCCTATAATCTCTTGGGTCAAGAGAGATCTCAAAAGAAAGGGCAAGAAAGAGTTCAACCAATGATAAAAAGACTAATCAGAACTTAGGTATCAAGAAGTATACTCATATGCAGTAATTAAAAGAGACCTTATATCTTTTAAGAGGAGTACTTTACACAGACTTCTAGTGGCCAGATCTGGACATAGCGACTTTGCCAGATACCACAAACGCTTTGAATATACAGACTCGAATAATCACTGCAGCTGTGGTGAGAAGAAAACACCACGATATATTTTCTTTTGTAAGAGGCTGGAGAAAAATCTGCTACTGCCTAGGTACTCGCCTAGGACAGCTTGTTTATAATACTTAGAAAAGAGGAGCATAGAATGGGCAAAATTCGTGGAGAAGAGCAAATTCTTTTCATCAATCTGCCCTCGATAGATAGCTGTTCTTGAAGGACTAGATGGATGACCCAAGGTCATACCGCCGCAACAACGGGGATGGGCTCGTGAGCGGAACTGACTGTACTTATTATCTTGATACCTCCACAACCCTGCGATGGAGAGGCTCTGGGAGGCGTGGTTTGCACTACTGAGGAGCGGTCCCCCACGTTAAATACAATCAATCAGTCAATCAATCAATCAATCTTTGTGGTCGAAAAGTACGGTCGCAGATGGCCCCTATTCCTCGGAGCCGTCTGGCAAGCGGCGTGGTTTTTGATCTTCGCCATCATTGGAGTTGTTCTTCCTCCAGCTGATAAGCCAGTTTCGTGTATTGTGACGATGGTCTCTGCCTGCAAGTTCATTGCCAGTTTTGCTGGGTAAGTAGCCAATGCTTCTCTTACAGTGCCGCATGCACATACAATCTGTACTTGAATTGTCCTGCATACAATATGGGCAGATGGTGGCACTGCCCCTCCAGCTCCGATACCTTTCAGCTGCCTACCCTCGCCCAACTATCCTGGAGTTCGTAATTGTCTACCTCGAGCAAGGACATACCTGGCTCGACTGAAAATCTCGGTATTGATAAGCTGAAGATGTAACCATGTCCCGGGCTTTTCTAGGTATGCGCCGAATATCTACCTCGGCTCGGGGGCTATCATGAGCGCCGGGATGTTGGATATAATCCCCCTTGAGCCAGGGCAGCGAGACAGAGCACCGTAACTTCGAGTCGTATTATGTATGACCCGCTCGCACACTCATACGAAATACTACAAGCACCTTCCGTCGTAGAAAAAGACTAATTGTAGCGGTGTGCAGTTCCAGATGTATGGGCAATCCCCCTTTCCACCCTCCCCTTTCCACCCTCCCCTTTCCACCCTCCCCTTTCCACCCTCCCCTTTCCACCCTCCGCCCCTTTTTACCCTCCCCCCTTTTATAGCTGTAGCCCCCACATTCTCAACCCCTGCAAGCCGTCGCTGGTACCTGAGACCCACACAAGCTTGAGCACCCGCAGTGGCGTCATACTTTCTCTGCCTTCAACCTAATTTCAGCGTGGTGGGGTAATCGACATCTTGCATCTAACAAACTACAATATTCCCGAGCTACAAACGAACACAACAACAAGAAACGCTCGTCCATCCCGTCCACCCTTAACGAAACACGAACAACACGAACCTCGAACTCACCCAGCACCATCACAAGAACCTCAGTCCAGCAATGTCCCTCTCCTCAACCACAACCCCGGACCCGCCGCGCAGCGCACCCGCCTTCATCCCACTCGAGGCGAACCCGCCCGTCCTAACCGACCTGGCGCACAAGCTGGGGCTATCGCAGGCGCTCCAAATGCACGACGTGTGGTCGACGGAACCGGAGCTGATCGCGACGATGCAGATCCCGCGGCCCGCGCTCGCGCTGCTGGTAGTCTTCCCGCTGACGGCGCCATACGAGTCGGAGCGGCTGGCCGAGGACGCGGGCGCCGAAGAGTATAGTGGCGTTGGCGACGACGAGCCCGTGCTGTGGTGGAAGCAGACGATACGCAACGCGTGCGGCATGATGGGCCTGCTGCACGCCGTGGCGAATGGGTCGGCGAGGGAGTACATTGGTATGTTCATTCATTGTGTTGCTTCTTGTATTGCTTCTCTCCCTCTCCCTCTCCCTCTCCCTCTCCCTCTCCCTCTCCCTCTCCCTTCCCGTCCTTCTTCCCGTCCTCGTGAATCCGTCCCAAGGGAGGGCCTGCCTCTTAGTGGCAACTTCCATTTCCAAGCGGCAACCCCAAATTCTCCAGTCCAGCCAGCACACCTCAAGCAAACCCCAAGCCATCAACAAACCGACCAGAAAAAGCTAATCCCCCCACAGAACCCAACTCAACTTTCGACAAACTAATAAAAACCTCCCTCCCCCTCCCCCCGCACGCCCGCTCCGCGCTCCTAGAGCAGACCCCCGAGCTAGCATGCGCGCACCAGGAGGCCGCGAGCGGCACTTCGAATTCAACAACCGCGCCCGACGCGCAGGACGACGTCGACCTGCACTACGTGTGCTTCGTCAAGACCGAGAAGGACGGCGGCACGCTGTGGGCCCTCGACGGCCGCCGCAAGGGCCCCGTCGCCCTAGGCAAGCTCGACGCCGGCGAGGACGTGCTCAGCGACAAGGCCCTTCTCTTGGGGCCGGTCAAGATCCTGCAGCACGCCGGCAATGACCTTCGCGCCTCGTGCGTCGCGCTCGCGGGTGCCAATTGAGAACTGTAACTAGACTGCGGATTAGGGGATGAGAGGATGAAGGGGTTCTGTGTGCCGTGTTGCTGAAGAGAAGAACGGATAAGATGAAGTAGGTGTCAAGGACGAAACTACTGAAGACGGTTCTTCGACTATCTACTCACCAAACGACCATCCTCAAACAGGACACTCACGAGTCATGGACTGCTTTCCCGGTTGGTGTTCCGGGCATTGGAGGTACAGGTTGCTTTAGCACATGCGCGTTCTGGGTATGTCCCCGACTGCGACAAATTCAAGGACATAAGTTTCATAACCTTAGGGCTGTGCCCTGCGATGATCATTCTATTGACTGGAACCCCATCTACTGTTGACGAACTAGGGATCTGTTGTGATGATTAATTCCTACTACACCTTCCTCACTTCCCATGAGTCTTTTCATGCTCTCTTTCCCAGCCGTCGCATCAATCTATCAGCCACTGTTCCAGCAATGTATCAAGTACAGCACTACCTAAAACGTACAGAAGCCAGCAGTCACCGCAGTCAGTCCTTTCTCATGTACAGATTTTTGCTTGTGCATACGCCCCTCATGTCGGACTCATGTATCAGGACGAACAACGTCTTGGGTCAAGTCGGGGCTGGGGGATCGAGAAGTAGGAGCAGTGTACACAAACCCTGACCCAGATCTAGCCCTTGGTCGAAATTCGGCTTCAACCGGAGGTTGTGTTCTGGAACGGCGTGGTGGCACGAAGCTGACCGAATATGCTCCAGGGGGTGGAGGATACCGGTCAATGACGAAGACCATGTGTACCGGCGGGGGTGCAACTTCGTAAGGGATGAACGGCAGCATAGTTACCGAGTGAAAGCCTGAGTGAGAGCTATAAGGGTAGGTGTTATTCCTAACACCGCAATTGGTTAACACATGTCTTGACAACAGAGATCAACGGACTCACCGTGGCCTTGGTAATGGTTGTCTACTAGCCCAACTGCGGCGAGAATGACCCCCAGAGGAGAATGCGTCGTCTCGCCTACGTGGACGATCAAGTGGCGTACCAATGCGTGTAGGGGTACGCGAGTCTGGAGGCGAGTGCATTGGGTAAAGGGTACGCGAGCCCCGTCGCGAAGGGGAGCGAGAGCCTGGAGGCGAGTGCATTCCAGGAGGGGAGCGAGAGCCTGGAGAACCGTTGCCTGTGGGAGAGCCAATACTCATGGGAGAGCCAATACCCGTGGGAGAGCCATAATCCGTGGGAGACGACCGGCTAGATGAATTGGGCGACGAGATATCTCTCCTGGATCTGTGGAGCATTTGGCGGAACCAGTCTGGTATTGTATGCGAATCCCGCGTGCCGTCTAAGCCGTATGTTCCTCGACCGGCCTTTACACCGCCGGCGATCTCAGCGCCCTCATCCCGATGCTCCTGCATGTGCTGGCGAATATGCTGCGCGACGTGGTCGACGAGCTCCGGGTCTGGTTCGGGCTCTTCACCAACTGAATCATTGCCGGCCGCCTCTCCATGCGGCGCCTCCCTCGACTTCAAGTGGAGGATTTTCTTCGCCATGTCAATGAGCTTCTGCAACGCAGGCCGACTCTCCAACAAGGATGGCAAATCCTGCCAATCGTCACGCTTTCCAGAAGTGTCCTCGCACACGGGACATCCCGGGTAAGGTTCGACAAGAGCAGAACCATCGGCGCCGGCAGGCAGCTCCTCGGGAAGGGAAGCAAGGTAGCCGTCCTTGCTCTTCTTCCGCTGTAACTTATCCTTGTGGTGCTTCTCTTTCTTGGCTTTCTCCTTCTCCTTCTTCTCCGCGTGCCTCTTCTCCTTCTCGGCCCTTTCATTAGCTTTTCTCTCCTTGTGCATCCTGTGTTTCTCGGCCTTTTCCTTCTCACGCTCGAGCGTCTTTCTGTCCTTCTCAGCTCGCTCCTTTTGCCTCTTTCGTTTAGCTATGTCCTTCTTGGACTCCCCAACTGTGGCAGTGTCGGGAGTGGACTCGGTAGGAGGCTGGGAAGGATCATCAGGTAGAAGATTTGGGGGTGCCTGTTCAGAGCGCTGGTCGTGCACCTGACCAATTGCGTCATCGTGGGTGTGCTTGACAGTGTCTTGTGACGGTTCTGTCTCAGACTGCTCTGCACTTATCTGCTGTTCGCCATTCTGGGGTGAAGAACTGGTCTCTGTGAGGCAGCTGGTTAGTATTGGGTAGCCAGGTTGCAAGGAGATGACCAACCAATTGGGGGTGACTCGGAACGATCAAGGGCGGGTGTGGCGGGCTCGGTAGACTGAAGTTTTTGGCGACTGGTCATCAGTCGCATTACGCCAGAAATTCTTTCAGTATACGACGGGCCCATCAGGTCAGCCTGCTTGTCATTCTTGGGTTCTTCTGGCTGCTTGGGCGGCTCTCCTGGCTCGTATCCCGGCACTGGAGACGAAGCAGGAAGTGGCGATTCTGGAGGTGGGATCACGGTCGGCTTTTGACGTCTAGGACTCTCGTGTGTATGTGCAAGGTCGTCAAGCTCAGGTTCTGGAGAGTCTCCTCGCCAGCTGCAGGCGTCGTCAGGAGTCGAGGCTCTCTGCACCTCTCTGTGTTCTGCTACCATCTTGTCGGATTTGGGGTCAGGATCATCAGACGGCCAGCCGCACTTCTCCTGGGCTTCGGCTTTGGCTTCGCGCTGCGCTTTAGATATGGAGTTGCCGTCCAAGAACTGAATGGCTTGTACTGCAGGCTGTTTGGGAACCGGTTCTTCCTCAGGGGGCGTATGTGTGCTGCCGCTGTGGCATCTGTGGCATCGAGGGGGCGTGTAATAGCTGGGACTGGGGATTCGGGAATTACGCCGCTGTGACATCGCACATCTCAGGCGGCGAGAGGGGGCATAAGTATGATATCTAGGTGATGCTTGGGTTGGATGGTGGATGCAGGTGGGCGACGGAGCGAGGTGAAGACAGGTCGGCGGTTGTCGTTGAGGTCATGAGCCATTGCACGTCTGGGCTGTCTCCCTCACCCCCTCACCCCCTCACCGCGTCGCCCTTTCTCTGTCTTCCAGAAACTGGACATTTGGGCTTTTGAGGCAGGTACAGCCCGAACAGGTACAAGCAGGGACATGCAGCCGGGTGCTTTCCGTCTTCCAAGTTGAGAGCGACGGGAGATCATGGCGCCAGAGAGCAACACCGCGACTGCCTGTATGGCGACTACCTTAGGTACCTACCTACCTACCTTAGGTAGGTAGGTACGTGATTCCCACGCCGAAAAGGTATGAAACCTCACCTGGGGAATAATGGATCACTCAAGCGCTGCCTTCCCTGCCGCAGGCAATCCGTGGACTGATCGTCATCGCCTCATTACACAGCACGTCCATCTACCGCAGAGTAGAAAGAATGATGCACTTATCTCACGTCATTGATAGGCATACCTACATTAGGTACCTATGGATCACGGCATCTCGCGCTTCTTAGGTTGCGAAGGTATGTCACAGTTGCCAAATTCGGAGCAAGCGGACATACCCCAGGGGATACCTCGTACGATGATGGTTTTGAGCACATCTCAGAGCTCTCCACTACCAATATGACCACGACTAGGGGTGGATGGGTCTATGCGCTTGTAGGCGTGAGCAGTTGTAAGAGAGCTCGTGTGCTTTATATGACAAGAACCCATTTTCCACACCTTCCTTTGACCGCGGGCGTACCAACGTTGGACGAGTCCTTCGAACCACATTCAGGTGGAGGGTTCTTGACCTTTCCAGTGAACCAGTACGGAACGGTGAAGTCATTGGCAAAGCCTGGGACTGGTACCGCAGCGACAGTAGGACCAAAGGCCTGGCAGTGTTAGTCGGGGTGGCCTGCCGACCGAGGATGAGAACGTCTTTTTCCCTCGTGGCTTGAACCCTATTCGTCCTTATCCACCAACTCAACGCCTCTTTCGCCATGGCGAAACCTTCTCGTACATGGCTCACAACACCATACAAAAGGAACACTCTGCCCACAGCAGCCTAATCTCGAGCTGCGCGACATCACACAACCGGTTCTCCCAGTGACCATCGACCAACATCATTGTCTCCCGTGCCATTAAGAACAGTCCAGAATCACATCACAGCACACACATGAGGCACGCCCTCGAGTATATAAAGGATCAGGATTCAGTCAGCCCAATCACCGGTTTCAAGGTCAGTCAGAGCTCTACTGTACCATTGCAACGGCAAGAAGGACACGGCCTCGCAGGATCCTGTCGCGCTGTGGCCTTGAAAGTCGCTGCTCTGATAAAAGGCTAATAGGGAGGCTCTTGCAGCCGGGCTGGACCTGTCCTACACTCGGAACGAGATCATGATGTTTAAGTGGTTGTCACGCTGCGACCGCAGACTCGACCCTCCCAGCCCGATTCGATCGCAGGCGTCTGTCTCGTGCGACAGCGTTTCCCTGACTGCAATATCAACGTCAGAAACAGAGGAATCGTTGAAAGTCCAGAGGATACAGCATTCCTACGAAACATCAGAGTTGAAAGGCTTACAGGCAGCTTACGAGCCCCCAGTGGCTCAAGAGAATCTGGATTCCGAGGAAGTATGGAACCCCCGGCCACCAAACTTGGGGCTACTGCCAACTGAGCTGATACACCTCATCTTCGGGCTCCTGCCAGCCGTCGATGCCGTGTGCCTCGCTCTTACATGCAAAAGCATGTGTTCTATCTCCAAACTTCAGACACTGGCAGGCCGCCTTACACAACTACGACCGAAACCCTACTTTGCCGCCTCGAAAGCGAGAGCCTGTCGACCGTTTACTGCCCAGTCGACCAGAAGCTCGTGCGATTTGAACTCGACAAACCGCTCAGGGAGTTTTGTCACCACCGCCACAGGAAATTCTTGACCGGCACGGCCTCTTCTCAATTGATGTTCCCACCAAACCAATTTTACCTCGGATATTGCATTGCCCGTATCGCCACCAACTATCTTGCTCTCGGGCCGCAACATGGTCTTCCTGCCTCAGCCCTGGCTCGCGCCTATCATGACTGTAGCTTCGAAAGCCGCAAGCACGAGATATGCCGGGACGAAGCGTGCGAGTTCAGGCTCATCGGCGACGAGCTCTTCATGCGATGCACACATACCCTTTACCATAAAAGGGCCGAAGCAGCTGTGTTGCAGACCTATCTGAGTAACAACGCCGTTGGGGTGTGCCGTCACATGACAATCGGTAAATTCATGAAGCACATGAGGTCGATCGATGTGCCTGCGAACGTGGTAGGAGACACCGAACATTGCGATCAGGGCTCACGCTGGTACTGCGAGACCGACTGGGAAATGTCAACTGCGTGGACGAATGCTCAGCAGGGATGGACATTCACGGTCAGGACTTACCACGGACTGGGGACTTGTCGCTCGCCCCGCGACCACAAATGGCAAGCAATGACGGGCAAGTTCAACAGAGGAAGGAGGTGCTTAGTGGCGCTGTGAAGCAATTATGGGATGATTCTACATGACAGTCGTGTGATTATCACAATTCAGATTTCACAACTGCTTCGCTTCCTTCGTGACACCTTGTGGTTTGCTATGCGACATTGGCGCCACCTAGTCGCATCGCATGCCGTGCATGATCCTACACTTTCGCAGGTCAACAGTCCTCCTCTGAGCGAAAAAATCTTACACGGCGAGTGTTACATAGCTTCAGTCTCTCAACTGACTTGAAAGAGGAAGCCAGGCCCTTATCCAAGGCTTGCCTTTGTGAGCCTCGAGCTACAACTTGGATAAGGAAATCGGGGACAAGTGCCAACCAAAGACCTCACAAAGCGCTTATGACTAGGGTCGCACTGTTCGACAATGAGACCTCCAAGCGTTCCTTAGCAACAAAGACATTGTTCATCGAGCTGGGGTACATCAGGCACATACTTAATATCACGATGGTTGAAGGTCCCAATGTCCTCCACTCCTGCCTTGTCAATATCCTCTCATAAGTGATCAAATACTGATCCACAGTGCAAACATCGCGATCGCCGTAATTAGGGATCTCCCCAGAGCTGTCAACACAGGCACCGTCGAACAAGAGCCAGATACCATCAGGTAAGTACCCTAGTGACCATGGCCCAACCCAACAACTCCAGCATGCTCTCGCGCATCCCACCCGAGCTCCGCAACATGATCTACAGCCTGGTCCTGCGAAGAGACGAGCCCATCATGATCCGGCCGTGGGGCTCACGGTGCGACATCCCAGCGCGGATGAAAGGCAAGATGATGAAACTAGACGCAACATCCCTCGCCAACGACGGCGACGCCATCTACCAAAAGTTCCGGCAGATCGACCTGCGGCGCGAGACCCCACGCGCCAGGGGCCACTGCGCGCTCCTGCGCACCTGCCGCGCCGCCAACGAGGAGGCGTCACCAATCCTATTCCGGGCCAACCGCCTCGTCATCGACGACCCGTTCTTCGGCCGCGACTGGGCCCTCGACCAGGGGCCCCGTCGTATCATGCTACTACGAGAAATCTCGCTATGGATCCGCGCGAGTAGGTACGGGCACCCGGACTGGCTGGATTTGCTGATGGAGTTGGAACAGGCGTCCTGGGAGAACCACCGGTTGCGTGTGAAACTGATGATTGAAATGCCCGTCATCAAGGAACATGGCGATGAGATCTCGTCGTAGGGAAACGTCGATTCATGGGCGAATCCGCTGGATTATCTGGTTAGTGCTGGGCAACGGGGCTGGGATGTTGAGATTAGGTTCTTTGAGGCATTGCCTCATGCTCTCTGCGCATCGTGAGGGCTTGGTTATGTGAGAGTGCCTCACTGCATTCTATGAAGCCTTCGAGCCGGATCAGACGCGCGCCACGTGAGCTGATATGCTCTCTGGCTCCGTCTGGATTAAGTGTTAGTAAGTGGCTGTCCTAGGAGACATGCGAGCCCCCCGATCATTAGCAAATGTTGTAGAGCCAGCTCTGGTGACGAACTGTTATATCCTTTCGAACGTCAATCTGCCCCATGATAGAGAATAGACGGCGATCCTACAAGTGACAACTAAGTAGCAACTAAGAAGCCACCACTGGGAGTGCCATTACCAAGAAGCATAGCATCAGTCGCACTTCAAAATTTAAGGAAACTTCGGTAGCCCAGGTAAATAATGGTAATGAAATCTAACTTGACTACATCCTGGTTCTATGCGGTCCAGCCCCAGTGAGTTCTCATCATGATAACTTCCTCACTCTAATCAATATCTAGAGGCCGTATATACCGTGATCGCTCTCCTTACCACGGTCTCTCCAAAATTTGCGTCGCTTTCAAATAGGGGGCGAGAATAGCTGACGCGAAGTGACATCTGGTTCACGCATGTGTCCTTTTCACCTTCGACCTCAGACTTGAGTAGCTGGAGGGCCATAAGGTGCGTAACTTGTGGTGGTAGAAGCCCGATTTCAACGTTTACTTGGACGTTAATGCGTCAGAGCACGCGGCTTCATCTCTCGGTTTACCCGTGCTTCATATGTTTAAGAGTATTTTAGTTGTGCAGCAAGCGGCACAGCTATAAATTTAATACTTTATCATCGCTATAGCCGCTGTAAAGGGTAGTAATATACAAGCAGTGTTGTTTAAACGAGTAGGATTTACTATTAACGCCTATTAGTATTTAAAAAACAACGGCATGTTTACGTCCAGCCACCTATGATTTTGCGATGCGTATTTTACTTCGTGTAGTTGCTAAGGCTATTACGTGTATAAAAACGTGTTACAGGGCCGTTTTTTTCGTTACGCTTCGAAACATTGTGGCTTTTTTTAATGTTTTCAAGGGGGTTTTAAAAAGCGGGGGTTTTCCTCGGCGTTTCGCGGCTTCCCGCGGCTTTTAACGGCTTTTAACGGCTTTTAAAAAGGCTCGCAGTACCTTTTTACTTATTACCCCGGCTAAGAGATGCTAGTCGGAATGATTATATATTAAGGAAATTATATTCTGGCTTATATATTTTATTAGAGGTATTATTAAAATTGCATATATTTAAACTTTTATATAGAATAATATAAAGTTTTGTTAATTATAAAGTATAGTTTTATATAATTAACCGACGCTATATAATAAAAAAGAAAAACGGGTTAAAAATAGCTCGTAACGTTATAGGTTAGAGTTATAAAGCGATTACTTTATCAGTAATATTAACGGCAATATACTAATATCGAGAAACGCGTCGTTGATTTTAAAACTTATATATACGGATAAGCTTTACGTATATAGCCAGCTTTACGCGTTAACGCATTTATACGGATAAAATTTATAATCGATTAATATATAAAGCACGAGATCTTTAAATACCGACCGTATAGCTAGCTTGTAATAAGAAATACGCGCTTATCGTGATTATAAACCGTTTTAATATTTACGAAAAATACTAAAAGTAATAACTTATATTTTTTAATGAAATTTTTTTTAACGTAAGTAAACTAATTATTTTCGGCTTAAAAGTTCCGGTAAAATCGGTAGAAAATTCGAGTATTGTAATTTTTAACTTATTAAAACGATACTTAATCTTAAAATTAATACGCGTAAGTTAATCCGCGTAATATTTTTAATATTATAACGTAATTATAAGCTTTTGATATTATTTTTAACGATATAAATAAACGCCGCTTGAAATTTTCTATTATTATTATTATTGTTATAAGATCTTTTTTATAACATGCGTATTAAAAAAACCTAAAAAAAAAAACCTTTTTATTTCTACGTTTAATAAAATAACGAAAATAAACCGTAATTTAGCTTATAATGATATTAAAAAGATAAATAAAAAAACTATATTTTTAAACGAAGGTTTTATAAAGCGCGCTTTTAAACGTATCAAAAGTTACCCCGGCTCGTTATAAAGTAGCCGTAATGCATTTTTAATAAGCTGTAAAATTTAATAATGTATTATTATTATTACTATTGTTATTATTATCGTTATTATTCAAAGTGATTAAACCGGGTTTTTTTTATTAAACGGTAATAATCTTTTATATATACGCTTTATTAATTCTCGATTTCTTTTAACGGTTTATATTCGTTATTACCATTATACATACTTTTTAAATCGCTCAAAGTATTAGTTTTAATATTAAAATTAGCTATAAGAATTTCGTTTAAGTTTATTGATTTTAATATTATATAGTTAAACATTAAATCTGGTATAACCCTGGATATATCGCTTAACGTAAAAAATACGGTTAATTTTAATAAACGTAATTTTTTTAATATATCGAAAAGTTATTTCTTTTTATTTATATATAAAGGGTTGTTAATAATAGAACACGTATAATATAAAAGCTAGTTTGATAAAAGCTTTTATTGTGATTTATATATATACGTATAGTTTTAACGGGTTTATACAGGGGTAAGATGTTAAACCTCTTACTTTTATACCTTGTTATATACCTTATTACACTTATTTCGACAAACCTAGTTACGTAGTATTTTAAAAATATAAAGGTACGGTACCGATTTTACGCGATTTTAAACTTTTCGTAATTTAACGAGTAAATCTTAGCAAATATTGGAATAAAAAAACGCGCTTATAACTAATAAAGTAAATAAAAATATTAAAGCCGTATTTTAACGGCCTTATATAGCGATGTTAATAAATTAAAGAGTTTTATACGAATATAAATATAAGTAATTACAGCGGACGTTTTTATATTTATAATCGAAATTTTTATTATTAATAGCAACCGGTATCGGTTTAATAATATAATAACAAGTATTAAAAAAAGATAACGTTTTATATTATTAAAATTATAATTATGTATGTATTCAAAAAATCGCCGTAACAAATTTATCGAATTGAATGTGATAACTAAGCTATAATAACAGTCAATGAAGCTATTATAAATATGATACTAAAACTTTCAAAATAGTTTAATATAAGTCTTGTTAATATAATTTACCGTATTTTACCGTATATTTTAATCGTCAAAATCGAATATTATTAGAAAAGTTTAAACTTATTACGCTTATTATTACTTCAAATAATATATATATCCTAGCTATTTCGATTATATGTTTTTAATTAAGAATTTGACCAGTCATTATAAAAAGCGTAAGCAGAATCATTAATAAACTTAACGGTAAGTTAGTATTAAATATAACGGTTTAAATAGGTAACTAGCTACTAAGTATTGAAATATCGCTTATTCTATTATTATAATATATAATATATAGCACGACCGGTAATGAGCTTTTGATATACCGGGCTACTTTTAACTAAGTAAATAAAAAAGCTTTTAACTTCTTTAAAATAACGTATACTTATTTTCGATCGTTTTTTTAAATACGGTATTAAAGCGAAATATATTTAAAGCAATAAAGGCATTAGCAGACGCAAAAAAGGGTTTAAATATATAACGCGAGCGGTTTTTGCTTTAAGCGATAAAGTTACGATTTTAACCGTTAAAAGCGCTAATAGTAACTTTAAGTGAAAACATGCTACAGTTTTAATAAGCTGATTATTTTTACTTTTTGAATTTTGACATTGATTATTTCGTTTCTTATAATAAGGCCGCTAAACAACAGCTAAAAATATGTAATACTTACGGTAAAATACGAGCTTACTTTTAAAAACGAAAAAACATAAAGCACCGGGGTAACGGCTTAGGGTAAAATATTTATTAAAAATATTATTGGCGGCTTTAAAACCGTGTATAATAAGTTAATTTTTATATATCCGAGCGTTTTTGAGCTAATTGAAAAAAAGATATAAGCTTAATATAAAGAACTATACCGTATTTAAAAGTATTTTCCGTGCGTACTTCTTTATGTATAACTATAAGTTACGTTTAAAAATGTATATAACGAAAATTTATAACGATATCGTACGTGCTATTTATAACGCCCGTATCCGGTTAAAATTATACGGCTTTAACTTTTTAACTATATATTAAACCTTATAACTTCATTTAAATACCCTTTTATTAATGCCGCTTCTAAGTAATTAACCCAAAACGAAAAACCCAACTTACATTTCCCGTCAACTTTACGGCAGTAATAAACGTAAAAGCTTATTTCTTATTAAAGCGATAAAAGTACGAGTAATTGAAATTTAACCGCACGTTATTATACCGTTTAAAAGGCGTATTACAATAGCTTTTGCGACTTTTTATTATTAAGGTTTCCAAAAAAGTCGTGCGAAATAAAACAATATTTTCTTTAATAAATAAGTTCTCGATAATATAAGGCGAATATGTTATAATACCGTAATGAGTTAATAACGAAATAGACGTTATATATCTTACGGTAATAATTTAAAAAAAAGAATATTAAAGTTTTAAATACTGTATAAAACTACAAACGATATGTCAGTTTTTAATAATTAAAATAGCTTAATATTTGTAAATCTTCGTAATTAACGGAGTTAATAACGTGTTATTATATTTTTATAATTAAATATAGTTTACTCGTTCGTCAAAATTATTATAAATTTTGTAGTAATATTGTAAATCGCTGTTTATTAATTGTATTACCGGGTTAAAGGTCTTTTTGTTATTAGTTAATATAATTGTGATGGTTGCTACGTCGCTACCATTAGTGATGGTCCTGGGATCACGTAAAAGCACGTGACCTCCTAGAGAACTGGTTGTCCCAGGCCAACTAGGGCTATGAATTGTGGAGCGGACATACTTATCTACTTGGCCACTAGATTTGGCTGTGCCGCTCAATCTTCTTTTTTCTCTTCAGCCACAGATAGTTATATATACATAGTAAACAAGGGCTTCTATGTCCTATTTACATATACATAACGTCACAATAACTAGGTTTTAATAAAAACGAATTACCGATACAATAACATCGTAATAGTTGTAACTTACTTTTAACGTGTTCGATAAATATTACTTTTAAATATTTTCTAGTTTACTTATATATCCGTTTAAATACCCTTTATATATATAACTAAATGTTATTATTATTTATTAATAACGAATTAAAGTCGATTATAAGTAGGTGCTTTTTTATAATATTACGAAGAAAAACAGCGGAGTTAGTATTAAAACGCTTAAATATTATCCGTGTTACTTGAATCGTTACAATTATATTACTTTATATCGGCTATTTTCATTTATATACTTACTTTTTAATAAAGACTTATTAAAGAAATCTTTTTATATTTATAAATAAAACGAAAATACGTTCGAATAAGCGTATCACCGATCGTTTATAACGTTTGAAATATCAAGATTATAAGTTTAAAAGCTTTGTTATTAAGTATATTATCGATGAGCCTTTAACATATCGCTATATAGTCGTTTAAATCTTATATAATATGTATTAATTCTAACACAAGAAGTTATCAGTATAATAAATATTAATATCATTATTATAAATATTATAACAAGATTAAACTATTTTAAAATAAATATAAAAAGGGTTATTAAGTTTATAAATATTAATTTCAATTATTAACATTAAACTATTACTTTATAAATCATTTTATGAAAAGTAAATAAACGCAATTATATTTATATTAATTATAAAAATCATGTTCATTTAATGAATAATTATTAAAAGTTTTATTTCAATTAAAAAAAAGATATTATACAAGTTTATTATTAAACTTGTATTTTACATATAATAATTTATTTCTCATTTTCTATATTTAAAAAAAAAATTTAATCTAAAAATTTAATTTAAAAATATAGTAATTATTATAAATCTTTTCAAGTAAAAGACTATATATGGATTAATTATAAAAGCATTTATTTATTCATTGATTTTTTACATTTTCTCCTATATAATATAGATTTTATTAGGTTTAGACCCGTATTTTTTTAAAATACCTTTTTTCAATACCCCGGTTAAAAGTATTACCCGGAATAGTTATATACTAGGTAAACTATACCCCTTTACTTAATTACCCGGCTAAAGGTACTAGCTGAGATAGTTATATATTAAGTAAACTCAAACATCCCGGCTAGCACTTTTAGCCGGGGTAGTTGAATAAAGAGGTACTTGCGAGCCCCTCTTAAAACCTTTAAAAGCCCTTTTTGAAAACCCCCCAAAAACACTACAAAAAGCCACAATATTCCGGAGCGTGACGAAAAAAACGGCCTCGTAACACATCTTTATACACGCAATACATATATTACGAATCTAACCTCCTCAGCTGCGTCGACATACTTAGTCGTCTATCAACGGTACACTTCTCTACTCGTTACCCTAGGGTTCGGCCAACTCAGGGGTAGCAGAGCTCCCCAAAGACGTCGACACCTATACCTGGAACATTTATCTCCCTAGGTAGAGCCCGAGCTGACAAACAAGGCTACGAGGCTACGCCAGGTCCTCATCCATCTGCACCAGTTTCCATGCCCATGTCTACCCCCTGAATCACGACAGCCCATCTTCGTCTGCGTCAAAAGCCACCATCCCCAGCCTGGCGACACCTCGAGAATCGACTTAGACACCGGGACGATGCAGCCGCAAGTGATAAATCACCTACCTACCTTTGCTACGCCAGCAAGGTATGACACGCAGGGCGTAACCTTAAAGCACCACAGCAGCTGAGCTCAGCAGATCAGGCTTCGGTACCTGGCCTCGTGCCTGGCCTAAGAATGTAAGGCACTTTGAGAAGGCCATGTGTTTAACCGCCTAGCGTATGATTGTAGAGTTCAACAGGGCATTGCTGTAGCTAGGACTCTCACGGCCCGAGTTCGAAGTTTGTGCTCCAGAATTTCAGGGGTCGGCAAGGCGGCTGATACTGGGGAATACACCTGGGGGAATAGGGGTCGAGTCAGACTGAGTGCGGGGAGAGGTGCGGTCTGACTATCTCGGGGGAGGAGAGTTCGAGGCGGATGTTGGTCAGATGCGGAGGGCTGATCAGGGTCCTCGGGGACTAATGGGCAAGAAAGGCCCTTAGCCAACTCACACGATCAAGAAAGCCTCACTTCCGTGGTGACAGAGTCAGCACTCTGGGCCGTACGGCTAAACAAAATAAACCGTCTCCATGACAATACCGCACTCTTACCGGACCTAAAGGTATATCGGAAGCAAGGAGCTTGTGCCCTATATTGAGCCCCAAACTCAAAATGAGGCGAAAGAGCTGAAGGCCACCGGAGCAGCTGTGAGGCCTATAATACAGTTGGGAATGACGGGTCGTCGGGAGTGTCAACCCTGCCTGCCATCATTAGGTTTCAATTCGGCCCTGAAGATCCTGCAGAGGGATAGCAACGCGGAATGTGGTCCCGGTGGCGGTTCAGAGGTCATGCCAGAGAGCAGCGTCCACATAATTGCCGTGTTGTGAGGTTGTTAAAGTTAAGCGGCCGTTACCGTTGGAACTCTGGTTTATAGTGGAAGTCAAGTTGCCACCGAGATACCGAATAGGGCAGTGCCATAGAAATTGCTCGCCTCGTCAGCCTGGAATACCCCTGGAACACCCCTGAACGCTTGGAGAGGCGATAATCAGGGACCAGCTCCTCGGTCAAAGTTAATTCTTGAACCCCTGCCTGGACATAATTTCACCAGGTCTGTCCCAGAAGGGTCCTATCGGGTATCCCAACACACCTCGCGGCCCAACTTTGCCCTGAGCCCTTGGGATGTGCCCCTGATTTCTAAGGATGATCTGTAAGCAGACAGCATCAACAACTCCGTGGATGGAAGGCTGACAGAAGACCCGCATTTGCCACCCAGCTGATCGGCACGACACCACATGGCTCAACACCAGGGACCCCTGAGAGTGTTGGTCGACACACGAACGAGGATCTGTACTTCCACTGGGGTAGCTACTCATACATACGTAGCGGTGTTTGCTGGCAGCTCGTGAAGTATGTTTCCGAGACCAGACGTGTCAGGCGATACTGCTTGTACCCGTTTCTCATACTGTCGCTCTGCGTCGCTATGTTCGAACGGCTGGCCATCGCCAGACACGCGAATGCTGTATGATGTGACATGATCTTGCTGTTGTCTCACACGTCGATATCCAGCTCTCTGCATATCGGCCCTCCTTGCAGCGTGGAGTTGGGTGTACAGCCGGAGGCCCAGATACAGGCATAGCCAGGATGCTGGCCGACACAGCGTAGACGTTCAGGCCGCAATGCGAGACAGCGGAAGCGCATGTCAGCCGAATTATGCGTATGATTTCCGCGGAGAGAAGCGGTGACAGTACACCATCGGTGCACAATAACCCGAGCCTTGTGAGTAGAGTTTTCCCCGGTCTTGCAAGTCGTGCAGCGCGCTAGACGGGAAGTATGAGACCCTTCTCCTAGTACTGAATGGTGCTGTGTAGAGTTTGCCCAGGCATCTGACAGAACTCTAGCATGCCACAGGAAATTCCTGAGAGCCCCTGACCGGTCGACTTTCCATCCCTTTCGTCGGACCTAATAACCGGTAAGCTATCTCCGAAACCAGTCTTCGCCACGGTCTCGTACCATATCTGCAGCAGCGCGCGCGAGGCGTTTGGGCATATGCAGGTGTCGAGTCAGGCTCAGAGCGCATTGGCTGCGACGTATCACTAAGGGGTATGACCGCCTTCGCTAGTGCCCTAATAAGCTCAGCGCCGATCTGGACGCTTTGGACGAACCGAAGCTGCATGGCCGGATGGCTCGCTGCTCATCTGGCGGTGTAGTAGATTCCAAGCTCCAAGAGGGGGGGAAACGACCTGGCATGGAGCTTTCTGAACGTGAAACAAAGCAGTCTGCCGAATCGGCCCACACCCACACCCACGCCCACCGTCCGAAGTCAGGCCGTGGCACCGGCATAGTGTCACTCCGCAAGGTAACGGTGATGCGAGACAACTGTGGCTGAAAGCAGGTCGCCACGTGCCACACACAGGCCACGGTACGACGGCTCCCTCAAAGCTTCACGGTGTTGTGAATACTGGTTCGCGGGAGCTCGACCTCCGGTGGCGTCCGGAGCACAGCCCGGGATTTTCTCTCGGGACAACTGGTGGAGACAGGTCTCGAAGACCGGCCGCGGCGGTACAATGCCTAGAGCTAGCTGTCACATGGCAGATCCCACCGAGCTTCTGTATAGTTCCATCATTGATATAACCGAGCACCGAAGAGTGCGTTAGGGGTCCAGAATATCATCTTGGTATTGAACCACCACCAATATGCGGGGTGACGTCGAGGTCGGATTCGAACCAGGGAGCCGGCTCCGGTACCGCAAAAAAGATGCCGAACCGCGTGGTAGGAATGTATAACTGCTTTTGCGAATCAAGATTATCGCGGGACTGATTTCATCGTGATTTGCAGCACATAGCATCAGCGTCTTGTGGTATTCACTGCAACTCGATGAAGTCGAACTTGGTCACACGTCTCAAATCACACGTGATTTACGTAGACTGTACGAGTGGAAAGAAAGTCATCCGTATCGACTCGTACCGGCCCAGGAGGACGGAAGGTCGGTCACGGCGCGGCCGATGAAGGAAGACTGTGCCGCCGCCTTGCTGCGTCCTTGCGTCAAATGCCTTGCAGGAAGCAAAAAGCGTGTAACGGTCACAGGGTTTGCGAAAATTTCCGAACTGGGGGCCCCCTACAAATTCCAAACGTTCATTTCGCACACGGCCGCCGCCACCTCGTGGCAGATTGCCACGTGAGCCCTCCCGGCACTGCCGTTCAGCCGTAGTGGGCACTGGGAGCTGACAAAAGTGACGAAGTGCGGGTTCGAAGGAGACCTGTCATTTCCCCAGACCAGGTCCATCTCGCAAGACCTTCTAGAAAAAGACGGGGGCAGGGAAGAAGGATGCGATCCTGGCAGCACGTTGCTCAAACGTCTCCAACAGGGCCAATCCTACATAGTACGTGATATGTAGGATCCGACCATGCCAGGAATAGAAAACGGTCATGGGTATGTCACCTTCGTCAAGGCTGCAATGCTTCTGGAACAAGTCGTGGAAGTGTCCACCAAAACGTCAGATATCCTGGAGCCTATTGAAGAGTGTGATCGTCAAAAGGGTCCATCAAAACCCAGCCCAGCCTTCACCCTGGCCAGGACAGCAAATGAATCGTATGAGGTATTGAGGGCCTCACGTGGCCCACCAGGGACATCAAGACGATATGGGAGATTTTCGGGCCGCGAAGGAGGAGCAGGTAGTACACTGTACACGCCCTGAACCCCCATGAAGTGGCGAGCCGTATCAAGCACGAACAGAGAAGCAGACTTGGCAGACAAAGAGGATGTCTGGATGTTTGACAGGGGTGGCCGCAGCGTGTTGCGCTTTGAGGTCGTCCAACCGCTCTGTTTCCCCACCTGCTGCGGCTTGCCACAGGAGATGCCTACTGTAGAGTCTAGGGACACAACTCGCGATTCTTTCCCAGACGTCTGGGTCAACACTCGAGCTGGCACCCGCGAAATAGCTGCAAGGGGCCGTGCAGATTGCCTGTGGCTCGTGACTCGTGTGAGTGAGGGTCGACCGGTGAATGGGCGCGAAGCCAGCGATTTGCTTGCGGGCTTGAAAGTTCGGAACTTTGACAGCCGTACCTGACAGGGATTGCCCCGGCAACTTGCCATGTGGCATTTGGCTACCCAAAGAAGGTAGTACTACGTTTAGACCGGCAAAGCAGCAGCTACTTATTTTCCCCTGTTGCAGAGGGGGTTCCAGGGCTGCCAGGGTCTTGATCAGGACAAAGCGAGATGATGTCGATACTGTACATAGTCGATTGAATGGGTCTTAGGTGCCTTCTAGAAGCAATCCTTCATCATATGAGACTCGTTATTCTGAGCCGATGAATGAGATAACAAGAAACGAGAATGTTGCAGCTGACGGTGAGGATTAGCTTGCCCATGTTGACCCGCACTTTCATTCCGTAGCCTTTGGATTCCACGTGCAATGGGGGGCTGGGGGCGCGAGCCAAGTATCGGCAAGGTCGGCGGCCATGGTTCGCGGCGTGCTCTGCCATGTGCCAGTTCGCTGATGGAGATTGCGATGGAGGCGCGGCGTTCCAGTAGCGGCAGGACGCTGGCTGGGTACATGCCGATGCAAGCTTGACTTCCATTGCGATTTGCAATACCGTCTTTGCTCTATCGAAACGCTTTGGCTCGATGCCAACAAGGTCAACGGAGTCGCCGTTGATGGGGCATATTATCTCCATATCTGCCTGGTGGAAAGTACCCATTCCGCTCAGGGGAAGGATCTCTAAGACGCGCTCAGACCTGCTATCAGCAAACACCGTACCGAGCCGTAGGAATGGCACTGTATTTCAGACAACGAAACGGGATCCACTACTGGGTATTGTATGCTGAGTGGGCATAGTATTTGGAAGAGTGCTTAGTTGAGACAGACATATTGACAGATAGAGGCATCAACGCATCTTTGTCTACCCTATCAGCCACTTGGTGGCTATTCATTCTGGATAGCAGTCGTCACCGCTGGATTGGTGGCCAGTCAGGAAAGTTGGAACAGGATCCTACAGGCTTGTACCGCCAATGTGCGCCTCCACGACTCATGCGCTCAGAAACTGCGTGTGTAACAAACGCTTGCTTGCTCCCTACAGCATATCACGACGGATGGAATATTATCAATGTTCATGCTTTGATTGTGCAAGCCTGTGTGCATATGCAGCCTCTATTTTAGGTTAGGGGGGACATGACCTGTCAGACCGCATTTATATCAATTCATGGTTCGCAAATCATCGCCGCTGGACGCCTGGGACTTTTGACAGTTTGGTAAACCTTGGCGGTTCGGCGATTCGGCGTCACGGGAATCGTTATGTCCTAATGCTGCACGTCAGCACAACGTGACTGTGTCAATCTGTCACCATGTGGCAAAGCCAATGCGGTCAGGCCATGCCCGCCCTGCCTGCCGACCACGAGGCAGCGCCTCCTCCGTTGACGGAATAAACCAAACTGGGCCCGGAGATCCGGCCAATGGAGCTCTGCACGCTTATGAAGTGAAACATCTAGGAAAATTCCCGATGTGTGACCCTGAACAGCGATAATGTAAGCCATAAACATGGTCATAATCTATCAAGGTGCGAGAAGCTGACCGACGGTTTTCACTACTCATCATGGCGTAGAGGTTGAGTGAGAAGGTTCACAGGGTTCAGCCGGGAGCCGCGAAAAAGGAGGATTTTCATCCACCGGGTTGGAAACCATGAGGTCAAGAGCAGCTGAAGGCAAAATATATTTGATGAGAGATGTTGAGCGGAGGTACAGAGACAGATACACTACGCATGTAATAGAAGTCGGCTGAGGATCGCTGACAGAAGTACATATGCATGCGGGATGTCGCGAAGGCTCACTGCCGCCAGAGCTGACAACACGGCCTGTCGTCGGCTGAGTAATCGTTGACTGTCCAGATCGGCATCTGGAAGCTGTGCCTGCCGCTGGGAACTGGGCGAACGGTCGTCGTTGTCGTCACTGTGTCACCCACCAGGCGTTGAGGCTGATACTGAACACATAATAAGACCAATCGGCTGCCTAGCTGAGCGGAACCGAGGCTTGCCGGTTCATCGATCAATAACACGCGATTGTAGACCGGACGAAGGGAGAAAACGTGGCAGACACAGCGAACTCAGCGCCGGGTGGTCCGTCTTGAAACTAGCTGGATGCCATAGCCTCCCCCGGCCATACCGGCGACATTTACCAGTCCCTATCTGATACTACAGGTCACCGAGACCAACAGTATCTCGGGAGTCTAGGACCCGACTCGGCCGAGGCTGCAAGCGTACGTAGTAGTGTCGTTGCCCGCGTCGAGAAAGCACTAACCGCTCTTCTTCGGCATCTGATCGAGGCTACCCGCAAGCCGCAGTTGCGCAGAAGACCTTCACCTGTGTGGGAATCCGTCCTGCTGGTATGCTGAGCCAAAGTCTGCATAAGCCGCAGCTCGGAGGTGATAGTGCACAATACATCCACCGAGGTGAAATCGCTCAGTGACAGCTTCGGCAGGAAGCCTCACCTTCGACCCTCGCAGAACGAGATGCAAGCTGTTGAAGCGTAGTCCGAAAAGGCTGTAACGGGCTCACGAGGATGAAGATATCAAGGGTGTCACGTGTGATAATGGTCTACCAAGCACTGATGCAATATAAAACCCACTCTTGCCCTCGCTAGCACGATATACGGTGTACACAACAGGCAAGCCGAACAGGTGGGCAGATTACTTGGAATATATTGATCTCCGACCGTGTGAGCCAAAAGGAGCAGTCCCACCTGGCACCATGCTCGATGGACCACATGGCAATGGCGAACGGGACCGGCTGGGTTGGTTCCAGAATCTGTCGTTTCGCCCCCATGGACAGCCCAAATCATCGTGCGCGGTCAGCGACTATCGGCCAGCTATTGCTGCTACCTTGTGTGCAAACCACCGATGGCCTTCACTACTGCACGTTTCTTCCTGTAGGCACACAATATTCTGCCTGGGTAGCCCGGAGGTAACAAACGAAGTTAAAGAGTCAGGCGGCACGGACAGGTCCCTGGAACATTGTCATGATACCGCTCCACAATACCTACGTGGACATGGAGCAAAAGTGCGGAAAGAAAAGAAGTGTGACTCGTCGCAGAAGGCCTACCCGAATATGGTAAGACGACCGGGCCCGGGTCAGAATGGTGGAAAGGATCCCTGGAAGCACGTGCAGATCTGTCGGCCTAAGCAGATGCTCGGAAGTTCGCGTGAGGACTGTCACAGTGTGAGTATACTGTGTAATGGGGCATGATTGTGAGAGAGGAGGAGGCGTGGGAGGGTCACACTCCAGGTGGAGCGACCCTTCTTCATGGCAGCAAGGGCCATTGGTGATAGGGGATACGAAAACCCGACCACTGGCGGCATGGCAGTCATGGACCTCGATATATCACCTACGGCTGCAGACAACTACACACATCGTGGAAGACAGCATCATACCAAGACGTCGATGCATACCTCTCACCTCATCGGCACAGCCTGAGCTGACACAAGCTCGACAAGGGCGCTCGCTAGGCACGGAAGGATGATGGAACACAGAACCTCCGATGCTTTGATGCCTGATGCCTGATGACTGCGTGAGTATACTATGCGGTGCGAGTGTTTCTGATTCTGCCTTGCTGTGCTCGTGTAGCAGAGATGAGGTGCAGCCGCCACGTTCTCAACGCTGTTGTGGTTTGCGATCAGGGATGCCAGACACCCAAGCGGCGGTCAAGCTAGTCGCTGTGGTTCCATGATGGGATGATGGAGATCGAGTCGGTCGTGTCACCCTGCCCAACTGGGCTGGGCGTATGACCTCTCTCTCGCCTGGTACCGGGAAACTGACTGACCACAGCAATGGATGAGATGAGATGTAAGAGGGCATCAACTTGCGAGTGTGTTGAGCCTCTGGTGGCGACACTGACGATGCCCGGCCTATATATAGCGGGAGATATAGCGGGAGATATAGCGGGATATATAGCATAAGAAACTATACGAACACCGAATAAAGATGTGACCAAGACTGATTATGAATCAAGTGGCTGGCTGCCTACAGACAGGGCTGCGCGGATTTTATAGGTGTGAGAGACCCTCCATGTTGATGATGATGATGACTATCTTATGGTGGTGGTTGGTGACACCGCATAAGTTGCACCACCAATGGGAGCAATATAGATGTCAGCCACGTTCGGGAAGGATCTGAGATGACCAAAGACATTTTTGTCAATTACACGGCTTCTTACATGACTTCTCATCGACATGAAAGTTCAATGTAGATATCTCACCGGCCTTCATGCATTGGCGAAAAGCACGCACGGCTTCGCATAAAACATACAGCTGCCCGGCATGCGGGGTCCTGGACACCCCCCATCGCCGGGGGGTTGGCCTCTATCATGACTGTATCGGATAGGTACATGTATCATAACCCTTGCCGCCTCATCTCGTATGAGTGGTAACGAAATGCATCAAACGGCGATCGCATACAGACGCGAATGGTCAGAACCGTGAATATATATATCGCCAACTGATCTCCCAACACTCCGAACATTGGATACTCATGAGGCCTCAACATGCGTCTGACAACATGGAATGCACTCCTCAATGCTGATTCATCTGATCCACCGCCTCGTGGCCACCCGCCCGTGCCGTAGGTGCCTCTGATAGGCTTAGGCGGTGTAAGCATACAAAAAGACACCCTTGCTGTCGTGCTGAACGTGCCTTTGATGCGCGATGCAACCGTTCTCTCCAATCAGCGAAAGGGGGTGGTGATTAACCCCGATTATTCCACGCCAGCCTCCACCTCGCAGCACATGGCAAAAAGATGGGGGCTTCTTCTCCGTTCTCGACTTTCAACGCTGCATTCTGGGCACAGTACGGCGTTCACGATGCTGAGCATACCTAGATATCGGTACAGATCGCAGATAGCTACCTCAACCGCCATTCCACTCGTCTATCTGTCCAGTCTCGCTCGATCTGACCACCCGTTGACTTTCTCATAATCTTCATGTTCTCGGGCACTCAAGACGACGTATCAAATCCACCTACCTGTACGAGTACATGATACCTCATAACGTGGGCATTCCAGTTGAAACAAGGCAGATCGCATGGGAGGTGCGGTGAAAGTAATAGACATGACAGGTATGTTGCCTACGAACTCCTCAACTCCTTCTAGAGATTCCACACAGTTTGCAGAGACTGTACGCTAGAAAATTCTCTCTTGTCTCTGGCGTCAGGGGGCGTGGCTCCCCTGGTGTACTGTGCTGCCCGGCTGCTGTAGCCCCCGAGGTACATTGAATGATGGCACTCACTCACCACCCCTGGGCGCCATGTGCCTTGTAGCCCTGTACACACGCAGTTAGCGTCCACTACGGCACTAGTAGCGGGCGACGCATGTGGCTCCCAGGTCAGCGCCCCACCTGCGCCCACCTGCACCGGCGGGCCCAAGGAGTGGAGCATACCCATGTCGCATCGAGGGGTCCATGACCCACCTCGCCCCTAAGCTTAGCGTACTCGAGAGGTACTCGCTACACCACGTGGCCAACGCTGCAGTCGAAATATTAGCTTCGCTGCTTCTAGGTGGGCAGTACCCTCCACTAGTGCAGTACCAGGTAGGACCTGAAGTTCTAAGCCAGCAATTGGTCAGCCCAGCCAACCAGAGACTGGATGCAGACGGCCGGCCATGAATCTCACAGGTTACAAAGCAGCGGCTGCAGCGCAGTTTCAGCGGGGTCGAGTGCAGACGACAGCACCATGCATCCACTGGACCGTAGCCTGTACCTAACCTACCTGCTGTGCCTGTACTCCATTTGAGGGGCACATCCATCCGTCTCACCACCTGCACTGACCAGGCATTGACCTTGGAGTGCTGGATCCTGCATTCGAGGTTGAGGTTCTCCAACGTTCATAAAAAGGGTCTCGTTGTATTTTACCGCTACATCTCGTACATATGGCAGACCCAAATACAACCTTGGACGTGAACCTCTTCAACAGAGTTGATTGACACATTGAGTGATGACCATGAATGTTCCTTGGCCAGTGCAGTGCGTGCAGCAGCAGCTTACAAGACTCTGGCACCACCCCTATGCCCCTATGCCCCTCCCGCGTCGGCCATCTCCTGTCCTTTTCTGCCTGTCTGCTTGCGGCCCTGCCATAATACATAGCATTCTCACCTCATATAGAAGGTCCACTTGCTCGTCTCTGCTAGAGCCTAGTTCCTAGTTTCTAGTTCCTGCACCAAGCCCGTCGTCTTCCTACCCACTCGACTTGTGACCCCAGTCCCAGTCCCAGTCCCAGTCCCAGTCCCAGTCCCAGTCCCAGTCCCAGTCCCAGTCCCAGTCCCAGTCCCAGTCCCAGTCCCAGTCCCAGTCCCAGGCGCCCCGTCCCCGTCCCCGTCCCCGTCCCCGTCGTATACTGTACCGTACCACCACCGCGTCCTACCCAGGTAGTCCTGGTCTCCCGGTCCTGGCCGACGCTCGATGCTCGACGCTCAACGCTCAACGCTCCTGGCATAGACCTGGCCCGAAGCACTGCTAGCAATTATTTTGTTATTCTTCTGTTTTCATTAGTACCCCGATCTGTTACATGACCCTGACTACCTGATGCTGCTGTATTTGACCCATCGTCTCCGTCTCCGACCTCTGCCTCTGCGGCTGCCTAGAACCAAAACCCCGTCCGTCCCTCTGTCTCGCTAGGTTAGTAGATGGCTGCCGTCTCTCCATCTCCAACCTCCCTGGCACCACCATCGCTACATCACGACCACGACCACGACCACGTTGACGGCCACGGCCACAACCACGAGCTTCACCAGCCGCCTCCGTCTCACACAAACACGAGTAATACCGCCGCCGCGCGTGCGAATCCCTCGTCCAACGCTACCACTGCCACCACTGCCGCTAGCAAACCACCAAGGTATTCTAGAGTCCAGACATTCCAGGCTTATCGTCGGACCCTCTCCCGCCGGCCCGATTGCCATTCCCAACTTTCAGGTCAAACCACTCCCGCTCGCTACAACACCAATTGACTCGTCCCGCCAGCTCGTCTAGGACCCAGAAGCCTGCAGGCTTCCTCGCCTACGCTGCCGCTGCCTTTGACAAGACTGTCGCCAACAGATCGGAACCTACTGCCGTGCGCATTCGCCATTCCTCCTCGACCCTTCGTCGCCTGTCGCTTGCGCTCGAATCTCCCACCACCACCGAGCCCTCGAGCTCCAACCGATCTTCCAACATTCGTACCCTCTCGAGCAACTCGACAACGCCGTCGACCCGGGTGCTACCGAGTCCCCTCTCCCAGACGAGGCGGTCGAGCGAGGCGTCGTTGAAGGACATCATCTCCAAGCCGTACTCCGAGACAGACGCAAGTCGACCCCCTCCGACCCTCGTTTCCAACGTCAAAAACAAGATGCATCAAACATCTTCGAGGTTGCTCCGTATGACGGATGACGACCGTCCTTTCACCCGAGTAAGTCAACACTCGTTATCTTGGTTCTAATCTGGCGACTGGCTGTTCCTCAATGGCCGATGGCCCCGCTCGTCACCTCTTGCTGACCGTCTCCCAAAGGACTTCAAGGACCTCTTCTCGACTCTGATCGTCAGCCTGCTCCCATTGTCTCCTCACCGAGTGCGCTTAACGCGAATTGAACATACATTTTTGTCGGAAGATGCTATCAACAATCTTGGCTCCCTCAAATTCTCGCAATCGAATCGTATGCCCGACCCGAAGGACCCATCGCGTATCGTAACTACGACCACGACTACCACCTTTTCTATGGCCAAGGACATGGCCAGATCTATATGCCAACGTTTCCTCGATGCCAGGTTCATTGAATCGGCTGATGGCAAGCTACAACAAGTTTACACAATGAAGGGCGCGGTGTGGCAGTTGACCCCAAAGGGTGTTTGTGTGCTAGACCGTTTCTGCTCGCGGAATGGAATTCAGCAAAGGCAAATAGCGGATCTTATCTCCCTTGGGACTAGCCATATGTGTATTCTGGAAAGAGACCCGGCCTCGGACAAGCTGGTCATGGACCGCGGCACGATGGAAGTTCTTTTCAGGAGACTTCTTGGTGCCAACGGTCTTAACGTCAAGTCAAGCGTCAGCTCGGCCGATTCCGATTCTTTGAGCGATTACCGTGATGGTCTCACCGGTGTAAAGATGGCTAGCGAGCGCAAAGTTGGCGGCAAGACGTACAAGGACACATTCACTGGTAAGGCGGTATCGGATTGGTTGATGGACTGCTGTACAACCGTGGACCGCCGCGAGACCTACGAGCTATCTTCCCTGTTCGTCGAGTACGAATTGATGGAAGCGATCCAGGCAGATCGGGGATACATGGCCTCGTCACCGTCCGCGGCCATGTTCCAGCCAACCAAGAACGCAATCTATCAGTTGACCTCGAGGGGTAAAGAGATATTCAGCGGTGGTGGTGTAAGGGGTCGTACGTCGGAGAGTGAGGGCCTAGGAGCATCCTCGCGTCCTGGTGTGGCACGGGATTCCAACACCCAACGTCTCGACAAGATCTTGAACGACGCGGCTTTGCGATTGCTGTTCCGAGAGAACCTGCGGGAAACCCACTGCGAGGAGAACCTGTCGTTCTACCTGGATGTGGACGAATTCGTTCGGGGCTGTCGGGTGGCGATCAAGCTAGCTCAGAAGAACCCAAATTCTACATCGATGGACGGAATCAAGGAGATCATGGCGCAAGCATATGGCATCTACAACGCCTTCTTAGCCCCAGGATCACCTTGCGAGCTTAACATTGACCATCAACTGCGCAACAACCTTGCTACTCGTATGACCAAGGCGGTCGGGCAGGATGTTGCCATGATCGATACCCTGCACGAAGTCACAACCCTCTTCGAAGACGCACAAAACGCCGTGTTCAAATTGATGGCCAGTGTAAGTCGATGGAACCGTGACGAGGTGATGAAATTGCCAAGGCAGACCCAACTAATCGACGATGCAGGACTCCGTACCCAAGTTCTTGCGTAACAACAAGTACGAGCACACCCTGAAGAACTATGACTTCGACGCCATTGTCGTTGGCGGCGGCGCCGGTCGTATGCCGGAACGAAGCCAAAGTCGGTCCAACCGCAAGTGAACGCTGTGTCCAGATCCGACCGGCCCTGGGGACTATCGGATGCTGACATTCACACCACCCGAAATCCCCGCTTCACTGCACGGTTTCGGCAACTTTGGATCTAAGGACTCGCTGTGGCCACGATGCGCCATTCGAGCGGCCTTGATTCACAAAAGAACTAATACAATCTCTCCGAAATTTTGTTCTCTGTTGAAGACTTTCTTTGTTTACATGGGAACAGCGGCGTTGAAGGATAAACCATCATAGACTACCCTCGATGGCGTTCTGAACCGCAACAGTCATCGGTTGGCTTACTTGAGACTTGATCTGATTGTGGAAGCGGCACACGGGAGGGTTGCCCAAGTGTATATGAGACTCTCTCAATAAGGCAGTGGTTGGTCACCTGGGCACTTGAACCGACAATGACGTCCGGTTACGGTGCAAAAGGTGGAGGAGTTGTACGAGCAATTGTCGCAGACAAAGCCCCCATACGCGACAGAATCGGGCGGCATGTCGCAATTTCGAGCTGCCAACCGGTGGTGGTGCTTTGTGGGAAGGAGGAGTGGCATCTGGTGGAGTGCTACACTGCATCGCCAACATTGGCGTATCAGCTGGTATTGGTCTGAATGAAGAGAAGGAGACATTCAGTAGTATTGTCGTCGACTTGTATATAGGATCTGTCTCGACCTGCCGAGCCACGGCCCTGGCACCGAAATGAAAATCGACATTCAAACCAGGGAGAGTCTTTGACGGTGTGACAGTGAGACTAGCGTGGAGTCGATTCGCGTACCGGAGGGGATCGAGAGGCGTCCAGAGGGATGGTGGAATGGTCACGGAGGTCCAAGTGAATTGTCAGTGTGTTCTCGCATTCCAAGACAAAAGGGGTACACTATGGTTCTTGGTATGTTTTGACTGTCTTGCCTGCTCCGCGAGATTCTAATTGGCAGACATGAGTATTGGCTGTCTAATTGCAGATTCTCCCGCCGCAACTCGCGGCAAGCCTCCTGTCTTCTTAAAACGAGACTATCTCGAAGCCATCCTGCTCTCCTCCACCCTTCTTTCCATCGGCATCACTCTCCCTCATTTTCTTTTATTCACTAGTTTTTTTCAACTGCTACTCCTGTCACAGTCCTTTTTCTGAAGCCAACCAGCCTGTCACCCCTCTCATTATTCCTCTCATACACATCACTCTCTTCTTACAGCAAACGGTCACACCACACAGTCAATATGTACTCCAACAACGCCGCCCTCATCGGCCTCCTCGCCGCCGCCGCCTCGGGCGCCCTGGCCCAGAGCAGCAGCATCACAACGGTCCCCGGGTCGACCATTACCACGTCTGGACCGAGCAGCACCACGACTGTGGACCCAGCGTCCGTGACGTCGTCCATCCCCAGCACCACCGTCAACGCCACCGTCGTCGCGCCCGCGCCTGTCTACAGCTTCTTCAACACCACCGTCACCACGACTATTGTTGTTAATGCGCTGACCACGCTGTGCGCCACGCCCACCACGCTCACGTTCAACGGCTGCGAGTACCCGGCCTCAGCTGGTGAGGTCGTTACGGTTACGAACTGCCCTTGCACTGTTACTACTGTATGTTTTGTTGTGTCTTCCCTTCTAGAAGGGTCTTGTCGTGCTTTACGGACTCCCGCCCTGTCCTCCACCTCCTCTTCCTACCCCCTCCCCTTTCCCGGCTATCACTCCCTCTCATAACTCCTCCTACTTCTACTCCCATTCCTATTCCCACCCTCCTGTCCAGCTCGACACGATAAGAAGTCAGCCAACTAATACGCGACCACCACCCCAGGCCCTCCCAACCGTAACCTCCTCCCTCTGCCCCTCAGCCGAGACTCCAGCCGCCGAGTCCCCCGCTGCCCAGACTCCCGCTGCCGAGTCCCCTGCCCTGCCCGCCGCCGCGCCGCCTGTCGAGGCACTCGCCCCCGCTCCTGCCGCTCCGAGCGTCAGCGGTGCCGCCCCGGGTGCCCCCGGCTCCTCTAGCACGTACGTCGCCCTGGTCAACGGGCCTAGCTCCGCGCCGTCTGCCGTGCAGGTCGCTGGCGCACCGGGAGGTGCCGCTGCTGGGGTTTGGGGGGTTTTGGGGGCTTTGACTTTGGGGGTTGTTGGGTTGTAAAAGGCTCTGCCTCTCGAATCTCATCAGTCCTTCGAACAAACCTGGAGACATGAGCCCTCGCGGAGCCCAGGTCATGGGGTGGCCCTCCCTAGCAGGGAGGAGCATCCTGCATACCACGGGAGTTAGGCATAAGGCATGTTGACTGGGCTGCCTGGTATTGGTTTGTCCTGGTCTTGGTAATGACAGACGGGAATGAAACACGATATGATGGGATGAAGAAAGGATGATGCATGTATATGCAGCAGCTTGTGCCCGGGCTAGATAGAATGGCTATGGCTGCCGACTGCCGGTCGGGTATTGTATGCCGGTAGACGGACGACGGACGACATGAACCTACCTACATTTATATTATGTATGTGACGAGAACGGGCTGGCCGGATAGGCTTTCTTTATGTATGGGGTTTTCTTTCTTGATAATGTCTACTTGATTCATGTATTTCGTTTTCACATCGTCATTAGGAGTTCAGTATGTTCTATCTTCGTGGTGTGAGTGTGGGCAGAGGCATCGAACTGAGTATAAGTCTCTATGAAGCTGACGGTAAACTGACTCACTGATGACCAACTAGGTACGGTGGATTTATGAGTAAGTAGCTATGCATCTGGCAACCGATGATTCCGTGTAGGTATGGGTTATCGGATAATCCGGTTCCAAGTCGAAGCACTTAGAACAAGCTGTCATGCCATGCCTGTTACGTACTCCTCACCGTTCTGTCGGTCAGTAAGCCCTTCAGATTTCGATTCGATACTGTGTGAGCTGCCACATACATGACTAAAGTTACATACTCACCTGCCTCATCTTACGGCATACCTGTGCTGTTTGTACCGGCCTCGTGCATACAGCTGGTGGCTCATATATCTTGGCGTCTTGGTCCGTTAGGTTGCCTCGCAACATTTCCTATACAGGGGCAGTTATGCGGCCTTTTCAAATTACTGCAGAGAAATTGCCCACATTCAAACCAAAGAACTACAGCAGATGCACTACTTTGGCCTTGGATATACACCTTGTTACCTACCTCCTCCCTAGCTTAGAGCGCAGCCATGTAACGAATGTATGCACATCAAACGACGACGCCAAGCCGGCGACGTGGGCGTTGAACAACGTGCCAGTGGCAAAAGGTCGGATGATGTTTCCCGCCCCCTGGGTAGCATGGAAACCTAGAGTCGTCATAGGCAATAATACATGCATGAGGCAAGTCTCACACTGCTTCGATGTTGTTACGCCGCGTTTGACACCAAGGTGACTACATACCTACGCAAATATTCCACACCGAAAGAATGAGGCGAACACCTGCTCGACAGAAGGCGGGAAAAAGACGACATACAACATTCAAGAGTGCAGATATTGCCATGAGCTCGACATCTCGTTTGCCGGTGGTAAGCAAAGCACCAAAAGCAGCATCCACCTCAGTACCACTTCACTCCGCGGCCTGTGTCGATCTCTTTCCAGGTTCGAAATCTGTAATATGCGGCATGTCGGTCTGCGTATGATTATGCAAGTCCCGCAGTCCTGCAGTGGTGCTGTGCTGATGTACCTTTCATGCAGCTGCTGATGATACTCGCCACGTTTTTCTCGCTTCGGGCTTTCTTATTCTCCTCACTTGCTGCGGCTCAGCTGGGACTGGTGGGTATCTAGGTAGTATGTGTGGACTGCACATACCCATATATGATACATGTACAGATGCCTGTCTGTTGAGCCGGTGTAGATATAGTTATGTGTGGACAAAGTGGTATTGCTGAAAAGGCCGACAACTAGGGGGAAGGGAGTGAGAGAAATAAAAAGTTAAATGGACTTTCGGAAAAGAAGGACGAAATGTAAGTGAGCCTTACATGCATGCGTGTGCATATCAAGATTCTTGGCGAGGACCTGAGCGAGCCCTCGGTTCGATTCTATCTGTCCATGTAGTCTGGGCATCTGGTGAGGTTGGTGTTGTACGGACTGCAAGTTACGAGTACCGGTAAGAGAGGTAGGGTATGTAAGGTAACTTGATGGAATGATACTGTACGCACATGCATCCGCTCGAGCTACTTTGCACAGCTGACAGTGAGCATGGCATATATTACCTGCCGGTACCGCAATACAACCTCATGCGAGCTGACTCATCCCATCCCATCCCATCCCATCCGTAGACTCGTCGCTGATCCCCTCGTGTCGTGCCACGCACCGTAGCAATGGAGTAACCTACAGGTGTGTAGGTAGACAGATCATCCTCACAGCATGTACCTAGACCCACGCCCCAGCCGATCCAGTCCAAGAGCAGAACAGCAGAAAAAGCTCCCGTCAGCGTCCCGCTGCAATGGTAAGGCAAGGAGGGGTCGAGTCGAGTTCGTTGATCATCAAGCTGCGGTGCTCCCCCCCCCTGATTGATTGGGCGTGGCGACTACCTACCTACCGCTACGACGTATGTATGTAGTGCCACACACAGAACGACAGGCAGGATACCTCTTTAGTAGTATTACACAAGCACACGGCATTCATCTGATGCATGCAATGCAAGGCCACGAGGGAGGAGCTCGGCTCCGCCCAACAAACACGTGTCTGTCAGGCGTGGCGAGGAAACGTGCCAGCACGTGTGGCCGCACGTGGGTTGACGTTGAATTGCCGCACGTCGTACCGGTGCGGCCAATCGGCTGCGGTGGAGGGTATGGCAGATCCTGTTGGTGATGCCCAGTATGTATCTCTCTAATCAAATGCAGAATCGGGAACGGTGGGTGTGGTTGCACAGAAGCGAGGGAGTGGCGGGCAGCTTTCATTAATCGTGAGATCTTTCCCCTATTGCGCTGCCGATCTATGGGTAGGTAGGTAGGCTACGGTGGCGGTGTGATTATACTGCCTGCCTCTTGGTAGCTAAAGGCGGCGGGTGCCCAATATGTAGCCCTCTCGCCAGGGCTGTCCGAATTGGACTCGCTTGATCTGTCTCAACCAATTCCTTCTTGGCTTCCCTCAAATCAGACCGTGCTTTCCCGACAGTATTGTACAAGTTCCCCGGGTAGATTGGGATCCAGTCTGACGGTGAGAAATGCGGTCTGGCACCCGCCAGATATCCCGTAAGCTGGTACGGTACCTCTCGGGGCCCGAAGCGCGTTTGGTATCGAAAGGGCCCAGAGTCACATGGTCCCGAAAGCCGACTCAATACCTCGCAGTCATACTGCGTCGCATTCCACAATGCGAGGCCTTTTCATATCAAGGCTGGAGCCCGGTCACGTTTCCAGCCCTTGCTTCGCATGTTGCCCTCGATCGCCTTCCAGATACCCTCCACAGCCTCCCGATCTCTCCACCGACTCGAGTCCATCCCCGTGGCTCCTGTGTCCTTCCACCTGTCCACACCAACGTTCATCACCCTGTGGCCCCAGCCTCTGACGCTTTCAGGGGGCTGCTCGCCACGCCAGCCCACAAAGATGCCCGGTACATGGCGCCACAGGTCCATCGGATTGCTCCATTTGTAGTTCTTGAATTGCCAGCTCTGGCCGGTGGTGAAAACGGCAACCACACGACTCCAGTACTCAGGCTTGAACTGCTCAGGCCCTTCCACGAGGATAAATCGCATCGGTCGGTTAGGGTCGATGTCCTTCATCAAACGGTTGATATGTAGCATGCTCGCGCTCGTACTGGAGCTAGCAGCAAGAGAATCGGGCGGCACATATTGACCGCTCTCGAGGAAGGACTTGATATTCGACATTCGTAGTAACGAAGACGCGGACGGCGAGAGTAGGATGATGGGGTCGGGCCGCTTAGGCTTTTGGTGTGTTGCTAGAGCAGGATTGCTGGAGATGTTCGAGGACGAAGGTTGTGATGGTTTCTTCGCCATGAAAAGGGCCGCAAGCTTGCGGACGTGTGTAAAGTCCTAAGCGACATTGAGCATGCATTCGATCACAAACAAGGGCAAAATAAAACATACCGTCGACTTGATACCTCTCAGCACACTGTTCCGGTCACCCATCTTCCGCTCGCTGTTGTAGATGACTGCTAGTCTGGGATCCAAAGTTCCCTTTCCAGACCTCCCTAAGGTCGTACCAATCGCTGGAGCAGCGGCGCCCTTGGAGGCCAGAGCCGCAGCTGCAGTCGAGGTTGATCCATCCTTGTCTCCAGCTAGTGGCTTGATGTAGTCGCTCTCCTCACTGGCTCCCTCGAGCCATGTAATGAGGTCAAGCCGCTGGTAGAAGGCGAACCCTCGGACTGGACCTCTCGTTCCCAGCTCATCGTTCAACTGCGATGCGAAAGTGTTGTACTCGGGAATGGCGACCTCGCGATTGAGCCAGGCGAAGTAGATACTGCGCAGATCGACGGGGGTGTTTTCCGATACGAAGCGCGTCGCGGTGTCGATCGGGATCGATATCCGGGTAGGTGTCGTGAAGGTGAGGTGTGTTGCTTGCGCCAGGCGGACTTCGGGAGCGGAGGGTTCAGCAGACGCGGTTGGGAAGATGGGACTGCCAGACGCGATTGACTGCCGGAGCAACAGAAGCGGATCCTGGTCAACTGAAGCCATGGTGAATGCGCGCGCGCGCAAGACTGAGGGCGGGTTGCAAGGGAGAGGGATCGATGGCAAGAACCAGCTGTCGCAAAAGAAGGGAGATGAAAGAAGGCAGCCTTGAGGAACGAAGTCGGCAAGGCTGGAGAAAGATGGATCCAGACATACACTCGACTGGAGAAAGGTGGGTCGGGCTCGACGTGGGAGCCTGGAGGTATGCATCTAAAGGGTCTATGCATCATGCCAGGTTGCACATTCCACTGCTTCTTGACGCGAGTTGGACGCGGTGATACGCGTTTCCAATGATTCTGGACATAATGAATTACATTGATTTAATGGGTATTGAACTCTTCATTCGTTGCAGTCATTCCATTACCGATGGACCCCTGGCTCGTGACTCTATCCTCTGTTGATCGTGTTCCCGCTTCCCTTGGGATTGGCCTCTGTGTATTGATCCCACTCACGAGCCTTCATCGTCTCCGCATCAGCCTTGTCGATGTTATCCTCGTCGGGCTCGGGCTGCCTTCCGCTCGCCTCTCCTCCACCCTCTATGATATTCCCTTGCCGACGTTCCTCCTCCAGATACTCGTCAATACTCATGGTCGGCAGATTGTGACCGGGCCGGAAGACGCCCTGCTGTATCTCTTGCCTGTTTGAGGTGAGGGTAAACGGTCTCAACGGCTTTCCCTCCTTGCTGAGTATCGGACCATCGAAGGCTGACTGCAACCTTCTCAGAGGTCGATCAAGTCGTTCCGAATAGCCATCGTTGGTCTCTGCATTTCTTCTTCGTCGCTCATCTTCCTCAACCGTGGACGTCGGGAACATGAGCGGTACTGGAGCCTGAGCTAGAATCTCCATCTCCCGGCTGATGCCCTCGAGGCCTTGGAACGTGTGGTGTACGCAGAAGGCAATGTTGGCCAGGTATAGCTCTCGGACTGCTTCTTCGTCTCCGCCGCCGTCCAGATGAAGTGGTGAGTTTTGCATGTGCTCGAGTCTCTGCTTCATCTCCTTCTCCATCTTGAAGTTCGCAATCTTCGCGTTTCTCCGAGCAGCGGGATCTGTGGTTGAGATGGTCGAGAATGCGTTGGGGTCATCGTTGTACTCAGCAAATAACTTCTTGTCCGAGGCCGAGAAGATCGAATAGCCGTCCAGTAGATGCAAGAACTTCTCATAGGCTTCCCGGGTCGTGGCCAAGGCATCCTTTCTCTCTGCGGTTGAAGGGGTTGAGATTTTCTGCAGTAGCTCTGCTATCCGGTAATTCAACAGAAGATATGGCATGTCTGACGTAGATATATCCTCGAGCGACTCATTGGGACTGAACAGGGATATGGTGTAGACGAGCTGCGTGCACTCGTGGTATAGCTTGAGGGCCTCTGCAAGATTCGCCACGTAGGAGGGCGAGGTGGTTTCATAGTTTCCCTCCAATGCCAAGCGTCTCTGTTCGGCGGCCTGGAAAACAGACTTGAGTGTCCGGGGTTTTTCCGCCATCCTGACAAAGCACGATCAGAGGTTGCGAAATGATGGAATATTGACAGTGCCGGGTGTGAAACAAGAGAAGGGAAGGGGGTATCTGGGTGAAAATGAAGACGCGACTGGAATGATGCCGGCTCTCTGCTTCTTCATTTCTGAGGGGAAGTCGGAGGTTGGATGGAGGTGACACCTGACTCCCACTTACCCCACTATAGCTGCTTAAATGTATATTCTCATATATGCAAACACCAAGCTCACAGTGTGCCTTTTGGTAGCTTTCCCAGATGCTGACAAATCACAAGTCTTGTTGTAATCTATCAGTGGTCTGGGTGGTGTTTGATTAAAAGGTCGGATGGAAAGGATTCCATCCGAGATGTATCTAAATACCTAAATTACAGTGGTGAGGTACCTGGGGCAACAAAGGGTTGCCACGCAGCCTTCATCAGGTAACCTCCAACATGTCTGGTGGGGTTACCAGAATACTCCGTATGGGTCCATGCACTGGATCCACAACAGTACCTGAGGCCCACCTGCCTGCGACCTCACTTCTTTTCTCACACATGCTGGCTTGCAACATCTGCTCGCGCTCCTTTTTCATTGAGATCAGATTTATGGGTCGAATATGTATCTACGACCTTGTTTGGAGATATATGCCATCTGTTCTTCGCGATGCACGAAAATGAATGCCTTTCGCGTAGCAGTGTGCAGAGGGACAGTGTAGCATCACTCGTCTGCCACAGACTCACAATGCCCTCACTCGGCCAGCGTGGCAGCCCGGTGGTGTATGCGGATACCCGTGGCAACATTCGCAGAGACGTCTGAACACTGAAAACACTTACAGGTCGGTTGGGTGTTGCTGTGGTAAGGTATGTGCCTCAGGGAGAAAGGGGAAACATCAATCGCCCCTTCCCTTTTGTTTGATTTTACCTCCATCCGTTTGCCGTCTTCTGCCAACATGATCACAAGTTGGCCATCCACACAGAGAGAGCATATTCCACTTATCTGACAGCAATTGGAGGTCGGCTGCCTTTGCACTCGGTTCCTTCCTTGTGCGTATACCACGCATTCGTTCATGATCCGTCTCAAGCAGCGGGTTCTTCATTTTCGCAGCTGCCGTTTCGTTTGCCTGCAACTCTCTCCAGCTCTCTCTTCGCACCTCTTCATATATGTGACCAAACCCACACACAGGTCACACTCCGGCGTCCTGCCATCCCCAATCCTTTCCCTTTGAGCACATACATGCCATCTCATTAGGCACTCTTGTGGAGACGCCTTTGAGAGAATCACAGCACGAATTCGCCCGCAGTCGAAAACGAAGCCATGTCTTCGACGGCGATAAATCAGGTGTCTGAGTTGCTGGGTGAGACGGGCACTCCAGACACTCCACACCATCCAGCGCCGGCCTTGCAAGACACTACCCCACCAGGAGACGGCGATGATGACGATACCTCTTCTCATGCCGAGTCGGTCTTCTCCTTGCCGGAGAAGCCCCCAAAGGCGAAAGCACTGACAGCCCGGAGGATCTTCGATAATGCGCGTTTCGATGATTGGCAGAGAGACCAAAGGCGGCAGGTCTACGGCCCCCTTTCCAACTCAGCCATCAGAGACGAGTCCAAGTCCGCGGCTTGGCTTGTGCGCGAAGCAGAACGCGAGAAGATCATTGCGAGCCCAAGAGAGTATCAGACTGAGCTCTTCGAGAGGGCCAAGAGCAAGAACATCATTGCTGTTCTGGATACTGGTCAGCCTCACTATCAGCGTAGCCTACTAAACGAGTACTGACTAATAATCACACAGGAACCGGAAAGACACTTATCGCCGCACTGCTCCTACGCCATACCATAGCACAGGAGCTGGAAGACCGGGATGCGGGTCAACCACCGCGAATGTCTTTTTTCTTGGTATGTAATCAGCAGAACTGCTATATATACAGATCGTTTAACACTGCCCACAGGTCGACAAGGTGGCCTTGGTATTTCAACAGTATGAGGTTCTCAAAGCGAACCTCGACCATCCCGTTGAGAAATTCACTGGAGCTTCGGGCACATCTACCCTCACACCAGAGCTATGGAATCAACAGTTTGAAAAAAAGATGGTGATAGTCTGCACTCCAGAGATCCTATACCACTGTTTGCACCATGCTTTCGTCAAGATGGAGCAAATCAATCTCTTGATATTCGACGAGGCGCACCACGCAAAGAAAAACCATCCGTACGCACGGATCGTCAAGGATTTCTACGCTGCCCTGGAGACAAGAGACGGAAGACGACCTCGCATCCTAGGCATGACGGCATCGCCTGTCGATGCCAAAACCGACGTCACCACCGCCGCTGCACAGCTGGAGGGGCTTCTCCACTGCGAGATAGCAACTGTGGATGACACAACTGTGTATGAGAAGTCCTCGATCAATAAGCCAAAGGAAGACATGATTGAGTATTCCAAGATGACGACGCCTTTCGAGACATTGCTCTGGAAGAAGCTATACGGACTCGTCGGACATAATGAGGCATTTGCGCGTATGTTCACGTACGCGAAGGAGTGCACGACTGAGCTAGGTCGCTGGTGTGCAGACCGGGTATGGCAGCTATGCCTGACATACGAAGAGGCTCTGAAGATCGAGGCCAGGACAGAACGCGACTTCAACTACACCAAATCGCTCCGTCCCATGTCCGAACTCGATGCTGAACGATCAGCAGTTCGAGAAGCATACCAGCTTGTGCTGGACCACCAATTCGTCGACGTCGAGAACCATGCTTTCCATGTGTCTGACAAGGTCGCATCGCTCATCCGAACGCTGGAAAAGAACTTCGACCCCGACACAGACAAATGCATTGTTTTCGTGGAGCAGCGGCTTCCGGTCAGACTGCTCACTGACCTTTTCAAGCAGCGTACTCTTGGTATCTTCGGGTTGAGGTCAGGCATGCTTGTGGGTGATTCCGCTCCCGTCTTACAGGAACACCGGCTGACTAATTGCAGATAGGTGCTGCGAGCAGTGTCAGCGGAGACATGGGCATGTCCATGAAAGAGCAGGTCCTGACTATGCATCAATTTCGACACGGGGACTTGAACATCATATTCGCGACAAGCATCGGTGAAGAAGGGATTGACATTCCCGACTGTAATATGATCATCCGGTTTGATCTCTGCAAGACGATGATTCAATACATCCAATCAAGGGGTCGAGCCAGACAAAAGAATTCGAAATTCTTCCAGATGATCGAGTTCGCCAATCACAGCCATGTTCAATCGGTCTTTGAAAACAGAGACAACGAGTACAGGCTGCGGCGGTTCTGTGCCACGCTGGCGGAAGACCGTCTTGTCGCTGCGAGTGACTACGACATCGATTATTTCCTATCCAAGGAGAAAACGCACCGTACCTACGTGGTGAAAGCGACCGGAGCGAAATTGACCTATCAGATCAGCCTGGTGGTTCTGGCGACCTTCGTCTCCTCCTTGCCACACCCAGCAGACGTCAGCTCCAGCGCCGAGTACATCATGCGGAACATCGGGGGAGAGTATGAATGCGAGGTTCTCCTTCCAGATAGCGCCCCTGTCAAAAGCGCTATTGGACGGCGTGCACCTTCCAAACAGGTGGCAAAGTGCTCTGCTGCATTCGAGATGTGTCTGAAGTTAAAGAGAAAGAAGCACCTTGACGACTACTTCCAATCGACCTTCACCAAGAGACTTCCTGCCATGCGGAATGCACGCCTCGCGATCAGTTCAAAAAAGCGGGCAGGGTACCCCATGCGGTTCAAGCCGGACGTATGGGCGAACCGTGGAATTCCCGAAGACCTCTTTGTCACTGTCTTGAGGCTTTCGAGCCCAGAAGCTATGGACCGGTCTTCCAAACCCATGGCACTACTCACAAGACAACCATTACCTCAAGTGACCGGGTTTCCCTTGTTCTTCGGGAATAAGCGAACCTCCGGAGCGCACTTCATCCCCCTGCCTCGTGCCACCAAGTCCTCAGATGAACTGCTCGATGGACTCAATCAGTTCACGCTGAGAGTCTTCAAGGACGTATTCAGCAAAGAATACAAGTCAGAGCCAGAGAAAATGCCTTATTTTCTGGCACCTCTCATCCATCCACATGACTTTGATTATGAGAGCATCACCGTTGACCCTCATACCATCATTGATTGGCAGTGCATCTCCATGGTGCAGAACACCCCAGATGACATCGACTGGGAGAACAAGCCGGAGGAGGTTTTTGAAGACAAGTTCGTTCGTGATCCGCACGATGGTTCTCGTAAATTCTACACACTTGGTCGGCGCCGCGATCTCAAGCCTACTGATCCCCAGCTGCCAGGGCTCCCGAAAGGACAGCACAAGAAGAAGGCCCACCACCAAGAAACTCCAGATGATATCTGGAACTTCAGTGTCAGCCTGTGGTCTAAGAGTCGTACCAAGATAACCATTCGCCATGATCTTCCCGTGGTGGAAGCCGTGTACATACCTCTCCGCCGGAATCTGCTGGATGAGTTCGATGTGGCAGATGAAGTCCAACGAAGATGCTATTTAGTCTTTGCGACTTTGAAGCTTTCCTCTGTAAGTTGTATGCCTGACGCTTAGAAACGTGTTCCTAACTATCAACAGCTCCCTGTAGACTTCGTTGCCATGGTGTACAATCTGCCGGCCATCATTTACCGGTTAGATTCTAACCTCATTGCTCTGGAGACGTGCAAATCTCTCGGTCTAGACATCCGGCCGGATCTAGCCCTCGAAGCAATGACCAAGGATAGCGAAAACACTGAGGAGCACGCGGAAGAACAGGTTAACCTACAACACGGTATGGGAGCGAACTACGAACGTCTGGAGTTCCTTGGAGACTCATTCCTCAAGATGAGCACGACCATAGCTCTCTTTTCGCAGATCCCCGACAGCGATGAGTTCCAATACCACGTCGATCGTATGGTTCTCATTTGCAACCAGAACCTTTTCAATAACGCACTTGAGATGAAACTCGAGGAATCGATCCGAACCAAAGCTTTCAATCGCCGACTATGGTACCCAGATGGTTTGGAGTTACTGAGAGGAAAACAACTAACCAGCAATATGGGCAAAAAGGGCGCTGGTAGCTCCGACCACGTCTTGGCAGACAAATCCATTGCTGATGCCTGTGAAGCCCTTATTGGCGCATCGTACATGACGACATACCAGCAGAACGATTTCGACATGGCTATTCAAGCCGTGACCAAGTTCGTCAACCACAAGCACCATCAGATGATGAAGTGGAGTGATTACTATTTGGCATACAATATTCCGGAGTGGCAGATGGCTGAAAGCACAGCCGTGCAGAAAGATCTCGCACGGCAGATTGAAGCTCAACTTGGATACAAGTTCAACTACCCTCGGCTTTTGCGCAGTGCCTTCATGCACCCATCTTACGGCACTATCTACGAGCGAATCCCCAGCTACCAGCGTCTCGAGTTTCTCGGTGATGCTCTCCTTGACATGGTCTGCGTGGACTTCCTCTACCATCGGTTCCCTGGTGCCGATCCCCAGTGGTTGACGGAGCACAAGATGGCCATGGTGTCCAACCAGTTCCTAGGCTGTCTCTGCGTAAATCTAGGTTTCCAGAAGCATATGATGTCCATGACTGGTGGGTTGCAGAGAGAAATCACCGAATACGTCGTTGCCATCACAGATGCTCGCACCAAAGCCGAAGAGGAGGCAGAATCTGCCAACCTTGAACGTACGGCATATGCCCGAAACTTCTGGGTCAATGAGAAGAAACCTCCGAAGAGTCTGCCGGACGTGGTAGAGGCTTATATCGGCGCCGTCTTCGTTGACAGCGAATACGACTATGGCCAAGTGCAAGGTTTCTTCAACAGACATATTCGCTCCTACTTTGAAGACATGCATCAGTACGACACATTTGCCAACAAGCACCCGGTCACGTTTCTGACCAACAGGCTCTCTCTCCATTTCCACTGCAGGGACTGGCGCCTCATGATCAGTGAGGTGGATGACGAGGAAAATGCGTTCACCGACACGCAGGTCCTTTGCGGTGTGATGATTCATGGCGAGGTTCGGGAGCACGCTAAATCGGCCAGCGGCCGATATGCCAAAATCAAGGCTGCTGAAAGGACCATGAGCATTCTGAAGGACATGAGCGTGGAAGAGTTCAAGCAAAAGTACAGCTGCAATTGCACGCCTAACGAGGTGTTGGCCGAAGGTTCGGATCCTCTGGCACATGCGACTGCCATCTAGAGAGGTCAGTACATAAATCTCAATCAAGTTCCCTGCGCTATACGGTGAACGGTAGTTAGGTAGGTGCATCTACTATGTGCTGTGTAGACTAGCTCAGCCCGAACATCTCTGGGATATGTAGAATGGGCGAATAGACATGTTTTGCCCAAAGGCTTAGTACCAATGATACCATGGTGAATATCCTAAGGGGAGCGAAGGAATGAGCGAAAGATACAGTGTGTCCCTCGATTTGCCTAGCACAACAAGCCGATCGACGAGGCACATTGCTACGGGCCAATAGTACCTCTCTTGCCCGGCCCATGACCATCGATAGCGGCCGGTTCCTCGTGTATTCCCTCCGCTTTCAAGCAGGGCCCCCATATACTTACTGCAGGGCGTTCCAGTCATGGTAAAAGTCAGCACCTCACGGACGTGCCCCAAAAAGACACCTTAGCCCTACTCTCACTTCAGCCTCTTCATCATCAGCATCAACGACGCCTGTATCTCGTCGCCGTCGGGCATGGTCGCCACCTCGGACTCGGGGAACTCGCCGACGAACTCGTAGCGCTGGCGCTGGTACCACTCCTGGTTGGACATCTGTGATTTGATCCATTTTTGTTAGCGAGAACACGCCGTCAACGTCGTTCGTTTACTTCCTGGATTCGGTCTACGAAAAAAAACAAAAAGAAAAGAAAAACCTCATTGGGGGCATGTGCTTGCTTGCTTGTCCGCCATGGTAAGAAACAGAGGGCGGGACTCATTGAAACGCACCTTCGGCACCGGCACCCCCAGCCGCTGGTAGTACGTCCGGAGCGCGAACTCGGAGCGCATGATCTCGGGCTTGATGGCGTCGAGGGCCGCGACGGCGCCGTTTAGGGGCGGCGCGACCATCATGGCCTCCAGGCGCGCCATGACGGCGCGGCCGATGCCGCGGCTTTGGAGCGCCCAGGTGGTGTAGAGGGCTGTGATCCAGTCTGCGGTTGGGGGTATTAGTAATTGTACGTTAGAAACGATGGTGGATGGGTTGCTCCGAGTCGGTTCTGGAATAGGGGTGGTTGGAAAGCAAAGGGGGAATACTAGGAGGTTGGGATATGGGGAAGTGAGGGAAGTGGAAGGGGAAGGGCAGGAGGGAAGGAGGGGAACCCACACACACGCTCCTTAGGCAGATGGTCCAGGTAGTACTCCTTGCCCGGCGACGGGTTCGGGTTGAGCGAGACGTGGCCGATGGCCACGAAGGCGCGGCCTGTGGGCTCGCGGGGGTTGGAGTACAACGTCGTTGCCGTGTCATTCAGGGGCTCTTTCTCCTATTGATGAATGAGCTGGTTGCTTAGAATGGAATGGGAGTTTGTTGGGTCCCTCAGAGGACATCCTCTCCTTACCTTGGGGTACCTGCTCCCGTGCGCCTCGAGCATCTCCTCCCGGCCTGGTGTCGCGTCTGCGAGAACCTAGATGTGGTTCGGCATGGTCAGCCAGCGAGCGCGACCTCTTCGCCGTTTGTCCTCTATCCCTGATGTCCATGCTTCACTCCTTATTACTCCCTTCCCTCCACATTCTCCTCCTCCGGCCGTCTTCCCATCAGCATCTCACCTCCCCAGCTCGCCCAGCCGTAGCCCAAACATTTCCAGGTTAACGGCACACAGAAGAGAGTGCGATCAAGGGAATGGAAAGGAAAAAAAAACCCGTCGAGCGACTTAGCTCCCAAGGTGAAGGTGGATCGGATTTGGGATCCAGGCAAGGCAAAACTCACCACCCAGAACATATCCATGCCCCCGGCCTCGGCGCGCACCACCCACGACGGCACGGCCTCGGCCATCCAGCCGGCCGACCTGCGCTGCTCGACCATGCGCTCGACGTGCGGCGCGGAACAATAATCCCAGGGGACCAGCTCGATCTCGACGGTGTTGTTGGTCTTGGTCGCTGGGGTAGCCATGTCAGCGGTTAGTGTCGCCGTGTCGGGGTGTGGGCGAGAGCGAGTATGTGTGGGGGGAGGTGTTGGAAATAGATGAGAGGTAAGCAAGCAAGTGATCAATCAGACAGACGCAAGAAATACACGCAGCCCTTATACATGCACGCAGCTCCAGCCGTCGGGGGTAGATATCTGGGCCCCTAGATATCTAGAACTCAGGAGGACCTACCTAGTAATAGTGGGACGGACGGACAGCAAAAGCGGAAGGTGCATTCGGATTCGGAGCGGTGTGTCGAGTCTCGAACCCACTCGGGCTGTCCGGGGTGGTGTTCAGCCGCTTGACTACGGAAGGGCGCGCTTCGGGGCCGAAGGGCGTCGCGACACCGAATCTATAATGTAGCTGGGATCATTATAACGCCCTTGTCGTGATTCTCACAGTAACGATTTCGGCGCCCTTCAGGTGCCGGGGCTGTGTTGCAGTCCAGAACTTGTATTACCGGCCGTGTTATCTTGTCCTTCGTCGATGGACGGACCACGCCTTGCCGTCGACAATCGTACGATGGCTCAAAAATAGGTGATTGACTGTCGCATGTCGAATGGGCCGCGCATCGTTCACATTATACGATCATAACGCGCGTCGGAACTCTCGCATCTCGCCAATCAGACCATGGTCACGGTGCGCAAGTCAGAAGGGGCCCCGAACGGCGTTTCAAATAAGACATCCCAAATCTCGGTGAGACTACCCCTGTGCTCTACCTAGTCTACAACCCTCAAAGGAAAATTACATGGCCTCTTCATGGGCTGGTGACCGACCGCCGCGGTAGATCCACACGGCAACACGTTTGAGGTATAAAACATCGCAGCCTCCCTGCCTGCCCTGAAGTCCAGTGATGCGGTGTCCTTAAATATAACGCATCCACCGTAGAATCGCCGCAGAATGCAGTCCATATGAATACATGAGAAAATGGGGGCGTATGTGAAAGTGAGTGAGGGGGCTCGCGGCCACCGCCTCGGGATGGTCCAGTGGGACCCAAATCAACCAGGAGAAATGGAAAGGGGGTATTGACAGTAAAAACACTCGCTTTCCGTGTTATCCAACGCCGTTCCTTTCTGCGACTCGCGTTTTTGCCGGGAACTCGACGTCTGATCCGTCACTCCGCGTCGGCGTACCCAGAAAGGTCGTCCAGCCCCAGTCGGGGCATGTCGGGCGCCCTCCCCTTACCCTTTACCCGACGTAGGGAGGTATGGCTCGCTCGGCGCTTCGCCTTCTCCTCCTTGCGTCGTCGGATGATAGCCGAGAAGTCGTCCAAGTCAGCGTCCTCTTCCTCGACAATACGCGTCGTGTCGTTTTCGTGCCACGGCATTGCGCCTCGCGGGTTGTCCCGCCGAGGGGCACCAGTCCGGCTGAAAGGAATATCAAAACTCAACTCCTCGTCGGACGAATTCACGATTCCATCGCCATCCTCGTCTTCTGAGTCTGTGTAGCTGAAAGCCGGCATCTGAAAGTGCGATACTCTGTTTTGAGAGTTTGTGTGTTGAGGGCCCTTTCCTGTAGACAGCTCGTTCACGTTGCTGAAACTAAAAGCAACCAAGTGGTAGGGAGTCCGGGACGCCTTCAAACTTTTTGGCCGATCAGACCGAGATGATACAGATTTGGGTGAGGCAATATCAAACATCCCGGGTAGTCCAGGAAGTTGTGACCCGGTGAAGCCAAAGCCCGCGTCAGCGAAGAGCAGGTCTCTCTCATCCTCGCCTCGTGGCCGCGACGGCAAATGGTACGAGTCGTCTGAAGAAATGTAGTCGTCAATGTTGAAATCTTTCGAAGTCTTGTGCCGATGAGATTTGGCCGCAGATCGAATTGGCGATGACAGGCCAATACCCTTCACAGACGACCGTGCGCGGGGTTCCGTTCGGCTCTCAAGGGCAGGGACGAGGTTCATGGTTTTGGAAAGCGACAAGATCGGAGCATGGTCAAGAGAGGTATTGGTGGTGTGTCCAGATTCTGGCTTGAACGGGTTTGAACTTTGAGAGCCTCCTGTCTCCGAGGTTAGGGACCAATGACGAATGCTGCTGGTGCGTTCCGGAATCGAATCCTTGATCCCGAAGGGCATGATACTTTTATTGGATAGAGAGACAATGCTTCGGTTTCGAATGTGGTAGTTTGGCCCGTCCTGGCTCACTGGTCGTCCGGAAGAAGGCTTCACTTCTACAGACACGTGTTAGTAACGAGCTGAGAGGGGAGATTGACGACATATGTAACAGCGGAGAACACTGACGTGATGCTTGGGCGGGTTGCGGTGTTGGCAAGGCGTGGAGCGTATTCGGGAGGTCGGTTATACTTCCCAGGTGGCGTGACGACATGTTTCGGTCTCTGGCTTTGCGGGGGCTCTGGGGTGTTGAACGTTGTTGGGTGACTTCTTCCTTAACTCCTCGGTGGGAGGCGACGCCGGGAGCCTGCAAGGTATGCCTCTTCGAAGGTGACTTCGGTACAGACAGCGGCATGTCATATCCTATTGTCTTGCGCCTGGACGAATGCTGGGTAGGCCTGGTGCGGATCAGCAAGTCGCGCTCTGGTATGGTTTGCTCAGAACTATTCCTTTTATGGTGCGACCGGTACTCGTAATCCTTCCTAGTGTGTTGTGCGTGGTCCTCGGTGGCCTTGCCTTTCGCATGCAGCACATGGTCCCTGGTTATTCTTGGCGACTCGGTGGTTTTCGAGTTTGGCTTCGCAGGCGGACTGTTCGTGTGATCTTCCTGCGCAGCTGCAGCCCGAGCTCGGTCCCTAAGTGCTTCCGGGAAATCGTTCGGATCCATGACCCTGATCCTTCTTCGGTTTGACGAGCCCCTCGTTGCATCGGTGGTTGACGAATGCACAGCGTAGGAGGGCAAGGACCGTCGACGGGCCGTCTTCTCGGCTTTACTAGCCACTCTCGACTCATTCATCGACGTACTCTCGGGATGCGCGGGCTCATGTGGTACTCTTGAAGACATTCTCTGAGGAAATGTGTCTCGAGCACCGTTGGCATGGGCGGATTTCGTCCGTAAACCCGAGCCCATTGAATGTCGCTTCCTTGATCGTCGAGGTTGATCATCTTCATATTCATCGTCGATGGTGCTGGGGACGGTCCGTCTGGCACGGGACCCTTGCGGTCCCGACAAATTCAAATCACTTCCATTCTCGCCCAGATTGCGGTCGGCGACATCTTCTCCATAGTTCCTGGCGCCGGCCGCCTCAACGCGACCATAAAAGTCGCCGGGTTTGATCAATGAATGAGCATCCAATAAGTCGACGAATGCCTTGGCCGATCCCGAGTCGCCACTGTGGGAAGAAGCGCGCGTGCGTGCAAATGCGGGTGAAGGCGCGGTGAATTCTGCTGTGTCAAAGGCATAGTGCAGGTTCTCAGGCACCTTTGGCGGCAACCTGTAGGGGCCGAATTTCTTCTTCGGAGGCGGCGGCAGCTCGACCTTGGGCTGCGCGCGTGTACCAGCTGCTGACTGGGACCGACCTCGTATGTCGGCCAGCTGAGATGACGCTGCGGTGCTCGGATGTCCAGTACCGTCGCTGCGGATGCTATCCCGTCGAGTGCGAGGAACCAGAGGCGGAGGAGCTGCAGTGTCGTGAGGGTCGATAGAAGCCAGATTCGGATGAGACTTGTGGAACTGCTCCAAGATGCTCCGTCCATTGCCAGCTACCGGGTAAGTACCTAAACAATTGGGTCAGTGTCGGTGAGACATGGGATTGCTGGGAGTCTGGGACTGAGAAGGGCCGTACCGCGGATCGGAGGCAAGGCGGGCACCGTCGCATCGTACGCCTGTGCTTTGAGGATGGCCGGAGGATACTGGCCTTCGCCCGACGGCTTTCTCGAGAGAAAACTCAGCAGACCCATCTCGACACTATGTCTCCATGCGCAACAACTGTGTTCAGTTTGGCAGGTGTATCCCTCTCACAAGCCGGACTCCTGATTATGTTTCGTCTCAGTGGGCGGAGAGGACCGAGGTTGCGGGGGGTTCCCATCCGATAGTGATCAGCAATACTGCACTGGCCACCACATGTCGTCTGTCTGTGAAGTTGAAGTTGTTCACTTGATTGCTTCGGGTTGGTGGTTTCAGGGACGAGCAGAAACCCAGAAACCCCAGGCAGGTGACGGAAGGATCTGGGGAGGAAGAAGTGGTGAAACAGGGAGTAAAGTGGTGGGTGCGAGCAGTCAGGCAGTGTGAGGTCAGCGAGTGCCTGAGGTCAGAGGTCAGAGCGCGCGACGGAGGTTTTTCTTGTTGCAGAACAAGACCGGAACTAGAGCATCGTGCTAAATGGGATGGTTGAAGAAAAGCCTGGAAAGGGTGTGATGCGTCTGGACACTGGACGCGCAAAGGAACGAACGAGTGAACGAGTGAACGGGTGGGCGGAATGGTGGACGGACGGACCTCTCTATTACCTCTAGCATATAGTAGTAATACCTTAATGAGACGGACATTCCAGACTCAACCAGACTCACCACACTCACCAAAGCTTCCATGGCCATCCCTCACCTCTCATCTAGCACCCGCTACGACGGCGACACGGGCGAGACCTGCAGCTTACCTCGTCTTGGCTACCTGCACGTGTAGAGAGGATCCCGGTATCTAACCTTGCGTTTGCAGATGGCATCTAGGTACTATCTCGATGGGTGGTTCCTGGTTGACAACCTGTTGACCCCTGGTCCTCCCTCTACTAGGAAGTATTGGAATAATAGAAATGATTGTGTCGTATAGCTCGTAGGGGTGACGCGAAATGCCGGCTGTTTGTACGGTGCTACCGTACCAACAGGCTGGCTGGCTGGCTGGCTGGCTGGTGGACACTGGATAGAGCCCGATGGTAGAGTAGCGTTTGAGGCCGGTCGGAAACTTTCAAGGTTTAAAAGCTGTCGGGACCGCGGATCCCTTACTACTACTACCTAGGGTAAGCAGCTAGCCGTGATGGGACCGGCATTGGCGATATGGGACCTCGCATCGGGCGTCGTTCGTGTGCTCGGACTGCCAAGTTGCCAACAACCAGGAGGATCCAGGCTGCCAGGCTGCCAGGCTGCCAGGTCGGGCGTTGGAATGTTGGGGGTTGTCTGGAATGTCACATGCTCGAGTGCTGTCCATTGAACACCGTCAGATCATCATCCTTCTTAAACTAATAAGAGTAGACACGCGCAGACTGTATTGGTGCGGCGAAGAAAAGGAGGAAAGTGGGTGATACGACATGCTAGACACACCTCAGCGGCATGTGGGAGCAGAAGGGAGAAGGGAGAAGGGAGAAGGGAGAAGGGAGCTGGGAGATTGGGCAATGGGAGCTGGAGCTGGGGGAAGGATCGACTGGGACCGGGAGTGCGAGATCGGGTTCAACCGACGGACCACGGACACCCGACTGTAGTTACTAGTCTATAGGGCCGTCTCATTCGGCAGCGCATCCCACCGGGTAGGTACCTTACCTAGGTAGGTAGCCAGACCGCCAGACCGCCACACAGCTGCCAGGTACCTATGGCATTACGAATCCTCCTTCCTCGATCCTTCTATTTTTTTAACTCTTATCGGCTGTGTTGTTGGTCCAATAGCGGCTGCCTACCTGCCAGTACTGTAGTACAGACGTAAACGGTAAAAGCACTGGGGCCATGGGGAGATCTCCAAAATCGACGATGGAACCCCTGAAAGTGCGATGGCCGACCATTGACCGTGCCGGGTGGTCCGTAATCCCTGCTGGTCCCTGAATGATGTGCAGCAGTGGGGGCCAATGCAGATTGGCTCATCGATTAGGTACTGTTATTACTGTACCTCCGGCCACTATTTGCTGATCGCGGCAATGGTGTGTATATAATATCAGTATGGGGACCAGCTCATATTGGCCAACAAGTCTATGGAAGTACCCTGCCACCAGCGGCATGCTACCTGCGAGGCTCTGTTCACTTGTCCGTTTGGATACGAAGCCCTTCAAACGAAGCCCTGCAAACGCATCATGCCTTCTCTCCATTCTCGTGAGGCGCTGTCCCGAGGGAATGAAAACCAGCTGGAGAGTCTCGTAAAAGGAGGTACAGACCCTGCATAACTGCACGCGGACTGACTCGTGTGGTTTATCCCCTTAAGCGTTCGCTGGCACCGCCTTGTACAGTACATACCACATGGCCCGTGTAGACACCAAATGGGCCCAGTCCTATATTAATAGACCAATCATTCAATGTCAGTAAATGCTCGGCCGAAGATGAAGGGTTTTGATTGGTCGGAGAATTGGCTATAGGGCATTAGATGCCGTCACAGATGATCTTTCAAGTACAGTACCGGAATTCAGGGGGTCGGTGCCAACGAACGCTTAAGGGGATAAGCTTGACTGCCTTTGTGCAACAAGGCCGGCGAAGTGGTGTTCCGGCTAGTAAACTGCTGGAATGGTGCGGCGCCATTTGACATTCCCCAGCCTCCAGTTCCGGCCGGACATTTGTAATAATGATCAATAGCGGCTCTATGAGATCCGCAGATCGCGATGCTCCACGTGGACTGTGACCAAACGTCTGACACCTTGACCCTGCTGTCACCCGGATAGGTTCCGATCGACTCATTTCAAACCCGAATTGATCAGCTACATGCTACAAGAGGGCTAGCAGCACAACCTAGGACGCGAGAGTAGTGTTCTACTAGAATGGTGCTTCGGCTTCTGCTGTGCCGAAGTCGCCATTCTATTAGTGTCATGCCGAAGGGTTGGATACCGAGACCAACGCCATGACAGGCCAACGGACGTCCTGCCGGGTGACAGGTAGTCGTTGCTCGGACTCGGAAACTTTTGGACGTGAGCTGTCGATGCGACCCGTCAGAGTCAGAGCTCACCCGGCCTTGCTGTCCTCAAAAACATCATATGTAGAAGCGTGCAGTACAGTGCCGGTCAGCCTGCCTGTCACACCAGACTTTGAAAGAATCATGACAGCGCGATGTCGACCAACCCGATATAGCTATTTGAGACTCCCCTGAGAGGATCATCTCATCGCTATATCCTCCTCGACGATCCGCGATAGAATAACCGGACAGAGTGGAGGCGTGGGCAGTCGTTTACATATAAAACTAGCTGCCTGTTGAGCGCTGTTCCAACGTACTTCAACCATGCTCTACTGATACTGTTCCCTGTCAAGCGCATACTCGAGGGAATCTGCATACCCTTCGTAGACCAGGATTTCATGTTCGACAGCCAACAAACAGTGTACCATCTGAGTCTCGCTAGCAATTGCACTCCGTGCCAGCCACGCGACTCCGACCAGGACCAAGAGAGTACTGCAAATGGGTGCCTCAGCTGAGCCGTTTCATGTTAGTCCACGGGTAGGACTAGTCCGTTGAGCAAGCAGATGATGATTCTTCAGCAATCGCAGACCTACGACCGGAGGGTATACCATGGCAATACCTAGGTATGATGAGAACTCCACACGCGTTACATACGCTCGGATATAGCCATCTGCATGATATGATATGTATCCAGAGTAACCGAGTCCCTGGAATCAACAACATTCGCATCCATCTCTGACGACCCCGGTTTCATTTCAGGAAGCCTTGAGTGACACGTTTGACTGCCCAATTGGTTGCCACTCCGAGCCCCTTTATGTGCTCCTTGTGTATAAACCTGCTGACCGAAATATAAGCTGGCTTCAATACTTCCATTTGAACCTGCTGGTAGGCAGCGATGCGCCTTTGCGAACGTGGCTCGTACCATGAACACTCAAAGAACCCGGACTGATGGCTGACATGCTGAGATATACGCGGCTTGACAGAATAGCGGCAGGGTAGACATTCCCGCCTTGATAGAAGTTGGCTTCTTCACATATCATACACTGCAACACATTTCCTTCGTCCCATGGATGTCAATCTCGTAGCCGCTACGCGGACCGAGCCTCTGCTTGGACCTGGTGGTTCTGGGTACCACTTTGAGTCTGCACCTTATTCCGTGTCCGGACACTCAAGCAGGAGGGCGTCCCGGCTCCGTACCGGAGGCTGGCGATGTTGAGGCCCGGCCATTGACTGACCAGCTGTCATCAGAAGCGGATGCCACGACAGACTATATAAGATGCGAATACGAACGCAGTATGATGAGCAGCGATGCAGTTCTTCCACTAATTATGTTTCCGCTGAATGACTGCTTGTTAAAGGCGAATACGATGATCATTCTGTCAACCACTTAAGCTTTCTCCTTCGCACCGCGGTCGCCCGAGGGTGTGAATGTAAAACCTCCTGAGTATTTGATCTCGAGTATACTTTGATTGAGAGGTCTCGACGCGACGTCTTATCCTACTCGGTACACCTACCGATGATGCTCACTCTCTATCCCTCCACTCTGCCACTGGCTGTGTCGATACACATACGGGCCGAAGAGAACGTGCCATTAGACCCGCTAGCTCGCCTGCTGACCCAACATGCGCTAGGTGACCGTGAGCCGGTCCCCGAGGACGACCAGACTCAGTCAATGACCCTTCGTACCCAATCGTTGATATCCCGCCAAATATCGTCGTTCGCGCGCACCCGCCTCTCTTCCCACTCCGGAACCTTGATCTTCTCGAAGAAGTGCGTGAAAGAATGCGGCATATCCTTGACGCATTGGTACTTCACCCCACCACTTTCCCAGGACTCACTATCGTACAAAGCCGAGTCTTCCACCACACCGCCGAGGCGGCAACCCAGATCTTTCGCCTCTTTCCAGAGGAAGTCCTCGGATGCCGTTATCATGAACAGTGGCTGCGGCATGTCTTCTCTGGTCGCGTACGTGGCGCTCAGAAGCGGCTCGCGCAAGTCCTGCCCGTCGGGGATGTATGCAGCATGGAACAGTGGCAAGAGCCTGGGCAAGTGCTCTTTCCTTCCCCACGGCGAGGTACCCCCTTCCGGACGTCCCTCGCCGGTGAAGTCGGTCAGGGGATAGAACGTGACGAGGGCCTTGATGACGTTTTTGAGTTCCGGTAACTGCGCGAGCGCCAGCGTCGTGACGGCGCCAGCCGAGAACCCGCCAGCCACCACCCTGTCGCGGTCCACCGGCAGAGTGGTGTCAGCTAGCACCTCCTTGATGAGCGCGAGGCAGTCGAATATCGGGGTTGGGAACCGATGGTGTGGTCCGGAGCGGTAGTTGAGGCTTGCGACACAGAAGCCGTACTTGTGCGCCAGGAGGTGTGCCTGTTCGTCGTCCTGCTTGGCGTCGCCAATGAGCCAGCCTCCTCCGTGCATGAGGAAAAACACGGGGAGTTTGTTTTCGTGGGCATGGTTCGGGGGCAGAAATATGCGAACTTCCAGACTTGGGCGGGCCGCGTAGAACCTGGTGAGAGTAGGCTTGCGCGGGTTCCAGAACTCGGGGTATTTCCAGCGATGGTACGCAAATAATGGGACGAAGACGTAATGTAGCGCAAGTGCACCACAGTAGTAGAGGAGAGAGGAAAGTATGGGGGTTGGTGGGCGAGTGGTCACTCGCCCGTTGTTTTCACCCTTCGCCATGACTGTTTCCTAATCCAGATTGGAATGACCGTTGAGTAGCATAGGTAATGTTCGCCTTTCGATCCCTTCTTGCAGGTTATGTATATATGTGTACACTCACTCACCCCGGCCTGATATCCCTACTTTTGACTGATGCCCAAAAACTCGGATTACCAATCAGTCCTGTGGGAGAACGAGATGAGGTGAACCAGTCCTATAGGACGACGAACCGAGGTGCGGTTTTTGTGATTGTTTATCTCCGCCACCGGAATGACTGTTGAAAGATGTCTGGATTTAACGGGGATTGACGGAGAAAGCTCCCGAATAACCACGGTTTCGAGGCGACCCAAAAGCTCGGTTGCGCCGCAGTTACGGATCTGGATCATGCTACCTCACAGGCGTCATTGTTATCAATACGACAAGGGCAGCGGCGATGGTGGAGCGAGTGGTCCGAACACAGCAGGCACGGGTATCTCCTAAGGTCTCATCCACATTTCATTCGCGGTGCCACTCGACGTTTCCCACGCCGCCTCCATGTTCCCCCAGTCCGACTGGGTAGACAGCAAGTGCGTCGTATGGGGATTTGAGGTAAAGTAGCTTTGTGACGAGGTCGAACGAGTACATGGTGCAAAGCATACGCATAGCGGTAGGCCGATGGGTACCTACGCTGGTCGAGTGCCGCGTTCACCCCCATCATTTCCTTGTCATCCGGTTTGTGGGTGCCCATATAGTTCTGTCAGGTGCCTAGTAAACGCCGTGCTGGAAAAGCCGGTGGGCACCGCAGACATCAGACCTGAAGCGGCGCTGCGCTGGAGGTGTGCGCGGAAGTGCAGTTGTTGTATTTCTTAATTCTCGCCATCTCCTATATCAGCGTCGTCGTCGTCCGTGGCCAACAGAGTAGTATATGAATTGGGCCGCGCCGTAGTCTTCGATATGTCTATGTCCTATCTCGACGAGTGGGCTAGCGAATGTAAGCGAGTTCTTGGAGTGTGTGGGATCGGCGCAAGTCTGCCTTCGCCGGTTAGCCAATGTGGTAGCTTGGTAGGAAGCCACCAGAGCCAACATGTACTCCTTTTCACGGTTTGAACACAATGAGTTGTGGTGGCATAGTCAGTTATTTCGTGCTGATTCCGCAACCAAATCGGCGTCGTAAACACCTACATGACTCTTGGTAATTTTCCAAACCCCCCAACTCTGTCTATCCATCAATGTCCATTGGATCGCCAGCTGTCTCGTCGGCTGTCTCGGCAGCAGTCTTGTCAGTGGTCTCGGCAGCGGTCTCGACAGCGGTCCCGAAAGCGGCCTCGAAAGCGGACTCGACAGCAGTGTCGTCATACGACTCATCCAAATTGATGGGTTTCGGGTAGTCCTCGTCCTCGTCTCGGAAGCCACATTAATTGAGGAGGAAACCGGTCTGGTTCAGAATCCATGACTTGCCCTCCTCCTCCTGCTTGTCGATGGGACAGTCGTCTACCGCGACTCGGAAGTCGATGATGGCGCGGACGAGGGGGTCGTACTCCCAAGTTCTCCAGAAGGGCTCCTGCTGGTTCTTCTTCCACATGCTTCTGGTTCTAACCAGGGAAACGAAGAGGTCCATGAAGGTGATGGTGGACAAGGGCTTTGCCCAATCGAGATCTTGTTGCACGATGAGGAGAGATAGCCAGATGTCGGGGAAAATGTCGGGTCCCGGGCGCTCGGCCAGAATCGGGGTGGCCAGCTCGAACATGGGCATGAATGCATCCCTGTATATATATGCGTTAATGTGCCATCTTTGAGCGTGAAACACCCAGTCCAGAAGTGAGTTGGCAGGGAAAGGCCAATGCCATACGGGACATGATGCCTTAGGTCTGGATCGAGATGATTTCGTACGTACCGGAGTCCTTCCTTCGACAGGGGATAGCCAGCCTTTCGGAGGGCTGTGGCGATAATCTTGTCACGGCGATGCTCATGCGTCACCTGGTTACGATCGGGATACTCCACTGCAACAGTAGAGGGTCAGTATGGCTATGTGGACAGGTGAACACAAGGTGCAAATTGCTTACTTCCAGCTCGCGGCATGATGTCGCCCAGCTTGTTCATGGGTCCGAGGGAGAGGCTGGCCACGGGCGAATTCGGCGCCATGATGATGTCGTCTCGGAGCAATGCAGGATGAGAGTGGGTTGGATGCGTTGGATGCGTTGCTGAGAGAGGAGTATCTTTGAGATGCGAGGGTGAAGAAATGCAATTGCGCATTTGAGGTTGCGACGGTGAAAAAATTGCAATGTGCATTTGAGGGTTGCCAGGGCAGCTGAGAAATTTTTGTCATGCACCAAAGGGGGCAGAGGGGTTGGGGGACAGGCGTAAGCACGGGGGTGGTTGACATGTAGTTGGATATGAAGAACAATTCCAATCCAGTAGTCCAGTGGTTACGTTACAAAGATTGCAAGCAATTGCTTCTTCAAGGTTGTGGGTTCGAGGCCCACCCAATGGATTTCATAAGCGGTAACAGAGCATTCATAAAACAAAACAAAAAACCACTCGACAACCATCATCTGCTCTGAAAGGAATTCGTCTTACTGCTGCTACACCCCAGTGCCGCTTTGCATAGTGTTGGTCTGAGGGCATCAGGGGGATCACCCAATGGCTACAATTTTTGTTGAAATTTCATGTTCTATTTCTCTCTGTTAAGTACCTTCCAGCCTGCTAAGTGTTGCCTTGTGTATCAGCACAATCCTGATATATAGCAGTGTCTTCGTGACTAGAGCCACTTAGTTCCGGTATACCTTGGCTGTCTTAGCCATCGCACTTTGCGCACACCTCATTTCGTCCGCCTGGTGCTGCCGTCCACCCTAACTAAACGGCATGTCGGCGGCCGACAGCAAGCCGCCCCGAGCTTTAGGAACTAGAAAAAATTCAGGTGTTGCATAGACATATCCAGGGGTTTGGAGACAGGTAGAGAGAGGTCTCGGGCTTAGAGCAGTTGGAGGTTTGATGTCGTCGAGGAAGCATCAACATTCCAACCAATCAACCCTGGGTGGCACAAAGGGTACCTTGTCGAGACAGCGGACTACGACCTGAACATGTACGGAAACATTTGGCGTGAATAAAGCCAGCATCCAAGCCATACACGGGCTGGATACTTTTTCAGTATGTAAACGTGCGGTACTGCCGCCTTGGCTTTAGAACTTGCTCCATTTGATCACCCGTCGCCTCCTTGTCTAGAGTTAAAAATCATTCCACAATTGCCACGCCAGTTAGAATGCCTGAGTTTGATTCTTTTCCTGGAGCCCAATGTCCCCGAGATAACTGGAAATGATACTTGTTAGTTACCGGAGGCAAGCCAGCCATTGCAATACTCATTCAGCCCTCTTTTATACCTTCGCAACTACTAACCTCTGTCTATCTCCCATAGGCACCGTGGGTCTCGGTACACAATCAACTGAGCTCCTTGCTAATCCCTCGCGCATCTACTCTACCGAGCGCAACAAGAGAAGGGCTAAGACCGAGGAGGGAATCAGAAAATCTCAAGGCTCACGAGGCACAGTCTAGTAGGACAGAGCTCTACTTCGTTCACTGCGACCTTACCAGCCTCGCTTTGGTAAAGAAATCTACCGAGAACTTCTTGGCCGAGAACCTTTTTGCCCGAGAATTTCCTTTCCTGAAACCCTCTTTTCCCGAGAACTGGTTTGCCTTAGAACCTTAATAGTTAAGAACTTTTTCGCTTGAGAACTTTTTCCCTCGAAATCTTCCTCGCCTGAAAATCGCGTCTTGACGTCCTCATGGCGAACGCCAGCATCATGACCAGCCCGCCGGACCTCACCAAGGAAGGCATCGAGGTGCAGATCAGCACCAACCACGTTGGGCAAGCCCTCCTGATCCGCAGGCTGCTGCCCCTGATCGAGAAGACAGCCGCGCTCCCGGGCGCCAAGCCGCACGACGTCACGCTGGCCAGTCTTGGTCTCTTCATGCCGACATGTAAGGCGACCATCGTGTTCGACGACCTGCGGACGGAGCAGAATACTGGATCCTGGTGTCTTGGTGGTGCTACGACCAGAGCAAACAGGCCAACGTGCTCTAATACCGCGATTAGCCTGCTGCTACCCCAGCGTCACCACGCTGATCATCCATCCAGGCACCACCGAGACCGACATCATCAGCGACCTCCCCCCGAGGCATAAGCTTGCCGTGTATCTGGGCAATATCGGCATGATGCAGCGAGATGAACAGGGCCCGTGAAAACAGGTTTGGGCCGCCGGTGCACTCAAGCACGGGCGGGTGATTATGCCCTTCAGAGACTCTTCGTCTTGCCAAGAGGTTCATCTATGACGGAAGCAGGTGGGTTGACGGATCTATACACTGCTACTTAAGTTCGCCATTCGTTCGGAATGGCGCATCCAGTACTACTTGTGTAGTGCGGCACAGGTCGCCACGCTCGTACAGTAATGTGTCACACGTAGCCAGCCTGTTAGGGATTGACACTTGCGACCTAGGTGAGGCCAAGCCGGGATGCGCTTACCGAGTCGATGCCTCTCCTGTCACTCACGGCCATATTCTGAAGGTTATTGCCTTTTTATACGCAATGCGCCCTTAGTCCCACGAACAGGGTGCAATAGAGAAACATTCTCGCTGACCTAAACTTGGACTTCATAAACTGATTCCTGTCTAACTAATATCCCGCCCCTTAACAGCCCGACAGCTGCTCTTTCGTGCTTTTATTACAACTCATCATATCCCTAGCTACCGCCACCCGACCCCACAGCCAATTTTGAATGGCGGTTGATACCAGACCAAGCCTTGGTATATCTGTGTCAGTATGTCAGCCAGTCCCTTCACAGCACCTGTTCACAACTACCAAAACACAAAACAGACACCTCCAAAGCCTAACCTAGAGAGAGCCGCAGAAAGCAGCGACAGCAGGCTCCACCTCGCCCACAGCAACGTCCTCACCACAGGCAGTGACAACACAATCTTCGGCGGCCGGTTCGATGACGTCTTCGTTTGAGCCTATATGACGGTTCATGTCAGCCAGCTATCGGCAGACCCAGGTTGCCCGTCAAAAACACGCGTCAAGGCCGTGTTGCGGAAAAGGGGGGGTTGTGGGCTCGAGCAGTAGTATGTGACTCACAGATGCAAGCGTAGTCATCGGCGGCGCAAGTGGTGGTGCTTGCTATGGCGTCGTCAATGCAGGGGGTGGCGCAGGCCGGAATGTCAGACCAGGACTGGGCTGAGACGACGGCAGCGAGGGCCACGGCGGCGATAGAGAACTTCATGATGGCGGTGATTTGGGCGAGAATATGCTGGGGGAGTTGATGAGGCTAGTGGCTGGTATACGGAGCGGGAAGTGTACTGGACTGATATGTGCTGGGTGTGAATATCTCAGCGTCTACTTCCTTCCTCATCGTAACTTTATACCTGACTGCTGCGTCTACCCATCCTAGTATCAACCGGTCTATGGGCCATCCTAATGCAACAGCTCTCGATGACCTCATACCAAGGAAGCTGAATAGGCTATTTACCGTTCCCGTCCTTCGGGAGGGCATTAGATGAAGCCGCATAGGCGACTGTAACTCTGCATAGCCCTGTTCAAGTAGAATGGGCGCCATCCGAGGTGGCCTTCCCCTCACGAAGCATATGAGTCAGGCTGCAATCCCCTCAAAGGCGATTGCACGGGTCTTAAGAACAGGGGAAGAAGTTATAGAGATATTCTTGGCGTCCATCCCCGGAGACGGAATGCAGGATTGAAGGAGTGTCTGCAACAAAAAAGAATCTCAACCATGTCTGACGCTGCATCATGCACCAGGGAGACTCCATGCAAAATGCAAAATGCAAAATGCACAATGACCGATGGCGATTATAGCGAGAACGTAGTATTCAAAGCTCTCTGCGCCAGGCCCGATCTAACTTACCGTCTGGGATACCAAGCGCAGCCCACACGCCGCGACTTGGGAACGCTTACACGGCATGTTGACACGGCATGTTGATACTGGACCGTCCCCAACCCCTTCGGAGCAATGGGGCTCTGCTGATGAGCCAGTGCTCTAAACAACAACCGTCGTCCGACGCCGTAGAAATAACCTTTCAGGCCTGTCTCGTGGCGTCGGGAGGTCTACACCAAGACAGGCAAGAGCTGGGTCTAATCACGTCACGGACACGGTGACCCATGAACGCAAAGGGGGACGGGTCAGTGTTACCCGCCTAGGTAATCCCGTTTCATCGAGTCCAGATTGCACATTATCGCCAGCAGTGAGCGACCGAAACTAATGGAAATACATTGATTCCCGGATTTATACACGGTACCTATTGGCAAATAAGTATTAACTAAGTATATCCAAAGCCTCCTCTCTCTTGGAAGCTATATCCACCGTGACAATCCATGGCTGCTCGGTGCGAGCTCTGCCCTTCGGAATTATCCTCTGGACTAGCGAACCCCGTCTTCCTGACGTATGCCATCTCTTCCTCGATGTATGTCCAAAGCAGCACTATCGTCCCCTTCAGCCGTCTCAGAGGCCAAATACATCTTTTCGTGAACCCTGACCAAACGCCAAGCAATGTATATACGTAAAAAACACAAACCCGCCCAGCCTTCGCACCGCTCTCATATCTGGGGCTTCTCGCGCAGCGTCTGCTGCCTCGAGTCCGCGAGCTCCTCCTCAATGTACTTGTTGAACTCGTCCGGGTTGTCCAAGTACAGATGATGGCCGGCCTTGCTGACGACGACGACCTTGCAAGCCCCGTTCTCCTTGCGCTTCTCCTCTTCCGTGCCGTGCAGCAGCGCCTTGATCTTGGCCTCTTTCAGCTTCTCTTCGGACGCGAGACCACCGGCGACGTCCATCCAGTCGTTCTCGCCGTACATGAAGATGATGGGGAACCCGGTCTCCTTCACTGCTGGTGTGGTGTCGGTCGCGGGTTTCATTGTTTGCCTGCCCACGCTGTGGATGCGGTTGATGATCGGCCGGCGCGCATGGGCGCCTGGTGCTAGCAGGTAAGGTAATACATATTCGCCACTCCCTCTTTGTCTGAAGAGTGAGTACGCATAGTCGTGTAAGATCTGCTTTTCCTCCTCGGGAAGGTGGTTGAAGCGACGAGACGTCCAGCCAGACACGAATCTGGGACCCAGAGGGCCAGTAAGCCGGACGATGCTAAATGGAGAAACATTCGCATCCCACAGCCAGACAAGCCAGCTGGGATATGGTCGCTTCTTGGGTTCGTTTGCTTCCGGTGGCCCTCCCTGCTTGGTCTTTGCGCTGGAAAGCCTTTCATTCTCATGCGGCTTGGTAGTCTCTTGCTGGTCTACCGTGAACTCGTCCTGGAAGGTGGAATCCTGTGGCTCGGGCATCTCGGCGTTCACAGCGTAAGGGTCCTCCGGGACACCCACAGGCGAGGCCAGTATCAGCTTGTTGATATGGCCAGGATACTTCAGCGCGTAGGATACAGCTAGATATCCGCCCAGAGAGTGTCCCATAATAGTGAACCTGTCGATGTTGCGGATCTTCCGCCACTCTTCTAGCGCATCGACGAACCAGTTCTCAGCCTCTGTAATCTTCTCTTTCGGGTCTTTCGCGCTGATCTTGAAGGGTGGTCGCTTCGAGTTGCCCATTCCTAGCCAGTCCAATGCATATAACTTCCAGCCTTTTGACCGACTCAGGGGTTCGAAGTTCTTGTAGTAGAATCCCAGACCGGCTCCGTAACCGTGAAGCATGACCAGCGTATCATCGACCGGCTCCCCCACGCGCTCTACTGAGAACTCGTTAAGGCCTCGGTTCTTGCCCGACAGTTCTACCATTGTCGACTTCCACACTCGCGGGCCGAAGGGGTCGTTCGTCCTGGACGTCCTGGTCTGCCCCGGGTCTTCGGCCGACGGCATCTTGGCCAGCGGGTTGGCATCGGCGGCGACGGCTTCTCGAAGATGCGGTATACATGATATCACGTTTCGTTCGGCGATGGTAGGAGATACACTGGTCCACTGGGATCTGGTTAGAGCGCGAACGTGGCTAGACGCGACAGGAACGCAGCAGATCAGCGCTTGGTGTGAAACATACCCATTGGTAGACGGCGTCCTTGTAGCCCAACGGAAAGAACCCCATCCCGGGTTGTCTCGGGGGCGGTTTGCCGACGGGTGCTCGAGCCTTGGTGCGCGGCGAGGTCCTCGCTCTCCCCAGGGGTGAAGGTGGTAGCTGTGCGACTTCGTCGGTGGACATGTTAGTGGCGGACAACGGGGTGATGGAAGTATCCACCTGGTGTGTTCGCGCGACTGTAGAGACGAGTTTCCTCGATTGCAGTATGGTGGAAGGAGGTCTCTTGAGCATACCGGATCGCGGAGGGTGGCGAGAGTTGGCTGACACCTATATAGCTGGAGCTGGCGGTGCTAGCACAACTGAGACATTCACACAAAGGGCCTTCGTCACCTGGATGATGGCGGGATGATGACACAATTCCCGCGCAAACCAAACTCCGTCGCATGCAGGAACACAGGCAGATGCGCGGACAGGCAGATGCCAGGTAGGCAGCACAAGCCACGTACAGACACTGACAGGGGGATTGCGACCAGATTCCAGTCAATGCGGATGCGAATTGTACGAAGTATGCTGGGTTCGCATTGGCTACATTCGACAAGTTCAAAAGATCATCAACCCCGAACGGTGAAGCGATGGTCCCGAGCCGCTGGGTTTCTGGCCTTCGGGCTTTACATCTCCCCGCCCCGAGGCACAAGGCCCGATCCAACCTCATGGGATTGGCCTTTGCGCTGCAAGACTGCAACAAAGTTATATAATACGTATCAATTTCAATTGATAGTACCTTATCATCATCCATGCATGGCTATCTGCGCTGCTCTTTGCTATTATTAAATGATCTCGCAGTTGTTGACGAGAGTCGTGTAATACCCCTGTCTCGATGCGCAGGTGCTAGCGACCAACCCGGGCAACCGATTCGGGCGAGTCCGGGGTTATTAGATCTAGATATAACCTAAATCCGATGCTCTTATCTCCGCATCCTTATAAGAGCGTACTGCCATTTCGAAGCGGAGTGTCTAGCCCCTTTTACACATACACACACATATATATATAAAGATAATAATATTAATATGAAATTTTATTAAATTACTAAATTATAAAAATATATAAATATTAAAAAGGTTAAAACACTTCGCTTTGATATAGTAGTATATTATACGCTTAAAAACGGCAATTTTTTACGGCTTAAATAAAACGCAGTTAATAAATCGCTTATCGTAATAGCAGTTATATATAAGGTAAACGCGGTTATTAACAAAGCTAATAATTCTCTAAGCAACGCCATGAAAAACGGACGGCACCTGATCGGAAATCAATTTCCGCAAAAATAGGCAGGCCAATACGTACGTGTCTCTTCCACCTCTCCCCCGTCCTCGTCCTCCGTGTCCCTAATGTGAACGTACTCGTGTAGTAGTGAAGAAGACACGTAGATACAACCATCTTGTGCTAAGTGGTCCAAAGACCAGCCCGGTGCGAAACTATCATCGATCAGATTCCACGAGTACTGTTTCCAGAAAACCCATAAGATTTCGTGATGTCCCCAAAGCAGCGTTTCCAGGCGAATCGGCTTAGCTCCTGGCGGGGGCTTGTTATGATTGTCGAACCACTCGTCGAGGTGAAAAGCAGACCCGCGATCTTCAAAATGTATCTTACGATCACCCGGATGGTATCTGGCCCAACCACGACGGTTCATGATTTTTGCAGCGCATTTATGCGTTGTCTTCGCTGCGTCTCGCAAGTCCAGGAGCCCATCCATATCACTTATGAGAGCATCGTACTGCTGAAGCAAGCCACTCATGCTGATGAAATGGACCTTAGGAATCCCGGGTAGATCAGGATATCGCTGTTCTGGTAGTTCTCGTACGAGGAAGTATAAGTCTCCCAACTCTCGAGAAAGTTGCGGGCTGATCAGGTCGAATCGAAGTGATATGCGACAATCGAAATTGTACATATACTGACGAGAGCATACCTGCAGTTGGTCTAGTATGTGATGTAAGTAAGCAGCAGCCCATACAACCAAGGCGGGAAGATCTCATTCTATTACCGCAGGAATCATGCGCAAGCGTCATGGTCTCGAAGGCTGAGTCACCGCCTGCTAGAAACTCAGCTGCGTGTAAACACTCTTTGGCCTGGTTTCTCGTGCAAGCCTCATATCCTTGCGCCAGGCAAATGAGTAGGTTTGCAGAAGAGTGCTCCCGAGACAAATAACCTGGTTCAAGATGCTTCTTCCGTGCAAAGAAGCCGTGGAATCCACTCAAAGCAACCCTGTAGGCGACAGCAGGCTCCCAGTAGGCCTGCACCATGGATTTCGGGTAGCCCTGCCACATGGATTTCGGAAGGCTCGATGCTGCCCTTCTAACAATGAATCTGTCATGGAAATCAATCCCGTCCACTAGATCATCCGATGGTGCACCCCATTTTGGTGACAAAAATATTGCGATGATTCCATTGTGCTGTTCGCTTGGAGCCCAGTCGCTATGGGTGGTGGGAGGTCTTCTTGTTACGACATACGCGTACTCGGACAGCCGAAGACGTTCCCACAGTGGTATGTCGAGATGAGCCGGAGACTCCTGGTTGTCAAGTACGCCTGGGTTCTCTTCGAGAAAGTCGCGAAAGGTCCGGTGCCCAAAAGTGACACACCAGCGCGAGATACAGCCAATATGCGAACAGTAAGAGTTCTGGTGTTTCTCTGTGACCTGCAATAAGCCACTGCTGACGCCAACAACCAAGCGTCGAGCACGCATGCAATGAGCCTCGAGGCCGGCGCTCTCGAATTCAGTGATGACGTCCTTCCTGGGCGGAAAGTTCGGCTTATCGCACTCATCGAGCCAGCCAAAGTAAGCGAGGTCAAGTGCTCTACCGAGAGATTCGAAGGTTTTACCGAGAGGATTGAAGAGAATGAGCCTCAGCATCAGGTGCAGACGCTTCACATCCTCGGGCTTTACGGTCACCGTAAGAAGATGCCTGTAAAGCTGCTCAAGGGATCGCGGGACAGCGTAAAGTTTCCTCAATATGACTTTTCAAGCTGTCTCGCTGGCCAGCACCGTCGTCCAAAATGCGGACAACGAACCAGGCGTAGAGGAATACTCCATCAGTCCTCCTGACTATAGAGCGGGTAAAACGGGGATAGACGTTGCGGATGTAGGCTGCGTTGGGATCTCTTCCGAAGCTGGCAAGGCTGAATAAATAGATATCATGCTTTGTCATCTCATGGAGACTAACGAATTTGGCTTTATTGCAGAATGTTTCCGTAAATTCCAGATATGGCCTCGAGCTAGAGCAGACTTTGACGTGAGGCCCATTGCCCCAGTTAAGCACGCTCCTGGCGAGGTTCCAGTAGCTCATCAACTTGTTGTCGCATTCATCTAGTCCATCTATGAACAAGCAAATGGCATAATTCTGCTACGAACCCGAAAGTAACAACTGGAACGCGTCGCGGAAGGCGTTGGGCGGGAATTGAACCACTTCCAAGTCGAGACTCGCGATTGGATAATCTTTGGATTGTTGCCATTGGTTGGGGAAGATGGACGGGATGAGTTCAGGATACCGGCTGAGCACCTGAAACAGTATGGAACGGTACAAGCCATCCAGCGACTTCTGCAGTTCGTCTTCTGATGAGATCCAAAAGTAGAAATGGGCTGATACAAGCTTTCTCGAGCCAGCCCATTGTCGGAGTCTCTCCTGGGTCCTTGAATGGTTGTAAACATACTTCAGGAGTGTCGACTTGCCACTGCCAGCTTTTCCCGAGATGTGCAAGACGCCGTTTTTGTCAGACAGCCATTCAGATAAACTCGACTGGGCATTTCTCCTGCTTTCCGCTTGAGACGCCCACAGGTTCCGTTCGAATTTCGTATCAGACATAGACTGACGATATCTGCTGCTCTCTGAGAACTCAGACTCGATAGCGACATAGGTAGCGAGGTCCCAAGGGAGAGAATCGGAAGCGTCGGCAGTGTGGGGTCCCACCTCATCTGGTAGGTTGTCGTCATCGACGCTACCCTCACGTAGTGTAAGTTCGCTTATGCCGGACTCAGGAGTAAACCCTTGATCAGTCCCTGACTTGACCGCATTCACAGTATCATCATCTTCCAGCATCCATGCGAAAGTACCATTCTCAGCCACTTGAATTGCTGCCTCCCGAGAGGTCATAGTATTGAAAACCAGCTGTCTCAACACACGATGATGAACAGAGGCCGACATCGTCAGCCTGTCGACATGGCGGAGTAGGTCATGTATGGTACGAAGCGACGCAAATGGAGTCGTGCCTTCCTTGTCGGAAACTCCGTCGTCTGAGTCGTCAGATGAATCATCGACGTCCATTTCATCTCTCGCTTCTCGAATGGCGGACAGAAGACTCTCTTTCGTGTCTTGTAGTTCCTTCATGGTCTCGGACCTGAGCGCACTGGCTTCGGCTTGTAGTGCTGCAAGAGCCATCTTGATGGCGGATCGATCATCGCTTGACGAGGGTCAGCCAAACTACTGTTATGCGCTTGACAGTGTACCTGAACATTGCATTCATCCGGACAAGAATCTGCGAGCGATACTCCGCCAGCCGCTCCTCGATCTCTCGGACTTCGCCGGCTCTCCTCATGCTCTGCCATTTGACCTGTGCACTCTGCCATAGCGTCTTCTTCTTCTTCTTGCCCCCGGCTACGTTGTTGAGAAGCACGAGCAGGTTCTCGGAGAGCTCGGCGCAATTCTGCGCTAGCTTCTGGGGGGCTTTGTCATGTCTGGAGGTGTCGCCTCTGAAGTTGACCTCGAGCCCCTCGGATACCTCGCGCAAGTCATCGATTACCCGGCCAATGTGGACGTTCTCGAAGGTTGTACCAGCTTGCGAATTGTAGACTTCGAAGGTGCCAGTGACAAGGCTCCATGAAAAGTCGATGAAGGTGATGATACCAGAAGCCAGACCGATGGCTGAGAGGGGATCCATCGCTCAGGTCCATGTGATGGGCCGACTGGGCCGAGGAAGACGAGATTCACGTACTGGAAGACTAGTGGCATGGAGTATGGTGGCTATGGTGAATCTGATCCGTGAAGGGCATGACATGTCGATCCGGGAGGGGCGTAACATTGTAGTCAATGGGGAGCATACCAACATCCTGCTTACTAGCGAACGCACAATACGACGATGTGGTGATGTATGCAGTTGGGGATGTGATGGGCGGTTTCACTGGTTGCTGGGCGGTAGGAGTGTTGAGACCCTGGTCCGATCCCGTATCCGATCAAGGGTGCCTCTTGGGGTCCGCTGAACCCTCGAGGCTCGGAGGGAAGGGGCCATGCGTACTACGAGGTAAGCTGGATTGAGCATGATAGGTATGAACGACAATCATGAAGAGTATGATCCTGACCATCGGTCTAAAATGACGGGATGCATAGAGTGAGAAAGAGCGAGCCTTAACTTCATGAAACATAGAGAAGGAGTTGTCGCTAAACGCCGAGCTCTGACCACCTAAATAGACCCCTGTATTCTCCACGATTTGGAGCGTCAACGCCGCAGCAAGCCAGCCCGACTTCATCATTCCCGAATCCCGAGGTCTTCATCCATTAGATTGCCCACTGATACAGCCATACTGGCAACATTCACTGCTGTTCCAGTACCCCAACTTCGAACACGACCTGCCAGAACTTCTATACATGCGAATGCGCTGATAGTTGTGACGTACCCTGTCGCGGGCCTACGTGCCTAAGCCGCCTCACCTTCCACTTCGCAAGCCAAACGCACCGCCCTGTCGACTGACCTACCGAAGATGGTGGACACAATCGACTCGATCGTCAAGGGCGCGCCGCAGCCCGGCCAAGAGCTGAAGTCTCCGCCCACGGGGACGAGCCCGATCGGCGAGGACAAGCCTGGCGACCCTCTCAACCACACCCCCAGCTCGCCGTCCATGATCTACCTCAACATGCTGATCCTCGAGGCCTCGTTGCGCGCGCAATACCTCGAACTACGAGCGCGACGGCGGAAACACACATTCTTTCTGAGCCTGCTGTGCGTCTGGCTGGTCGGGTTCGGGTACGCGCTGTTCTTCGCGCCGCGCGAGGATGGCAGAGGCGTCGGTGGTTCCGTGTATTGGGTTGTCGACATGACGGAGAAGGTGTGCTTCATCAGCGGTATCGTGACTGGCATGCTAGTCTGGGCGACGGGTATATGGGATCGGGGCATACGGTGGCCGCGAAGATGGTTTGGCATCTGCAACAGAGGCTTGCGCGGCTTCAACTGCAAGCTGGTCGTTATCAAGAGGTCCTGGTTAGTGGAAGTGGTGTCCACTATAGTGTGGTTTTTCACGTACGGCGCATGCTCTAGCAAGGCTGGCCAGTATCGTTTCGTCGAACCTTCGATACTACGAGAGGTCGACCGGGAGTTGAACCTCAGTCATCAGGAACATCCACAGCTACCATTCATCAATACGGACGAGGAAAAGGGCGGTCACGAAGAGGACCTAGCGCCTGGAGGAGATTATGTCATGTTGCTGCTATGGGCCAAGCCATTCTCGCCAAGCTTCCGTGAGAATTGGGAACTATTCAGGAGTGAATACTGGGAACGAGAAAACGAGCGACGAGCCTTGCTTCGGAAAAAGCTTCGGACTCGCGATAAAGAAGTCAGAAAACAACAGAGCGGATGGTTCTGGTGGCTGCCAGGCCGTCAACGGCTCGATGACCGGATACGTCACGCAAGCCCACAAGTCGACGCGGAGAAGAGCATACACCACCACCACCGACCTTCACTGGCCGTGAAAGAGAACAGGCGCACCAGGAGCGGCAGTATTCGACGAGGTAGTACCTCGGCAGGATCATCGCGAAGCCCGACACCTGCCGTAGAGTCAGAGGAAGGTGGGATGAGTAGGAGAGGCAGCACCGCCTCCAATACGTCGAACAAGGGACGAAAGAAGCACCTCTCATCCGGCTCAAGATCCAAGCGGCCTGGGATCGACTCACGGTCACTGACCCCCGAGTTCCCATCACCGCTAGCTAGGGAAAGCAGCGTAGGCAGCGAAAGATCTGGTTCTAGAGGTAGAAGCTGAGACAAGTAGACCCTTCTACTCTGAAAAGCTCACCGGAGCTCTTTGCAGGTGAACTCTTAATTGAGAGCTGGTGGCTTTCGTTCGTTGTATCTAGATATTCAAAATAATACCATAAATCATCGTCTACCTTCGATCTATGTCTCCTGTGACCTCTGCCACATCCAACCTTCTCAGTGTTCGATTTGAAATAAGAAGCCGTCCCCAGCTGTTGCACCAAGGTATATAAGTGGTATCTCAACCCTACAGGCCGGAGATTAGACCACCTCGTCCATTAATTCCGCCGAGGCAACCATGGATGTCTTATCGGCTATTGCGACTGCCGATCGAAGCGGACGTGCCCGCCTCCACGCCTCGGCCCCGGGTACCTGGCTTCGCGTCGGACCAATTCCCTCCAAAACCCCAGAATCATTATCATCATCACCTGTATCTCTACTGTCATCACACATCTGGATTCGAGTTTCGTCAATGGCACAGCAGTTCAGCCAGTAAAATTAGACGCGTGCTCTTCTGACACCCTGTTCATCGGCCCTGAACAGTGAACCGGTGGCGGGTCCTCCGATTAATCACCTGCACCAAGTTCCGAGGTTCAAGTTGACACCGCGTCGCGCTACGTCGGCCCTGCAGGCAACCGCCACGAGGAGAACTGGAGAGCTGGAGAACTGCCGCCAGTGCCTCGAAGTTCGCAAAGCAACCAGAGACACCAACCTTGGGCATTGGTATTCTGACGACTCAGGCAGTCAGGGCTTGATTTCTAGTCATCCCTTCCAGAAATAAGCACCTTGCGAGCCACCGGTGTCTTGGACATCATACCGGCTGCAGATTTCCAGACGACGTCTGTCGCGCAAAGCCAACATCATCGCCAACTCGACATTGTGTATCCGACTCGGTATTTAGCAGCGTTACGCAGTTGCGACCTCGATCAAGCAGCTACCGCGTCTACCGCTTCTACCGCGTCATAGCACGTCCCCTTCTCCACGCCAACCCGCATACACGCCTCCCCACCTGCGAAGGCACGGCTGGCTTCATCAGCGTCGCAAAGAATTGCAGATTCATACAATCCACGGTTCACGGGATAGCCGAGTCTCCAGTCGGGGAGACTCGATTGTGCTTCTCTGTTCGCTCTGACCGTCGCATTCTGCAACAAGCCTACGAGGAAGAAGGCTATTTCGACCCGACGCCGAACATGGACGCCTTCGCCGATCCTTATCGTCGGCCAATGCCAACGGCTCCCTATAGTGCGCGGCCGCCTAGTCCGCCGTCGATCTTGATTCCGACTCCGGCCTTGCTGAACGCGAACGAGCCCATCAAGGTCGTGCCTAATTTTACCAACACCGACCCTCTAGCTCTCAGTCCTGATGACCTTGCCATAATCACCCAGAATGGCCAGGTCCAGATAGCCCACGACTCGGCCGCTAATTGGACCTACGCAAGCCGCCGCACCGCTCAACCTATCCTCGACTTCCTCTACCTTGGACCATCCACTGTCGTGCGCGACCGGGATTGGTTACGCGACAACGGCATCACCTTGCTGGTCGCAGCACGAGATGCACAGATGGCCGGTCTGCGCTTAATGGTTGTGGACAAGGTCGCGGAAGAACTGGGAATCCAGGCTGAATACGTCGATGTCTCGGGACACCCTGATCTTATTCGCGCCTTTCCCACTGCTGTTCAGAAGATCAACGACCACATGCTTCGTATATACCGCGACCAAGCCACGAGTGCCGCCAATGTGGACGTGCAAGACGGGCAGATGGTCATCAACAAGGCCAACTTTCGCCGGGGAAAGGTTTTGATATTCTGCGAAACAGGAAATGAACGTTCGGCCGGCCTTGTTGCCGCGTACTTGATGTCTGTCTTCGGCTTGAGCCTAGTCGAAGCCTGTCAGTTTATCCACTTTAAGCGTTTCTGCGCAAGCTTGGACGAGAGTATGAAGCAGCTACTCCGGAGCTACGAGGACATCCTTGTTGCAAAACGTACCGTCCATCAGTATCAGATTCTTAGCAAGTCAGTATCTGCTCCGACATCTTCAAAGCGAGGCTTTGAAGAGACGGTTGAAGAGGACGACTCTGAGATGGGAGGAATGAACGCCGCTTCGGATGCGGACCGCTTCAGCGAACGGAAACCCTTTACGCCATTTGTCGACGCCCAGGACCAGGCTTCGAGATGATTCGAATTCTTCCCGTTCGTTCTGTTGTCGGGCGGTTTGGAGTGACAACCAAGCCGTCCTAGGCCGTGTTTCTTTCCCTGAATATACGCATCTTGCATGAAATGGATTTGGAGGTTCTCTACTGGAGACTGCTGCGAGTTACGGCAATGCAGCTCATGTTTGCTGTACAAGACATTGCATGGCCTTGATAGATGTTGGGATGGTAGTGGCGTTCGCGTGGCATTATACCCCCTTGGTTTGCTGGAGGAGATACGGAACTGTACTTATGTAGGTAAAAATGAAGTCGTGGCGACGCAGCGCATGTTTTAACTTACGTCTGTCTTAGCGGAACCTGAATTTCATTGCAATGTTCTTGTGTCTGCGACGAGGCTCCATTGGAGCCAAATGTCGATATCGATGGCAACCAAGTGGTAGCCGGCAGATGAGAACTGGTTCTGGTCTCGTGTTCCTATACTGTGAAATTTAGGAATGGTCTATTGGAAGAGGAATAAGGATAGCTGAAGGGGGTACCTTCCTACTTAAATAGGTAGGAAAGGTACCCCTGACAGCTATCACATGTGATCCCTCAGAATAACACGTATGCTGCTCACAGCAATTACAACAAGGCTAAATACACCACTGTTATGATATCTGACAGGTATACCGCTCTTGATGGTTGTGCCGATTAGAGATTGGGTTAGACCGTCTCCTTCCGTGGAGCTGGTCGACGCGCTTCGAAGGATGCATTAGTATGTCTGCCGGATATTCATCAAATGAATCTCGAAAGGGATTGGTCTGACCATGGCGCTGGATGGCTTTGAAAATCTGTCTCCACCCGTGGCCAATGTAATTTACCGATTGGTCACCTTTCCGTTATATGGATGTTGGTAAGGACAAGGGTAACTTCTCAAGCAGATCGACGGGATCGACATCGTCACCTGCAGCATCAGACCTCGTCTTCATACCCTCGATCCTCGATTCCTCGATCAGAAGGTCGTCGTGCCTTGAGCACCTTCATCACAGCCTTGGAGAGGGCGTCTTCTCGGCTGTCGGCTCCCGGCTCGCTCGGGGTGAGCGACACGGCCTCGAGCGTGGGTTTTGACTGAGTCGTCCTCGTCGTCGCGCTGATTCAGTGTGCCATTCGCCCGGCCATTAAGATCAGACACCGAGAGGGTGTCATCCCTTAGTTACCTCTTACTTTCGTGATATGAACGAGGTTATCAGGTTAGATGCCATCATGGTCAAGTTTCATACGGTGATGCCACACAAACCCAAATCCTTACGGCCTTGCGCAATAGAGAAGTGCTGTGCCGGAGATGGGTATGTCAAGCCCTAAATGGCCACCGGTGAAAGTGATCGAACTTGCTTGACAACATACGTCCTTTGTCGCTGTGCGTTCGCCACCGTCCAACAACCGGTTTCAAACCCCTGTGAAAAGATCGCTGTGAATGGGAAGTCCCGGCGGCTAGGTCGCAGCAGCTGATAGAAAAGAATGAACGCCCTTCGCCTAGATGATCTGAGAATAGAACAAGAGGCCGCTACTACGCAGGGGTCGACCACATCGTCGGGAAAGCCTCGACCCACAAAGCAAGGGACCAAGAAGGTACCTGGAAGTACTCCAGCAAGACCACATCCATGGGCAGGTTCTATAATGTGACCGACTTCAAGTACGCCGGCATTTTCTCCTGATAAATCGGGTTCTCTGAAATGTCTTTCTGGCTGAGGTTTACCAGGACTGTCTTCCATATATGACTTACCGTACACCACGAGGGCTCTGCTTTGGGTGGTATTTTAAGGTACTTAGGTGCCCTGGGTATGGCTTAAAACTGCCTTATTATATGTCTATTTTATGTTTTTAGTGGTGTATTATAAGTGTCACGGCGAGCATACTGGGGAGCTGGGACATGGCCTGCAGCAAGCAGCTATTACTCTATTGACGAGAATATCAAGACTAGAGGGGAAAGGAAGAGAGAGAGAGAGAGATAGGTACAGCGGGAGGTTGCCCCTTTAAGGGGATCCTCTGGTCAGATCCTTCCCTTATTGAGAAGTATCGGCTTGTCATGTGGGAAGGTCTGTGCAGGCCGTCACAATAAGGTTTGTAACGTTCGTTAATCGACTATTAATTAAATTAATTTAAAGGTAAATATTTCTCTGTTAGTCAGAGCGTTAACATTAAGAATAATTACCCGACCTATGTAACATACCGCTTCGTGCTGGTAACGATCTATTTCCTTACTTTGATATTAAATTATCGCTATAAACTTAAACTATAAGGTAATTTTTTTTATAATTCGATACATAAACCGGTTTTACTTAGTATTATAACTTTTAATAGTTAACAGTTTTTATAACTTAACTACGTAATTTGATAATTTATTTTTAATATTGTTATATGTGAGAATATTGGTGCCTATCAGCTGTGTGCTGCAGCTGGCAGCAGGCTGAAAGAGGTGAAAGGGACCCAAAGGGGGTGAAAGGTCCATTGTGGTAACCACTGACAGGTCTGTTGTCTGCTGTCAGGCAACCGGATATCAAAGAGCTCTCACAGCTGTATTTAGGTGGGAATATCCCCTATAGATCCATAACTAAGACACCAAACCTTATCCATCCCATTCTGACCCTATACGAACCACTGAACTTCATATTATATACTTTTGTAAGCAGTCGGGTGGCTCACAGGTGTGCTGTAGCACGCTTCCAGGGGTGACAAGGCTGACAAGGCTGACAGCAGCGCTGAAAGGAAGGAACAGCCTGGAAGCGGGCTTTGAGCCTTAGTGTATCTGGGACAAGGGATCTTTACCCTCCGGATCAAAAGCTGGGCATTGCTTTGAAGTTGGTATGTGTATTTAGTACCTGAACAGGTCCCAAGACCCAAGGGTAGATCTGCACCCAGAACGTAAGCAACATGATGACCTGAACCACCGAACCGATCTTTTCCATAACTTTATTAGTTTATTTTTTTAATTTCTTTATATCTGTTGGATTCAAGCGAGTTCAGTGATTGGAGGGTGATTCTTCGTGTATTGCATGTAGTGTCTTGTATCTGTTCTGTCTGTTCAGGTGCCCCTGATCGGTTCCCAGTTTGGTGCTGGTCATCTCCGCCGTACCGTGGTTTTTCCGGTCGGACTCGGCTCATCTTCATGACCCCTGTTATCCAACAATATCGTATGAGTGATTTGTTTACTTTTAGTTTTTAATACGATGATATCAGATGTTAGATCTCAGATATAGTGCCCTTAGGTGCAGTACCCACTAGGGGGCTGTCAAGGGAACAGTGGATCCACCCTGGCATGGTGCAGTATGGTATTTAGCTGTAGATTAGCCCTGCCAAACATACTTGAGAATGACAACAACATTTGCAGCGACCGCTCACACCACCAAGGCTTGTGACGCTCTTAGAATCTCACATGGTAGCATCTCATTCAGTTTATTATTGAGTTGTTGCTGCAATCATACGTATCTGTTATTCCTCTGACTCACGAATCAATCATACAATGGATTGTTGGATTAAAGGTGAGCCAAGAGGGCACCTTGATAGGTAGACACCGGAGCCTAGTTGTTCCGTCCCGATCCAGCCCCCTCTGGCACAAAACTGCCACGGTCGCACGAGGACACTCTAGAGAGACAGAATACACACACACACACTTCAACCTCACGATTGGCTAAAATCTGACAGGATCCCACCACACCGACTGATATAAAGCAAGGCGAGCCCAGCGGCCAAGGAGGCCAGCGCATCGTCATACCTCGCACACAGCTGCGAGCGCATAAGAAGGTAATTGAAGAGGAAGATCGTAATGACAATTGTCAGCTCGCCGCTGCCATTGAGCAGGACAAGGCTTCAGAATACTCGGATGCCCAAGGAGGCATTGAAGACCGCCAGTACGAGCCAGTCATCGGCTACTACGAGAGCAAAGACGGCCTGAAAGAACCTTATGACAGCACAGGAGACACTGATTAGGACAGCAACAAAGACAAAGCCGCTTACTACGAAGGAGACGATGAGGAGATCTCCCCTACCTTCCAAGCACGAATCTTGGAGGGCACACACGCCAAGAAAGCGCAGAAGGCAAAGTCAGAACGCCGCCTTACCTTCGCAGAGATTTAGAGCCTCTCAAACATAAGAGATTATATCAATAAGGTCCAAGAGACCACACGAGAGCTCACCAAGGAATACACGCGCGCCAAAAAAGAGCGCAATATGTACAAGCAAGCTCTTGTCAAGGCCAATAAGAGACTTGCCAAACAGCAATAATCAAGAGCCCAGAGCACCAACACCTCTGAAGTAAGTGGCGCTCGACTTGACCTTAAGAATTATGAAGGATTTTCAGGAACGGAATCGGAGCTTCATCTGGTCAACAAGTGGAGCAAGCATTAGGATCCCCCTGTCACAAATACGGGACTTTCGGCGCTTCTTGGGCAAGGAGTCACCCTTTACAGGGGCAGTGGAGACATTGCAAAATCCATTAAAGAAAAGAGACTGTGCCGATCGCAATCAATCTTTGAGCCTCCTTCCCAGTTTAGTATGCAGCGCGTGTTTGGCAGATCAGGCCCGCTTTCTGACTCCTCCAGCTCATCCGATATGAGCTCATCAGATGACTCGGATGACAAGCGGTACCACTTTTGGCACCATCGTCATCACCAAGAGAAGAAGAAATCCCGTAAGAACAAGGACCTTGCTTAAGATAAGTTGAAGAACAGTAAATGGCTCAAGGATCAGCTTTTCACTGGTTCTGACAACTTTGAAGAGTGGCTTGAAACTCTTTCTATCAGCATGGAAGTGATTGGCTACAAGCCAGGCCAAGAGCTCACTCAATTTGATCGTCTGAAGCTTGCAAAGATCATACAGAAGACCTATAAGACTGATCTAAAGTCAAAACTCAGCCCTATCGCATTGATTAAAGGTATCAGAGACGGTAAAGAGATGTTGGAGCTCTTCTATCGCTCATACACGCTCATCAGAGAGTCCAAGCAAGGCCTCGTCTGGAAGCAACTAATGGAGCTCATGTACAACGGCAACTATCTAATTGCATACATCACTAAATGGCGCAAGAAAGTGCGCGCTTGCAAGGACTGCGGCATCAAGTCAGTTACACATGAGAATAAGCTGATCCTTCTTTTCCTTGAGAAGGTGCGCCCCAGGGTCAGCTTCTGGGTGCGCCGTATCGATAACGCCAGGGAGTCGCAACCCATGACCCTTGAGCAGATCATCAACAATTTCAACAAAGAGTTTCACAATCTTATTGACAAGAAAGCCAACCCAGAGAAGAAGGGCGGCTCTACTAACCAAGCTAAATCTCAGCAAGGCCACTTCAATAACCAGAACAGTAGTAACCCTTTGAATAGGGGCTGCTGGAACGGCAAAGATAGGGGTAGAGGCCGCGGCGGACGCCCTTATCAGTCTGATCGCAATAATCAGAGTGGTATACGATGCTACAACTGCGGTGAAATGGGCCATATCGCCAGAAACTGCACCAACAAACAAAAGGCTGACAATTACGCTGCATACAGGGGCAGCAATCATGATGACAAGAGAGCAGGAGCCTCACAAGAAGCCTCCCACCATGCTTCACAATCACAGCCGTAACCGCCAGCAAGGCTTGAAGAGTTTGCTGGCACCCAAAGAAACAGCTGGAATAACTCTGCCACGAGAGGCAGCGCCATGATCGACCTCCAGTAGTGGTACAATAAAGAGACTTGTGCTAGGGCTCTCGCTGATCAGGAGTGTTACAGCACACCTGACCAGAAGTACAACGGCAAATTTGCCTGGATTTTGGCTAAGGTTAAGGCCACGCTGGCAGACCTTAGTAGCAGCCTTATCAGCTGCTTTCCATACCAAAGGGAGAAGGCGCTCCCACAAACCAGAGAGAGAGCGCCACGAGGGGGCCAGATCTCTTCAACAATGCCAGGAGTGGCTGTTGCATGCGCTAATTATGCATTTAGCAGCAAGACAATGTCTCCTCGCCAGCTCTTACTATGGGACAGCAGATCAGACGTTCATATCATGAACGAGCTTACTGACTTTGAGCCCAAAACCCTTGTGAATCTTGGTAATAAGCAGTTTCTTGTACAGACAGGAGGAGGCATTGTGTATGCCACCTATATGGGCACTGTTCTCCAGTAAGTACAATTACCAGAGGGCGAAGCACTCAATGTGAGATTGCAGTACGCTCTGTATATAAGAGACTTCCCAATCAAGATCTGGTCAAGAGATCTCTTTTACCAGCACGGGGGCT